TGGAAGGTTATTATTTCGTTGACGATATATTGATTTTGGCTACAATGACTCAGCCTTCGGTTCAGTTCTACTGGCAGCAAAAAAATATCCAATTTCTGTCCACGTCAACCTGTTGCGAAAGCTTAAAAAATGCCGGTTTTCCCCCTGGATGTGTTCCGCAATCCATATCTTTCTAGAATTTTCTCAGCCTCGGAATTTCTCACATCTGGAAATTCCCAGGCAGTTAGCATTCCTACAAAACAAAGGTCCTTTTTGTGCCATCGTTGCGCAAACATTTTTTCCCCAGTTTATATATGGCGTGATTTTTGTCTACTATTGCTTGTATCACGTTGGTATCACGTGCTGAGCTCATGCCTTTCGTCCAATCAGCGAACGCCAAGTATATGGCGCCACTGCGCACTTGAACTCCGGAGTAATAAATCATGCATTTGGCGCCAAACAAAATAATGGTTCTCGCAACCACATATCAAAAAAATTATCATCTTTATTCCAAAAAAGAGCAAACGAATTACTTAGAAACCTAGAATTTGGGGTATAATAAAAAATCTATGCTAACACACTTTGCCTTTGAAGAAATGAATAATCTGAATCCGACATTGATACAGCATTAAAGACACAGATTTGTCTCATGCAAAATTTCTTAAAAACACTTTTCACGTAAACTCACAATACTTGACTGCATTGAAGTTGCTGTTTTCGACATTTACTGTTTAAATGCCAAAACTGACGCAAATTTAAAATTTTTTTTTAAAAGATTGGACGCGCCGAATTGCGCAAAACGTAGTCTGGTTCCCCGACCTGACAATTTCCCCCGACGTCTACACGTCTAAATTGTAGGTCAGGCAGCCTCCGTGGCTAAAAATAAACATGACGACATTGACGGCCCTTCTTCAAAGCTCGACTCCGTTTCCGAATTCGCTTTATCACATAAAGCTTTTAATGTTCCGATAATGTTAAAAATAAATCATTTGCTTCATATATCATACAGTTTAATACTTCTGTAAAAAAACATTGACTTATTTTAACCTGGAATCTTCAAAGTTGGCACCCAAACAGCACTGTTAGCAGGCGGAGCCGAATTGAGACCACGCCGCGTTTTGGAAAATGCCGGTAACGGTCGTCAAATTCAAACTAGTGCATGACGCAGCAAAAAGTTCGCCCCTCGTATACGATCCAAGTGCAAAATCGTCGTTGAATTTCAAGTTTTCTAAATAAAAGCAATGGATATTAATTATCAACTATTTTTTTTAAAGTTTTTAATAAGCAATTAGCAGTTAATAAAACATATATTATACTCGGAAATACTCTGACACTATCCGATTGTCGACGAAATGAATTCGGCAAACTTAGGACAGTTTCGGAAAAGGAGGAATTCCTCCCATTTTAGTCACGTGATGTAAATTGTAATACATTGTATTACCGGAGTCTACCTGACCTAAGATTCATCAGGAATAGTCGGAATCGTTTGGTCTGGGAACCAGACTACGCAAAACGATGACCAACAAAATGTAGTGGAACAAAACGGAGCATTTAATATCGCTTTTTAGGCCCTAATTGATCGTGGACTAATGCTGGCTCTGAAAAGCTAACCACAAATTTGATTGAGGAAATAAAATAATTGGAAATCACAAGTTCATGGGGAATATTTCGTTTCCTTTACAGTGTTCCATTTCCGTGTATGTTCAGCCATGATAGCCTGGCCATAGAGAGGTCTGTTTACTCATGGGCTGGCGTGATGTGGTTCAAAATAACAGCCAAAAAAGTTAGGGAAACTACCCTCGATGAGCAATAGGCATACAGGTTGGCAATATTTATGACGAACAAAAGCCCAAGTTCACGTAATCATAAAGTGGGTTCATCCCCAGGGCAACGGCATTGATATTATAATTAAAGGTTGAACCCGGCAGACCCAGACGGCACAAACACCTGATTTATTCCGAACATCTCGCGTGCTTCCTCCCGCCGGATCGCGTCAACATGCCATAAACATCAGCGGGAGGGTGCATAATGAGAACAGCCAAACATTCGACACCTTTGGAGCTGTGTGACACAGTGAGAAATTTTGGAATCATAATGGCGTCAACGATACTTGCTGGGAGCTCTTGCGTACGACTTTCTGTACTTTGGTACTGTTGTTTCCAGGACAATTCTGTGTACGGTAACCCGACGTACCCAGATTTTTAAAGAGGAAATTGCCGACCTCAAACTTGTTACTGCCATATTTGGCCACTATACGTGCGTTATTAGTTTAATTACACAAATGAACAGGTTAATTAAACATAGCACCATTGAAGGTACCTAAAAGTAAACATAACAGCTTAGAAGACCGACAGACGAACAGAAAATGTTACAAAATAAACATATTTGTCTGGAATTTTTTTAGGGCGTTACCGGCAAGTTAACACAAACTTGGTGTCAAATAAATCATGGGAGTTACTTTTCTTTGACTTTTCATACAAGTTAACATAAACTTTAACTGTATGACCTGCAGTGGCGTAGCCACGGGGGGGGGGGGGGGGGGGGGGGGGGGGGGGGGGGGGGGGGGGGGGGACAGCCCCCCCCCCCCAGTCGCCTCCCCCACTGAGATTTTGAGTTTCTGAAAAAATATCATTGATCTACATGACGCCCCCATGAAATGTTCCAGCCCCCCCTCCCCCCCCCCCCCCCCCCCCCCCCCCCCCCCCACTGAAAAAATCCTGGCTATGCCACTGACAGTACATACAGGGGACGAAGTTGGAAAAGAAACACGCATCGCGATATCGGAACGCTTGCGCGTAGTTCAGACAAGTCAAAAGATCTATCTTTCTTTCTTTTTCTTTTTTTTCTTTTTTCCATGGAAAGTGAATTTCGATTTTCAATTATTTAGCTTGACCCACCCACCCACAATTTGGAAAAAGATCGAAATTTTAAAACATTGAAAATTCTGAATGGCCCCTTAATGTCTTTGTTTTGTGTTTTAAAGAAGTAGGACTACTGATTAACGCAGACGCCTGTTGTTCAAGAAACATCATTTCCGAAATGTATTAATTTTGCAACTTTCAATGCTAGAAACATGACTGTGCTAATTTCAAGTAGGAAATCCTTCATTACAGATCATAGATAGCTAACAATTAGACAGGCAATTGGTTGACAGCGACTTATTATGGCGATGACAAGTTAACAAGATTTCCCCGCAGAAGGAAGTACCTTGATGATGTGAAGGCCTAAATGACACTTTGGCGAGCAAAGTGCGCGACCTGTTAGTTTTGGTCCAAACTTGGATTTTCTATCATTTCAGATGGTCCCCGACTACAATCCCAAAATACCCGCAACAGTTTTTTTTGCGATGCTCTAGCGTCGGCGCGGAAACACGTACCGTCATTATTTTTATACCATTTTAAAGCTTGGTATCTGAACTTTATCCCTGGAAGTATTGGTTTGATATTAAAAAGAATTTTAAAATTATTTGTGTTCAAATAAAAGCATGGCGAAAACAAACTCAACCGATTTCAAGGAAAGTCGATGATGCGGTACATCAGATGCAAACTCGAGTCACACTTTGAGCGCGCTGTTTGAATAGGTACATACTTGCACGTGAATTTCAAAAGAGACTCGGAATAAAGTTGAAACGAAGAACAAAAATATTGTGGACTTAAGGTGAACTCTACGTGGATCGAAAAGAATAGGAAACACAGAAAGTAAAGGCAACGATATCTTCACATCATGAACATGATAAACCATTTCCACATTAGAAAAAAATGCGTATGATTGATTTTCTTTGAAATTGGTTGAGTTTGTTTTTTTGACATGCCTTTATTGAACACAATACAGTTAAGATTCCAAGCTTTTAAATTATATAAATAATGATGGCAGTACGTGTTTCCGCGGCGACGCTAGAGCCTCGCGAAATAAAGTGTTGCGGGTATTTTGGGACGCGCTGCAGTGCAGCAAAGGCGCCACGGCGGTAGAGGTCGCTATTCACAAGATGAATCGAATCCAGTCTTCGGAACTTTGGCAGCGCTACCCAGGAAATCCCAAGCGTGCACTAGCTTGAATACAGCGCGTCGGGAATGTGACTGACTGTATAATTAGGGGAATAAAGATCAACTCCGGTGTAGTTGAAATTATCGTTAGCAAAAAGGTAATCCAAAACTCCTTGTACACAAACTTGGTTTTTTTTCCAAATCACAATTTCCTTCTGTTTTAATAATTTACCATAGTCTTATCTCTTGAAAATACACTATTCATAATGATCTGTAAAAAGTTCACAAACTCCATATTTGAAACATTTGTCGTAAATCACCCCACATTCGTGTTTAACAAGTTATTCACCACAGTTAAAAATACACAATTTCAAATTGAAATGCATAAATAATGTAGGCTTTCCCGGCTTTTTAAAAACAATTTTGTTTTCATTCAAATTCACCAACTCTAACATTCAATCGCGTCCGAGAAAACTTTCAAACGCTTTTAACAAAACCAATTTAGTCTTTTACAATACAATTCAATTTCAAAGTTCGGTCACCCTCTTTAGTCACCGGGTCGAGAATATTCGTCACTACGGATCAAATTCATCTAAGCTGTTGCCGAATGGCAGCGGTCAGAGCCGATCCAATTCGTCTCGTTTAAATCAATTAGACGAATTTGATTTCTAAATAACAAGGTTATCCGGGACGAAAACGTGTGCTCATTGTTTGAATTGGCTTGAACTGAATTTGAAATGTCTGACAAAAGACGAAATTAAACACTGGAATTACACTAAATCGATATTGATGAACGAAGTTAAACATTAGAAACGGTGAATTCGAATGATAAACGTTTGAAAATAGCCAGGGAAAACCTATCATACAAGCCGGACATTACTCCATCTGCACCACATATTAATTTACTACATCTCTACGATCTGCACTGATACTATACAGGAAAAAAATAGAAATCTTAAAATCAGCCACTCACTATCCACTGAGTTATATATTAGAATAATAAAATGCAATTTTAATAAAGAATAAAGAATTTGTGGGTTTTTTATGACCCACCATAATGTGGAGCAGCAAAAAATTCTACCAACAGTCAAAATTTAAATTGCCTAGAAATAATTCCGAACACGAAAACCCAGACTTTGCTTTTCGTGACTTTCTAGGAATGTATTGACCCTAAAGCCCAGAAAAGACACACCCATCAAAGGCTCTTCCTTATTGAAGCAGGGCAAGGGGGCCTATTGGGGCCCTGTGCATCTTAGAGACGTGCAGTCATCACAGAGTATCCAGGATGTTGTAATGCCAGCATCCTGGCAGAGGAAAGATGTATTAATGCGACCCCCTCGATGCCCTCAGGATATACACCGGATAAGCAGGGTCAGAGCTTGGCACTTCTTCTACTTTTTCATGCATATGTATGCTTTTCTTGCTTTTTGATGGTGACACATTACGGATATGACTGGGGTTGGGGAGAGTAAGGGGGCGGGGGCGGGGGGGGGGGTTGTGGTGCGCTACATAGAGCCTGAAAGTTGACCCTAGTGGCGCGCTTCTGGATCCCTCGAATAGGAAAATTAGCATGTAAAAGTCAGACTTTTTAAAAATCAGTTTTGGTACATTGATTTCTCAAGAAAATCACCCTTGGAAAAGGCCTTTGTGAAATTGTTACAAGCATCTCAAATTATGGAAACTGAAAACTGGCATGACGTGAGAGAGAAATATCGTGCCGAAAATTGACCTCTTGCCTCCAAAAATGTAAAATACATGTGGACTCGTGGAACTCGGCGCACTTGTACAAAGATGAAAATTGAAGAAATATTTTTGTGGCGGTCATTGGGTAAAAACTGAAACTTAAATAGGAGACTAAAATGTCTTTTGGGACACACCATTTTGTTGAAAGGACACATTATCATTCATCTAAAAAACTGTTGATTAGAACTGTATTCAAGCAAGCCCGACTAAACAATTCATCGGATGTACCATGTAGGTAGGTTAAACTTCGCGTTGTTATCATTTTCGTTCTCAAGCAAGTACAACTATGTGAAAACAAGCGTGATCGAACAAGGAGACCTAGGTACGAAAATCCGGATGTGAAAGTAAAATGACTTTTACCCATTTTCAACTGATTTCTTATCACCCATTGTGGAATACCAAAATAAAATTCCACATGAATGTTTCGTGGGGAGTTGGGGCGATTACGGTTAGAAAACATTGTCAAATATTATAGCAAGAGAAAAAATGACCCTGTTTAAAATGCCCAAAGAAGGGTCGCCAAGGGGTCCGGAAGCTCAAAGACAAAATGGCGCATTTTCAGGATCTATTACCCGTAATGAGATTCAAAAGTACACTATTTGCTTCTGTGTTATCAATGACCAACTGTCAGAAAAACACTTATAAATCAGTGAGATGAGTGAACTACAGTATAACCTAAAGCAGAACCCATGCCATACCCTTTTAATAATATATTTTATGCCTTATTCTTCAACAAACGAGGGCGCTGTTACAATGCCATTTTGGGGGTATAAACAGACGTTTATCCACTGTAACTGGCATTTACATGTTGTTACAAATCAAAAATTACACTTTTACAAATTTCATTTTCAGATTTAAGTGAAGGTACTAAACTGCTGTAATGAACAAGATTTCACGAGCAGTTGTACCCCGAGAATGGCATTGATACACAATTCCTCATTTGTTAAAGAAAACATGGCCAAATTGCCAAGTAAAATCGGGTAAAAAGTCAACAAAGCCTGTAGTAACAATACAAAGATCCCAAATACTCCAGTTTAGGTCTGGGATGGTGTGTCAAGATGCATGTTGTCATGAATGTTCAATTCTAGTTTTACTTTGTTGAATATTAATGAACTAGTGGGGCTGTCATCATGTGTACATGGAGCTGTGAAGGGATTCTCTCTCAAAATCTCGCTGTTTGGTTCTCGCCTGTAAGATAACCACAAGGAAGCAAGTGAATACCATAGACCAACAACTGCGCTTTTCTTAATTGTCTTCTAGCAACATATTTCTTCAGGTTTGTAAGCTTTAAATGGAAGATACAACATTTGCAAACATTACAAAACGAAATGATCAAATTATCACGAAATACCTTACTGGATTGTAAGGGAATGACAGTCTAAAGCATCCTGTAAAATAGTGACTCCTGGTGTGCTGACATTTTCAAGAAAAATTATATATTTCCAATGCTGGTAGGCCGAGTAGCATTGGAGAAAACTGTTTCTTTTTTCCTTCAAAAACTGCTCCTAATTTTTCCTAATTAGTTATTCCACATTTTCTTTGCAATTGATTACACACATGTGAAGGGGTACAATCCTTCTAGACTGATTCTCTGACCTTACAAGTCCCCAAAGTCTGTAAATTGCTCCAATCTTAAGTGGGGTCAGGGAACCAGGCTACAAGAACTTGATTGGTTTTCCTGGTTTTGCCAGCATCTACAAGCCCAAAACATGAAACATGTCAGTTTAACAATATCTGCTATAACATACTGTTCCTCCGAATTTATTTATTTTTGAAAATTGCAGCAAAAGCAAATGTTGTACATTCCTTTTAAGTGCACTGGAGGAATCCTTGATTTCATTACAAAAAAATACAGCAAGTTAAGCTTGTGTAATCCCCCTGGCACAGCGGCAGTATATATACGGTAAGTTAGAAAGCATACTTTTCAGCATACTTAACCAAATCAACAATGACCTCATTTGACCCCTAGATGACCTTTGATCTCAAATGTCTCAAGTCATCTGAAGTCCCCCTACCAAAGATTGGGTTTGAACCAAGTTTGGTTGAGAGTGAAGTTTGACTTTTCATATGACAGCACTAAACAGTTAGGGGCCATTCAGAATTTGCAATGTTTTAAAATTTCGATCTTTTTTCCAAATTGTGGGTGGGTGGGTCAAGCTAAATAATTGAAAATCGAGATTCACTTTCCATGGAAAAAAGAAAAAAAAGAAAAAGAAAGAAAGGTAGATCTTTTGACTTGTCTGAACTACGCGCAAGCGTTCCGATATCGCGATGCGTGTTTCTTTTCCAACTTCGTCCCCTGTATGTACTGTCAGTGGCGTAGCCAGGATTTTTTCAGTGGGGGGGGGGGGGGGGGGGGGGGGGGGGGGGGGGGGGGGGGGGGGCTGGAACATTTCATGGGGGCGTCATGTAGATCAATGATAATTTTGTCGGAAACTCAAAATCTCAGTGGGGGAGGCGACTGGGGGGGCTGTCGCCCCCCACCCCTTTTGTTCGGCTTTTGTTCGTCATAAATATTGCCAACTTGTATGCCTATTGCTCATCGAGGGTAGTTTCCTTAACTTTTTTGGCTGTTATTTTGAACCACATCACGCCAGCCCATGAGTAAACAGACCTCTCTATGGCCAGGCTATCATGGCTGAACATACACGGATTTCCGGAACACTGTAAAGGAAACGAAATATTCCCCATGAACTTGTGATTGCCAATTATTTTATTTCCTCAATCAAATTTGTGGTTGGCTTTTCAGAGCCAGCATTAGTCCACGATCAATTAGGGCCTAAAAAGCGATATTAAATGCTCCGTTTTGTTCCACTGAATCTTAGGTCAGGTAGACTCCGGTAATACAATGTATTACAATTTACATCACGTGACTAAAATGGGAGGAATTCCTCCTTTTTCCGAAACTGTCCGAAGTTTGCCGAATTCATTTCGTCGACAATCGGATAGTGTCAGAGTATTTCCGAGTATAATATATGTTTTATTAACTGCTAATTGCTTATTAAAAACTTCAAAAAAAAAATAGTTGATAATTAATATCCTTGCTTTTATTTAGAAAAATTGAAATTCAACGACGATTTTGCACTCGGATCGTATACGAGGGGCGAACTTTTTGCTGCGTCATGCACTAGTTTGAATTTGACGACCGTTACTGGCATTTTCCAAAACGCGGCGTGGTCTCAATTCGGCTCCGCCTGCTAACAGTGCTGTTTGGGTGTCCAACTTTGAAGATTCCAGGTTAAAATTAGTCAATGTTTTTTTACAGAAGTATTAAACTGTATGATATATGAAGCAAATGATTTATTTTTTAAAAAATCGGAACATTACAAGCTTTATGTGATAAAGCGAATTCGGAAGCGAAGTCGAGCTTTGAAAAAGGGCCGTCAATGTCGTCATGTTTATTTTTAGCCACGGAGGCTGCCTGACCTACAATTTAGACGTGTAGACGTCGGGGGAAATTGTCAGGTCGGGGAACCAGACTACGTTTTGCGCAATTCGGCGCGTTCAATCTTTTTAAAAAAAAATTTTTAATTTGCGTCAGATTTGGCATTTAAACAGTAAATGTCGAAAACAGCAACTTCAATGCAGTCAAGTATTGTGAGTTTACGTGAAAAGTGTTTTTCCGTTTTTGCATGAGACAAATCTGTGTCTTTAATGCTGTATCAATGTCGGATTCAGATTATTCATTTCTTCAAAGGCAAAGTGTGTTAGCATAGATTTTTATTATACCCCAAATTCTAGGTATCTAAGTAATTCGTTTGCTCTTTTTTGGAATAAAGATGATAATTTTTTTGATATGTGGTTGCGAGAACCATTATTTTGTTTGGCGCCAAATGCATGATTTATTAGGAGTTCAAGTGCGCAGTGGCGCCATATACTTGGCGTTCGCTGATTGGACGAAAGGCATGAGCTCAGCGCGTGATACCAACGTGATACAAGCAATAGTAGACAAAAACCACGCCATAAATAAACTGGGGAAAAAATGTTTGCGCAACTTGGCACAAAAAGGACCTTTGTTTTGTTGGAATGCTAACTGCCTGAGAATTTCCAGATGTGAGAAATTCCGAGGCTGAGAAAATTCTAGAAAGATATGGATTGCGGAACACATCCGGGGGGAAAACTGGCATTTTTTAAGCTTTCGCAACAGGTTGACGTGGACAGAAATTGGATATTTTTTGCTGCCAGTAAAACTGAACCGAAGGCTGAGTCATTGTAGCCAAAATCAATATATCGTCAACGAAATAATGACCTTCCATATGGATACTAAACTATACATCTGAACCATTTTTGTTTTAAAGAGCATTAGACTGAAAAAAAAAGAGATACCTCTATCCAGATTCATGCAGTGTTATAGGGGATACAACATGACAATTTTTTTTTACCATTTTTGTGTTTTTGTTTTTGGTAAACATTTACTATTATGGCCTCGAAATTAAAATGGTATTTCTATTAAGGGAGCCATACTAATGGTATAACAAATACGATATTCATGTATTTTGTTTTGAAGATAAGGGCTTCGAATCGTGAATGTTGAAATGTATTTCTTATGGTTGAAATAATTAATGTTCAGGTTAATGTATAAACGAATGAATATCGAAATTTCTTGATAATATTTTATTATATCATATATTTTGTGTTGTAATTTAATTCGGATTCAGTGACTATTTTCAAATGGTTTAAACATCTCCAATTATTCTTAAGTTATTTCAAATTATTTAAAGTCTTATAAAATATTTTACTTTAAGTTTATGGGTAATGGGTTTTAGAATTCAACGTGTTAGCATGTACACGTTCAATAATTTATTTGGTCCAAATTATGAAATGCCGAACATTTCGTTATGAACTCGTCTACACAAAACTGGTGTATTGTACGTCCTTCAATTCTTACAGACAGGGGGGGGGGGGGGCAGATCGTAGATATTGGCAAAGACTCTGCTGGCGAAGACAGAGAGACCTACGACCCACGTCTGTGACGTAACGTCCTTCAGAGATTGTGCGCAATCACGGCATTTTGCGTGAAAATCGCGAGTGCCGAAAAATTACGCGCCGTGTCTTTTTCGGCACGTGCACCAGAAAAGGTCAGGTGTGTGTGAATTCAACCGGGAGGCACCATTCTGTATACAAGACAAAAATACCGTCTAGAAAACCCAAGTAGAGAGATATTACCAAGTGTTCAAAAAAAACGTGCAGCACAAACTATATGAACTGGAAAAGTTGTTCAACTTACCATAGCTCGGTTGTGGTTTTTTTTATTGAAAGGAAGAAATTAATATGAATTTGTTTTGAGTTTCAAGATCGAAGGAAGAACGAATTTGAGCGAATTTGTTTCTCAGCTACCTCACGTGACAGGCAAAACCTCGTATGTCACATGTCATCCACCTCATCCAGATAAGACAAAACCACGGTCATCTTTGTGGCTTCCAAAACTGCAACCTGTCATTCCCAACAGCATATCAGCTGGCAAAACACAAGAAAACTGAAGGTCACCAGTGCAAAAGAGGAAGACCGACAACTTCACGCCGTCATTGAACTAGACACACATGTACATGGTGTTCAAGTACATGTACATGCAAGTGCATGTACATGTACATGTTCAGTTTTTTATTCATCGAAATTAGGGGTGGGTGGGTGGGTCAAAATAATTTGGAAAAAAAGTCGAAATTTTAAAACATTGAAAATTCTGAATGGCCCCTTAACCTAACCAAAATGTAATACTCGGAAACATGCTTACATGGACGGACACACAAAAAACAGAAGGAATACACTTATCACAATATGCCCCTTTGTGGCTGAAAAGCCAGCGGATAAAAATAACAATAACGATGATAAATTTGTATTATCAAGTAAATGTCAACCGAATCTGTTATAAAGAACCCACCTTTTCTCTTTGGAACTCCTCATAATCCTCATCGTCCGTTGGCAACTCATGACGACAGACAGGGCAAGTGTTTGTCTGAGCCAGCCAAGGCAAGATACACCGGGGATGAAAGTCATGTTTACAGGGAAGCACTTTGCACTGTTCTCCTGCATTGTAGTCCACTAGACAAATGGGACATCTTGAATCTGGAGAGAAAAAGGGAGAAATGGCTCTTCAGGTTAATTTCCTTGAACTGTAACTTGAATTTGAATACTTGATTATAAATATATTAGAGAAGAACTTGTATGGTGGTCTACAATGATAATTAAGTGGTAATAAGGCGAATTAAAAAAAAAAACATGTTTAGCGTCCCCGCCCGCTTCCTTTTTAGAGGCCGCTTCCTTTTTAGAGGCCGCCTCCTTTTTTTTTTTTTTTTTTTTTTTTTTTTAAAGACAAAAAATGATAATTTTAACGCAGAAGAGATGTTCGGTTCTGCATAGTTACATCATTTTGGTCTCATTTTCTGTTGCATCTTGCCCATAAGAAGCCAATATGTCATTTCCTGAGTCCAAGTGGCGGCCATTTTGAAAAAAGCTGGTAACCATCTTGAAAAATAGCCCGGCCGCGTTGTCTTGAAAAATGTGTCGGGCGGCCATTTTGAAAAGAAAAAAAGAAAAAAAAAAGGGCCTCCTCCTTCCTTTTTGTCAGAGGCAGGACGCTAAACATGTTTTTTTTTTATCTTGCCTAATCTATTGTACAGGAAAATATCATGGTTTAAAGGGAAAATACATTTGCAAACATCAAAAAATAAAACTACCAAATCATTTTGAAATACCTTGTTGGACTGTTAGTGAATGACTGTGTAAATTATCCTGTAAAATCATGGCACCTGGTAAACTATCATTTTCAAGAAAAGTGGTATTTTTGTATCAATTTCCAACGCTGATCGGCCGATCAGCATTGGAAAAAACTGGCTTTTTTTCAAATACTGGCCCCAGTTGACCATCGCACTTGTTTGCAATCGATTACAAACCTATGAACGGGTACGAGCCAGCTAGACTGGTTCCCTGACCTTACAATTCCCCAATGTATGTAAACTGCTCTGTTTCTTCTTATATGGAGTCAGGGAAATATTTCCAACCCCCCAATTCCTTCCATTTCTGAAAATTACAGCAAAAGCAAATGATGTATATTCCCTTTAAAGGTAACATAAATTAGCTTTTGCTGTAAGATTAAAAATGGGATGGATTTGAGGGTTAGTGATGTATAGCAACTATTGTTACATTGACCTGTTTAAAGTTTTGTTTTCAAAGATGCTGGAAAAACCAAGAACTGTGTAGTCTAGTTCTCTGACCCTACTTCAGACGAAATACAGCAGTGTTTATACGTTAGAGAATTGTCAGGCCAGGAAACCAGACTAGCCATGCTAGCTGGCTTGCACCTGCTTACCCATGTGTAACTGATAGCACTAACTAAATTTGATCAATTGGGGGCAGTATTTGAAAAAATAGTCAGTTTTTTTTCAATGATGGTTGGCCGACCATCATTGGAAATTTATACAAACATTCCATTTGTCTTGCAAATAACAGCACACCAGGTGCCATGATTTAACAGGATGCTTAAGACTATTATTCACTTACAGTCAAGTAAGGTATTTCATGATAATTCGGTAGTTTTTGTTTTTTGATGTTTGGAAATGTTGAATATTACCTATCTTATTTACCTATGGAAAATCTTTCCTTGTTGGCCCAAACTTTCATCAGTTTAAAGGGAATGTACATCATTGGCTTTTGCTTTAATTTTCAGACATGAACTATTTGAGGGGTTAGTATAATAGATCAAATTATTGTTGCACTGACATGTTTGACGTTTTGTGTTCGGAAATGCTGTAAAAGCCAAGAAAAACAAAAATTTTAAGTAGTCTGGTTCCCTGACTCCACTGAAAATTAAATGGATCAATTTATAGATGCCGGAAAATTGTACGGTAAAGGAACCAGTCTAGCTGGCCTGCACCCATTCATGAACATGCAACCAATAAGAAACAAATTTGGACTGAAGAAAAAATGGTAAATTTGGAGCAGCAGCAGTTAAAAAAATAGTTTGGTTTTCCAACGGTGGTTGGCCGACCACCGTTGGAAATGTATACAAAAATACCATTTACTTGAAAATGACTTCACACCAGGTGCCATAATTTTACAGGATGCTTTAAAATGTCATTTACCAACATCCTGTAAGGTATTTCGTAAAAACTTGGTAGTTTTATTTTTCGATGCTTGCAAATGTTGTAATTTCCCTTTAAACTATTTAGAATTGAACAATCTGTCAGTAAGCAAACCATCACCAACCTTCATCTTCACTGATCATCTTATCTGGTAACTTAGCAACCACTTCCTTGGAGGCAGGAGGACCTTTCCTCTCCCCACCAAAATAGTCGAGTCTGTGATAGAAAAATAAATACATAACATAAATATGAAAAAAAAATACATAAATTAATGCAGGACCCCAATTTCAAATAAATTACACTAAAAAAACAGGTCTTACTGATGCAGAGATTACCAACAAACTACTTTGTTTGCAAATAAACATACATGCACTCATTTGGGCTTACCCATCAAAACTTGCCAAGAAAGATCTGACATCGTTCCTCAACAATCTGAATAGAAATGAAAAAAAAATCACCCCTTAGTACATGTACTACAAATGTAGTTGATGAGTGTCTGCAATGCCGTTAAATTCGGCTTGAATTATGGCGATCGTGTAGTTACAGGCCCAATTCCCTATAACAGAACAAAATTTAATTTCAATTAGTTATAATATAAGTTTATAAATATTGGAAAGATTCCCATATCTTTCTGGAAATCACTTGTCACCCTGTGCACAAACCCTATGTGGGATGGGACTGGTCTGAAAATGTGTGTTTTCTCAGTAAAACTTCAAAATTTGTCCCTGCTAATTTTGACTTTTTAGGACATATTAATTATTATCACTTTCTGATGTTATTGAAAATTACTGATGGCCAGATTTGGGAATCTTTCCTAAAACGCAGTGGCTATCGTTTACGGCAGCCGTTATGCATTTCCCATTTTCTATCGTTTAAATACGGTAGTACTGCAACTTTTATAAAAACATGGGAAGAAAATATAAAATTAGAACTGTAATAGAAGGAAAAAAGTGAATTTGAACGTTATGAAATTCGGACTTTATTTCCCTTTTATAAAATACCCCAAAGCCTCAGGTTAGAAAGGAAAAAAAATTCGAGTGCAAAACTGAGATGCGAACCCGCAACCTCGCGGTGCAAAATCCTACCCTCTATCGACTGTGCTGTCGCACTGCTCGCTAAAACGTGGGGAAACAAATAATTATATACCTGCGTGCGTATCAAAAAAGTATCGTAGAGGGCGCTAAACAACGGCTGCCGTAACGATAGCCACTTCGATATAAAAATAGCAGTGAAAATAAAATATAATCTCACATAGCCCCACTAGTGTGGCCGTCGGTATGCTGCGCAGAGGTTCAGCGCAGAGGTTCAGCGCAGCATACCGACGGCCACACTAGTGGGGCTAAATCTCACCTTGCCCATCGTAAGAGAGTATTTGCATCTGGGCCTGATCCATCTGTCTCTTCACAATCGTGTTCATCAAAATATGAAGCCATGGCCTTTTTCAATCGTGTCAATTTAAAGGCCTACAATAAAAAAATGCGCAAACTCTATTTCAAGAATGAAGAAAAGTCAACACTCTAATTAAATAATGTTGTTAAATACTTAAAAGAACATGAAAACAGGCCTACGTTAAGTTATATGTTATAGGTTTATCTCAGATATCTTCATATTAACGAGAGCCTTAGAAATCAAACACTTTGTTGTGGTCTTTACTGTAGAAAAGGTACAAAATCACAAAACAGCAGAATCATTCATCATTTTATGTACAAAAACTACAAAATCATGTTTGATCGGGTCCCGAAATGTCATGGAACTATTTATCTGGTTCGGATGGCAAGAGAAGTCTGGGTGTCAAACTGTATTCAACCTTAGCTTACCAGCTATCCACTATTGAGGGCGCTCTTCGTAATTATCCCAGGATCGGAAAAGCACTCGGCGACCGCACAGTGGGGCACAGTGACACTAGACTGAAACTTCATGTTGATTTTTAAGCTTTGTAGTCTTATTTAGACCGACTTAACATGGAGAAGACTAAAAGTAACAACAGTACTGATTCAGAAACTTCTAGTGATGCGGAAAAAAAGCTGAAGAGAGGTGAAATATAACTTGTTTTCGAAGTGTTACCAGTTTATTAACCAGTGTGACATGAGTGACGCGTGATTAGAAAATGTGTGAGGGCGCTGTTCATTTGGTGACCCAATTTACTGAATGCCAGCGGGTTTGCGCGGCACCCGCTAGATGGGTGGAGTTGACTGTTTTGTATCATTTTATACGGTAAAATCTCAATAAGTCACACTCTAAATCATAACTCAAAACGGAAAAAATTCCGTACTTGGATGTCACTTTTTTCAATTAATTTTCTAGCGCCAAAAGTTACATCTTTTATGGTTATTTCCTCCACTTTCCCTCCTCTACTCTCACCCTCTCCTTTCCTTAATTTCTATTTATTAATCAGTCAGTTACTTCATCGGGGTTCGAACCTCTGACGCTTGCTTGATATACGAGACTCTTAACCGCTAGGCCGCGCACGATCGCTGTTGCAATAATTAATCTTTGGACGTATTTGAAGTATCCATTGAAATAAACTAAATATTCATGAGAAAATAAATATTCATAGTGACGTATTGCACTATCATTGGCAGGCTCATGCGACGTCATGGTTGTTGATGTCACGTGTATAACGTGCCGCTGTCTTTCAGCCACTACAATCAGTTTTGACCGACTGCTTCAACTTAGTTCTGCACGACGTATGCATCCAAAATGTGCTCTAAAAAAACATTTTGAGTAAATTTTTTTCACCTTAACACAGCTTCCTGGATTTCTCTTGGTCCAAGTAGCTCTACTGAGTGGAGCGTTGAATTACGGGTACCCCTCCATACCAACGCTCCACCGATTCGCCATACTTTGGTGACACCGTCACAGTAGCATAGTCACAAACCCACGCGAGGACAAAAAGACCCCAAAAAACCGGTAAAGAGATTACAAATGAGAGAGACAGTTATCCTGGATTGATCTATACATTCTTGACATTCCATGAGACCCTTATATTGTTCCCAAACAGCGAACATTTTGGAAAAAAACAAACAGCAAAATAGTCTAAAAACTTACAGTTCAATGTGTTTGCATGGAGGCTCAGTTCTTGAATTAGCTTGTCAATGAGGGCGTCTGATGTGACGTCACCGTCGTTGCTCGATCGCGAAGAAAAACAAGTCGCGCTTTATCAACGACTGTTTCGTGTAATAATACGTGCTCCGATCCACGCCGCGCCGTACGACAGTATGGGCTTTGAACACACCCAAGGAGCACGTATTATTACACGAAACAGTCGTTGATAAAGCGCGACTTGTTTTTCTTCGCGATCGAGCAATGACGGTGACGTCACATCAGACGCCCTCATTGACAAGCTAATTCAAGAACTGAGCCTCCATGCAAACACATTGAACTGTAAGTTTTCAGACTATTTTGCTGTTTTTTTCCAAAATGTTCGCTGTTTGGGAACAATATAAGGGGTCTCATGGAATGTCAAGAATGTATAGATCAATCCAGGATAACTGTCTCGCTCATTTGTAATCTCTTTACGGTTTTTTGGGGTCTTTTTGTCCTCACGTGGGTTTGTGACTATGCTACTGTGACGGTGCTTCCAAAGTATGGCAAATCGGTGGAGCGTTGGTATGGAGGGGTACCCGTAATTCAACGCTCCACTCAGTAGAGTAGAGCTAGGTTCAAAGGACAAGGTGAGGTGACAATTAATATGTTTGGCAGCAGATAAATTGACGTCCGAGTATGGAACTTTTCCCCTCAAAACAACTCTTTAAGTCAAATAAAGAATCCATTGCCAACTGCGCATGAGCCCATCAGATTCAACGATTTAGTTACGGGGATAAACAGTTCATAAAATCATAGAGGGGAGGCCTACCAACGAAATCAAAGAAAAGTTCTTGTTTTGAAGAAAATGCAAAATGTTGATTGTCAACGGCATCATGGTTTAAGATGTTTTTTTATATGCTCCAATTTTTTGTGCAAACAAAAGTTTCCATCTTCTTTTTTACTAGCTAAAAAATTGCAAAATGCAGATTTGGTTACCACGTCACCCATTGATTTGTGTGCATTCAGCTGCTTTGTTTATCTCTCGCGAAAGTGGTCGTCAAGCAGATCCCATGCATGCGTGATTGGAATACTGAATTGGCTTATAGGAAATTGTGATTAAAATTGTGATCATTTTAATTCGACATTCATACTGTTCTATTTAAAATTCAAATATAATTTTTGAATTCATGATTGCCATCTACGTCTGCCATAAAAGCAAATGTAGACAATATAACTAGAATAATAGTCTCCCTAGCATTGACTGTTGTTACAGCAGCCGTGCGAAACGCCATTGTCAACGGCTATTGTAACGGCATCGTCTGGTTCCCTGACTGAATACTGTAATGTCAGGGTCTTTGGCTGTTTGAACCAGACTACATTGTCATTCAACTGAATGGTTCTCAGAATTTCTTTCCCTTTTTAAAACAATTCCTCCAAAGCCATGACTTACAAAGAAGAAAATGAAATCTACTTAAGTAAAAAGGACGATTTGATAAAAAAAAGTAGCAGCACAGCAGCGGATTTGAACCCTGATCCCCAGCAGAGTAGTCGAACACATAACCGATCGAGCTACCGAAGGGTTCTGGTTTGATGGATAGTTGTAAATGTGATAGTGATTTTGCCGTAACGATAGCCACTGCGTTAATTGAAATACAAATTTTGTCTTCGGTTGGTCATACTCAAATTTTGTCTTTGGTTGGTCGTACTCCTCCGACCACCAAGACAAAATTTTTAAAAAGGGGTTCAAGCAGCGCCCCACTTACTGGGTCTCGACTTTTTCATTTTCTTTTTCTCAATTTCTGATTCACTACTCATGGCATATCTGTTGTCTGGAGGATTTGTTAAAGGGAAAATACAACATTTGCAAACATCAACAAATAAAACTACCAAATCATTTTGAAATACCTTGCTGGACTGTTAGTGAATGACAGTGTAAAGCATCCTGTAAATTCGTGGCACCTGGTATACTGTCATTTTCAAGAAAAGTGGTATTTTTGTATCAATTTCCAACGCTGATCGGCCGATCAGCGTTGGAAACAACTGGCTTTTTTTTCTCAAATACTGGCCCCAATTGACCATCGCACTTGTTTGCAATCGATTACAAACCTATGAACGGGTGCGAGCCAGCTAGACTGGTTCCCTGACCTTACAATTCCCCAATGTAGGTAAACTGCTCTGTTTCTTCTTATATGGAGTCAGGGAACCAGACTACAGGAAAATGATCGTTTTTCTTGGTTTTTATAGCATTTTCGAACCCAAAACCTCAAAAAAGTCAGTGTAACTATATTTGCTATATATTTCTAACCCCCCAATTCCATCCATTTCTGAAAATTACAGCAAAAGCAAATGATGTACATTCCCTTTAAAGGGAAATAAGTCTGATTCCCATCTCGTGAATATAAAGTTACAATGGCTATGTAAGTGCGGAACCAGAAGAACATTCGTCATGATAACAATTTTTATAAAACCACTCACTGCACATAATCAGTGCTGCGCTGGTAAAAGAGTAAAAGCGTAAAAATAGTTGGGGATCGTTCAGGTCAAATATACATGTACAATGCCAACATTTGTTTCCGTAGAACATGTAGAACATGCAACATGTGCATGGCCTTGGTCTGATTACACCTAACATGGCCGTATACATGGAGGTATTAATGATTGGTTTCAGGGCTCAACTTGCCAAGTTCAACCTGTCATCTCTGAAAGTTGCTGGAATTGACGTCCCTGTCAAAGCTAACCCAGTCAGGAATCTTGGGGTCATGTTTGACTCGGGGATGACTATGTCTGCTCAGGTGTCCAGTATCATCAAAGCTGCAAATTTCCACCTAATCAGCATCAGTAGGGCCCGTAAACTGCTGACTGTGGAGGCCACCAAGTTAGCAGTACACACTGCACGACTGGACTACTGTAACAGCCTCTTGATTGCTATCAGTCAGAAACTGAAAAAGAGACTTGACAATGTTCAGCGATCTGCTGCCAGAGTAATTTCAAACAAACAAAAGTTTGACTCCATCACTTCTGAACTTATCAAATTACACTGGCTTCCAAGCACACAAAGAATCAACTACAAGGTCATCATTCTTATGTTTAAAGCGTACTGGAAACAAGCTCCCGCTTACATTACGGACATGCTCCAAATTAGTTCTCAACAGAGACGACTTCGATCATCAACCTCCTGTTCACTACACTTTGTTGAGCCTAGAACCCATTGTGTCTCTTTTGCTGATAGATCATTTTCTGTATACGGCCCCAGAATCTGGAACAAACTTCTAGAATACATTAGAGATACCACATCACTGCATACATTCAAGACACTCCTGAAAGCTCACCTGTTTCAGGAGGTGTACCATCAATAATTTTTCTTCTTTTTGGTGCCCCATCAGCGCCTTAGAGAAAACCTTTTGATTTTGGCGCTTTATAAATTTCTTTTGATTGATTGATTGATTGATAGATACACTGCTGTATGTCGTTGCATAGTCTAGACATTCGATCTACAGCATTGATGGTTTATGAGCACCTGAATGTTAAGTAATTACATATGAGGCGTCTGTGAGTCGCCACTCGCACAGGATCTAAAACCCCTTCTGTGATTTCCTTATTTGCCCTTCAGTGGAAAGTTCTGAAGTAGGAGTCGAGACAGGAACAGAAGCCACGGAGCCAGACCATGGCATTGCTGAGTTGACACGAGACATGTTCACCAAGATGACAGCGTATATCAGGGGAGATCTCGCAGGTACGTAGAGGCAGACTTCTTGCCTGACAAACTAGCTTTGTTATGCCCCAACTAGACCATCGACCCAACTACAGGGTGAGTACAAAAAAAACGAAACCCAAATGTCGGGACTATTGTTTTAGTGTAGCTCTGGCTATAGCACTGTCAAAATCTAGGATATGAAAGCCTAATTCATAAGCTTTCTCTTAGTACAAGAATCATTCAAATCACTCATGTACTTTTTAAGTTACAGAATTTTAAACACAACCCCCGTTTTAAAGTTCTGTCCACGGATCGCAAAAAAGTGTGCGTTCTTTCAGCAAAATGAATCCAATTCACACACATCCCTATGTGATTTGTTTTTGTTTTGCTGAAAGAACGCTTACTTTTTTGCGATCCGTTGACAGAACTTTAAAGCGGTGATAGTGTTTAAAATTCCGTAACCTGAAAATTACAAGAGCGATTTGAATGATTCTTGTACTAAAAGAAAGCTTATGAATTGGGCTTTCGTATCCTAGATTTTGAAAGTGCTACATCCAGAACTTCACTAAAACAATGGTCCAGACATTTGGGTTTTTTTTTTTTACTCACCCTGTATAGTTGGGACGTACAGTCCTCACTTCAGTTGGAACCATCCCAACTACATTGTTCCAATTAGTTGGGAAGATGTCTGCACTAGTAAGCAGGAGGTCATGGGTTCGAGTCCCACCTGAGTAAGCTTTTTCTCACAGCCCGTGGAATACACTGAGTATTTGGTATTGATGAATGTTCGTTGGTGAGGGACAAAACTCAATGTTGAATTTACATCTCTTTTGTGTTTTTGGTCGTGTATTGTTCACCTTTTTCAAATGATTAACAATAGCATTGTTAAAGTTGGTGTCAAGTGACTTGTAAACATTATTAATAAATACCTTGGAGAGTTGATGGTTTCTGATTGGTCGAGACTCGATCACGTGGCCGGGCATTAACCCTTACCCTACTTGACCCTCCAATGCATGCCAATTGTGCCTCAAGAAAATCTCCTATGTTTTTTGCATGGCCCTCCAATATCTGCCATGTCATTTCAAGGGTAACTGGACAGGCACTCCAATACATGCCACAGAGAACAATGAGAGTCCTCTGATAACAAAGTGAGTGCCCCCAGCTGGTCAGTATCAGGCACCCTCCAGGGCCTCCAACTCCTGCCAATTGGAGCCTTCACTGTTAAGACTTGTTATCTGCCAAATAACTGCAGCTGGAGGGCATTGGCATAACCAACTGACATGCAGTAAACTACCCTCAGAGAGTAAGGGTTAACGGTGATAATGGACCGGCTTCAAAGATCAAGCGAATAAATGGCCCCTGAACCAGCATTGATCCAGCCCTGTTCAGCCCCATGCAACAGTCCTGCGGTAGCTTGTAACAATTGAGCACTGCACATGCGCTCAACCCCCATCACGTGAGACTGACGCGCGCGTACGCACCACAGTTGCTAGGGATGCGTGTGTGCGCGCGCGTAAGGAAGTTTTGAAACGACATCGTACAGCAGTGCAGTATATACTGAGGATGTTTACGACGAAAGCGTAGATCTACGATTTATTTTCTTTGAACACTTCACCCACCGACATATTTACCTTTCCTAAACCAAGCATCTTTGTAATTCCGGACACAAGGAATGTGTAAACGAGATTTCAGCTTCCTCCATCAGGTAAAGATATGAAAACATTGTTGAAATTTGTTTCGCTACGGCAGCAGTTTCTGTTGAGTTATCGCCGAAGAAAGTCACAAAATTGGAGCACCTTGCCTCGGTCCATTAACAGCGGTCACCCCCACACCCGGTCATTATCACGCAGTATAGACCGGCTCCTCACACTGTTATTCCCTTAGTATTATTTTTTTATTATTATCAATAGCAACTGCAGAGGACTACAAACTTCTGGAAGACATGAACAGGCTAACATCTAAGAAGTATGAGGACATGAAACAAATGGCTACATGTATTGCCCAGGATATGAAGACCTTGGATGAGAAATGTAAGGACATGTACATGAACATGTAATAAAACCTTAGTGTTTACTATCCCTTACTGTATGTGTTGTTTGCCAGTTTGCACTAGCGTTTTATACTGGTACTTTTCATTAATGAAGCTTTTCTCTAACCAAACCAGTCTGTCTTCCTTATGTTTGTTCAAAAAAGTCCAGCACCAGATTTCATTGAACAAAAAAATGTGAGTTCCCCAAAACCAAATCTTGGGTGCGCCACGTCAGTCACTGAGTCAGTCACTGAGTCACACAAAAGATTATAGCCTGGCCCCTCTGGTACCAGCAAACGAGAGTTTGACATTTTTATGTAGAAATTGGATTCTGTGGAATTATTGACCACTATTGTATAAATTATCCTCTTACAGATAAGAACTTGGAACCTTACTTGGCTCAGGTGGATCAAATTGAAGAAAGCGTCCTCAGTCTTGAGCAGGCTGCACTCAGATTGGATGCATATGCCAGAAGACTAGGTAAAGTCTATGGTCTGAATAATGTTCTGAATTACAACAACATTGCAGGCAGTATTTTGATTCAATGTAAATTGGAGGAGACTAGGTAAAGTCTATGGTTAGAAGTTCATTCTCCAGGAAAATCTGTCCGTCTTTTTGTGTACAGCTAGAACAGTCACCAAGTTTTATGATTAAAGTCTAGCTTGGTGAGGATTATTCATAACTATTTTTCGTCATTTAAAACACAAAGCTACATCATTCCAAAAGATTAATCAATTTAGATCAGACGTTATTTCAAGGTTTAAAAAATGCATGACATCTGAGTTGAGGTATGTGCTGAACATACATAAGGGATTTTGCCTTGAAGCTAATGTATACAAAATTGCAAACTTTAAGTGAATGCCAGTCTAGATCATCCTATAAAATCATGGCATCTGGTGTGATGTCATTTTCAAGAAAATTGATATCTTTGTATGTATTTCCAACGCTGGTCGGCCATTTTATCTTAAATGGAATGTACATCATTGGCTTTTGCTGTAATTTTCAGAAATGAACTATTTGAGGGGTTAGTATAATAGATCAAATATTGTTTAACGGACATGTTTGAAGTTATGTGTTCGAAAATGCTTGAAAACCAAGAAAAACAAAACTGTTTAAGTAGTCTGGTTCCCTGACTCCACTAAAGATAAAATATATCAACTTATAGATGTTGGAAAATTGTAACGTAAGGGAACCAGTCTAGCTAGCCTGCACTCGTTCATGAACATGTAACCAATAGCAAACAAAATTTGGACTGAAAAAAAATTTGTTACTTTGGAGCAGTAGTTGAAAAATAGTTAGGTTTTTCCAACGGTGGTGGGCCGACCACCGTTGGAAATGTATACAAAAATACCATTTTCTTGAAACTGACTTGACACCAGGTGCCATAATTTTACAGGATGCTTTAGACTGTCATTTACCAACATCCTAGTAAGGTATTTCGTTAAAACTTGGTAGTTTTATTTTTCGATGTTTGCAAATGTATATTCCCCATAAGTGGGGTCAGGAAAACAGACAACAGAAACATCATTGATTTTTTTAGGTTTTTCCAGCATCTACGAACACAAAACTTCAAACAAGTCAGTATAACAATATTTGCTATAAAATACTGACACCCATATCCATCCATTTCTGAAAATCACAGCAACAGCAAATATTCTCTTTAACCTTTGATGGGGGGGGGGGGGGGAACGCTACAGTACATGTAAGCATAATGTGATACCCAATGGGTAATAGGGGATGTGCAAAATCATATTAAATTTGGATGATTCAGGACTGTTAGGGCAACTGTAACACAGAAAGTTGTAATTAATCCCCATTGTTACAAGTGTGCAGGTAGAATATACACTATAACTCAGACCCATGGCTTGATGAAGAAGCGTATTTGGTTTGAAACATTGCTATAAGCAGTGGCAGTAATTTCATTATCAACATTGAGGGAGGGGGATGGGGAACCACCAGCTTGGAAAATTTGAAAGGGGGTTGGGGGAGGGCGGATAATTGACCCACTTAATACTCTAGGGGGCGCTGTTTGACCTGAATGTACTTCAGTACACATTCTTCTGAGTAAGTACTGTTGAATTTACGTAAAATGGGTGCTGGAAGAGAAGCCTTATAGAGCCATTAAACTGGGGGAGAAAAATTATGAACACTGGTTAATTTTCTAGAAATTATGCACTGGGAATATCATTCTGTGTGTGTGGGGAGGGGGGATTGCCATTGGTGTCCCCACCAATACTCTTGGGGGAACATCCCCCCCCCCCACTCTCCCCCCCCCCCCCCACTCTCTCCCCCCCACTCTCCCCCCCCCCCCCCCCCCAACCCCAAAATTTGTGTAGCTACAATAAAGAACTCAAGCTCTCCAACGATGTCCTGGTTGGATGTTACTCTCACCATGAAATAAACTCCATATTATATGAGCCACAGTGTTTTAAATAAGTAATTCAATGTCTTTTTCCTTCCCAGAAGCTAAATTCAAACACCTAGAGAAGAGGTGAGATGAACAGGAAGAGCTTTGCCAGGGATATCTACTACATTGTCCATGGGCAGGAACACCACACGTCAACCTTGCCTACTCGTCAGACCTAAAAACAACTCTTACCAATTCCTGATAAAAATCATATACCTAGGAATATAATTCCTTTTACAAATTGTTCTGATATTTTGTTTCAAAAAATTGGACTTATCTTGTGGACAATAAAAGAATATTGAAGAAAATATTGTACTATATTGTAGGAACTGCTGTATTGAACAAATGTAAACCTGCAGATCCCATCCAAATGAATTTATGTACATAATTCGATTGCAGCTAGAACAGTTACAGGTATTTGCCCAATTTGTAATTATTCGTGCAGAAAAGATAGAGCTACTTGTTCAGTATCTCCCGTATTGGGCCAAGTAAAAAAATAAAGAAGTTTACCGTACCTGCCTGCTTCCTTTTTTGTAAATCAATAATTTGCGATATATTTAGATTTTTATGTTCTTCCAGCAAACTTGTAGCTATGTATGCAAGTTCAGATTTTTTTTTACTGTTTTAAGGCATTATATTTCATTTGGAGACGAAAGTATCAGTAAAGAGTCAAGAAAATGGAAGAATCCATCTTGGAATTTCAGCTATCTTGAAAGAAAAAAAAAGAGAATTTATTGTTTTAGGCCCGGATGAGAAACTATATATTCTTTTACTTGGCCTTGCTACAAACAGCTACAAGTGAATAATATATCACACAGTTGAACAATGGAGATAACTGGGAATGCACTTATAATAGGCATGGTTCTTCCAGACTGAAGTTAGGGAGATGTCTGAAATTGATAGTGAGTCAGTCGATCAGCCTCAGTCAGTCAATCAGTCAGGTAGAAAGAAGACCATGGACTACCTGTTTTTGGGAATGCGGATTCAGATTTATTTCTAGCCCCGGCCAGCTGGGTAAATTTGAATTTTATCGTTATTAAAGGAAACATGCAGTAGGATGTTCATGATTTAAATACATTTAAAGGGAATATACAACATTTGCAAACATCGAAAAATAAAACTACCAAGTTTTTACGAAATACCTTACTAGGATGTTGGTAAATGACAGTCTAAAGCATCCTGTAAAATAATGGCACCTGGTGTGAAGTCATTTTTAAGAAAATGGTATTTTTGTATACATTTCCAACGGTGGTCGGCCGACCACCGTTGGGAAAAACCTATCTTTTTTTTCAACTACTGCTCCAACTTTACACTTTCTTTGGTCCAAATTTTGTTTGCTATTGGTTACATGTTCATGAACGGGTGCAGGCCAGCTAGACTGGTTCCCTTACCTTACAATTTTCCGGCATCTATAAATTGATCCATTTTATCTTTAGTGGAGTCAAGGAACCAGACTACTTGAACATTTTTGTTTTTCTTGGTTTTTCCAGCATTTTCGAACACAAAACTTCAAACATGTCAGTGTAACAATATTTGATCTATTATACTAACCCCTCAAATAGTTCATTTCTGAAAATTACAGCAAAAGCCAATGATGTACATTCCCTTTAAAACATTTTTCTTGCCATGTAACAGTTGTAACTATGACTTTCCACCTCCTTTGTAGCAGTAAAAGGGAGAAATTTCAACATTGGAGTTTTTATGCTAATGAATGTCCATATTCATGAGCCAAAGCGTGAGAGCTTTGTGTACAAATTTATATCAAACTTTTCCTCATTTTCTTGGAGTTCGTTCAACTTTTTACTTGTTTGTCATGTTAAACAGCTTGCTTGGATAATAGTAGTGGCCACTATTTCTTCAAACCTTTCCTGTGGGTAATTTTGGAAGGACTAGTTTTTGTGCTGTTCACATGCACTTTTGACAAGGATTACCTTGTGTGACAAAAGCAAAATAGCGCCCTCTTACATGTATTCATGAAAGGATTTGCTAATAATTGAAAAATCACCACTTTCTTGTCACTTCCAGTGATCTTGTATGTATTGTTGCAAACACTTAGTAATCTGCATGCAAACAAGATGAGCTGAATTTCCACTGCATGTTTCCTTTATTTGTCCATCCAGGCCCACCAGATGATTTGATAAAAAAAAGTTTAATTGAGCAAGCTTGAACACCATCGACCAGTGGGTACTTGGCAATTTTTGTACAAGTTACATTAACTTACAAACTAATACATGTAAATTAGTTGTTTGAATTGTAAATAAATCAGGACAAATGTTATGAATAAACAAATAATGATGTAAAAGAATATGCACTCATTTTTCGAAGTGTTTTTTATTCCAACATCTTAATAAAAATATAAGCGCCTTGAGGAATCACATAAGCTATCTGCAACTGTTGTCATTGTGACATGCGCATTTAAAAATGGCGTGAATAGTTTGTGTCCATCCTCTGTGTGCGTGATACACCTTCAGTACCTTCACCCTGTATCACTCACCTGTACCTATGAGCTAGCTGGGTGGGCAGCTTATACATTATGCATTGCTCAATCTTGATTTAACCAATCAACATCTTGTGCGAAAGGTCAATTATGAATAAATGAATATATAATAACCAGCATTTAATTCCGACGCGCCGGTCGATCCACCGTATACCGTACGTACCGCCGGCCACCGTACGTGTACCCACAGCGAAACTCTGCTGTAAAGACGGTAAGAAAACCTCTCGTATTTCATCTTTTATCTCATCAGTGATTCTAGTAATAACGGAGATTTAGTGAGAAGGATATTTATAGAGCATTTTAGCTTCAGTAAATCTAAAGTTACCTCATCCAAAAAGGTGAGAAAATCGAAGAAGAAATGTTCAAGAATGACGTTCATCAAACTGCATGTAGTTTGTAGGCCGGCTACGCGTACATGGCGTACGGCATGTACGGGGGGACTACTGTCCGGTGACCTTCATGTTTATTTTAGCCACGTTGACCCAGTTTACGTGACCCACTATGAAATTTATAAACTATTTTTTTGCCTTGGACAGCGAATAATATTAATGATTACAACACTGGCCAAATAACATGAAAGGATATCGGTGATCATAGATATTTTCTTCACTAAAAAATATGTTTTGTTAGCTTCGTGGCGTGCCGTTGTTGCGTGTGTCGGATCGCGTAGGCCTACGTGCGTTTTTACAACCAACGCATGGCCGCCGCCGAGGCGGCCGGCGGGTCAACTGGTGAAGGACAAATCTCTTCGATTTCGAATATGAATCCAGTTTGACTTTGAGCATTGTTTGATTTGATTTATGTATTGAGAGGTGGAAAGATTCCCATATCTGGCCATCACTTTTCATTTCTAACTCTTTTCTCAGTAGGCCTAAATACAGTCGTTTTCCTAGTCGATGCTAGTTCTGGATAGCAAACATCATTCAGGCTGCTTTCGGCTCAACTACTCCACGAATTCAAGTGACACTGGTTTAAAAGTTTACCTTGAATTGAGTGATGGAGAGACTACAAAATAATTTCCCAAATTTAAGCTCTCTTTATTGTGACTTTACGACATCAAAAGTACTGATGCCGCTTTTCCTAGTTGCGGATCGGTTCAATCAGTTCCGAATCAAAAAAAAATCAAGCGAGAAAATCAATTTTTCAGCCAGAACCACCCCAAATCAAGCACATTTTCTGTAAAGTATTATTTAATTGTCCAAAAAAGTTCATTCAAGAGAATTCCAGCAAATTTTCAAAAGAGAATTAACGTAAATAATTTTGAAACTTTTGTATGCAGCGCAACGGCACGAACTCACGCACGGACCGAAAACCTTGCACACGGCACAGAATACGTCACACAAAATCAATCAATGCGCATTTCGTTGGGTTGTAAGTGCACGCGCGATCCGGAACTAGGCAAAAGCATACGGTCATTCGTTGGTGAATTTTCTAATATTAGAGACGCTACAAATAATTTTGATAGAACACACATTCGACGGAAGAGTTTATACGACTGTAGTGAATGACAAAAATATTCGAAACCACACGGTACGAGAGAAATACTGAGAAGAAATTTTATCGTCGATTCGCAGCTCCCATGATTTTCTATAAACGGTCCAAACATGTCAAAGTGCGAGTCGGAAATCTGGCCAAAATTCCTTTTCTAAAAGTTTTATCGAAAAGATCTGTGTGTATCAGGAAGCTTACAGTTTCCTTTTCAAAATGCACTTTGTCAGAAATTTTTTATTGGAGACTAGTCCAGGAACTAGTTCCAGGGACTAGGAACTAGGAAATATCCGGAACTAGGAAAACGACTGTACCTCAAGATTTCTCGTGCTAAATTTGACTTTTTAGGACATATTGAAGGGGAAAATCAGTGATGGCCAGATACATGTATGGGTTCTTTCCCAAACCATCTTGAGTTTTTTTTTTAGTAGTTACGGTTATACTAGAGTTAGGCCCTATGGAAATTCCCAAAATATGCAACATTAAGTTGCTGATCTTGGAAATCCCAAAATGCGCAAGATGATATCCCCCATTATGATTAAATCTTAGTCATTCTTTTAGTTTTACAATACTGTATGAATCTGTGATAAGAACAGAGAAACAAGCATTTTTAATTCATAGCACTCCAATCTTATAAACATCACTTAGAAAATTGAGAAAAGATTAAAGATTGTTTTATTTGCTTTGTGGATGACTAAATATTCCAAAAAAAGAACAATTTTAAACTTTATTAATTTATACATGTACAATGTATATTTGAAAATTCCCCAAATTCCCGATATTCCAGGTCCCTTCAAAATTCCCGGAAACTTTCAGCCCCTTCAAAATTCCCAGAAACTCTTTCAACCCCTTTATAACCAACAGTCCTTGTATACGTGTATACAGGACAGGGTTTGAATTTTTGAGGGCAATTGACGATGAAGATGACAAAACGCAGCTCACACAAATGAAGTCAGATGGTTGGCACTGAGACGCACCATGAATGTACAAAACCGCATTGATTTGCAAAAAACAAGGATCATGTTCTACTTAAAGATACTTTCAAAACGACAAAAACAGTAGGTCATTTAATTTTAAAAGAAGGCTGATTAAAGTTATTTTGGAATGCTTACTGTACATGTAAAACACTCTAACTTCTAAGGACCAAAACGAAAGAGGGGCCCTACCTGACATGTAACTACACAATCACCGAAATAATTTCCCCGTGGACTGTTGAGGAATCTGGATGAACAGTCATTCTGGAATTGATAAACATTTCTAGTTCAGTTAAAAAAAACAATGTACATTTAAATATTGTCGCTACTCGCTCACAGAATGTACGCAATAATTACACTTAACTTCTCACGTGTGCAACATTCTTTTCTGTGTAGTTGTTGTTCATAAGTTAAAGGTCTCTCTCAAATGACGTCACTTTCTACGGATTGCAACGTACACATATAGGCATTTTGGGCATCAAATTTTTTAGACATGCATTGGCTGTGGCGTATTTCTAACAAATTTTGAGCAATGCGCACGTGTGTAACACGCAGTTGTAATTGTTCCTACGAAGATGGCATCCTGTTAGAGTGATATATTTATTCATGGTAAAATTAATGCTGTATTTATAAGCCTCTGTACTGATGACTTCACACTTTGTTTACTTGTGCGCTTGTCTATGGGGATACGAAACCATCGTCCCCACCAGGCTCCCATAAAAAAGCACAAGCGTAAACAGTAAACAAAGGCTTATTCAGCAGGCATGCAAGTTTTTCTAGGATCATCTGATTTCCCTGTTTTTCAATTCACACTTATGCCATTAAAATTTGAATTCACTTAAACAGCTAACATGGCTAATATATGTAGGAACTTCCTCTTCCTTTTTCTCCCAGTGCATGCCTGATTGCTAATCATTTGAATGAACAGTAATTTGCAATATTCTCAGTAATTTTGCTGTCGCAAAAAGAGATTTATTAAATTCTGCGACAAGGAAACAAGGCTTGAAAATATTTTTAAACCATGTGTCTCCTACATGTATTAATTCAGAGAGATTTAATCAGGAAAACATGCAGTTTTGTAACCTCTGTTTTAGATTATACCAACGCTTATATTTTAGTTCAGTTGTTGTTCAAAGTGTGACATTTACATGTACATGTACAGAGATATTGGTGTTCTCATCGTTGATGAAACACAACCTGAACTTTTGCATTTCATTTTTCCAAGCAAGCAAATGTTCAAAACCTTCATGTATTTGTTCCAGTACAATACACTGTAGTTGACCTCTCTGCATGGATCGCATAGTTGTACTAAGTTTGTGCACAGGTTTCCTTTTCATTGGGACCTTCAAACTTTGCTGTGACGCTTTGTTGAATCTTTTCAGTCCAGCTTTATTGTCTGTTTTTGGTCAGGTCTTGCTGAGCTGCAATGGCTGAAGGTTGTGAAGATGTCCTGGTAGAGGTGCAGCGTAAGGTGGTGTGCATCCAAGATGCTATAGCCAGCATCTCAGACAAGCAGCAGCAGCTTAACAACGGCGCCCTCGGGGTAAGTTTTCAAATCTTCATCACCAGCTTCAATACTTAAAGGGAAAATACAACATTTGCAAACATCAAAAAATAAAACTACCAAATCATTTTGAAATACCTTGCTGGACTGTTAGTAAATGACAGTGTAAAGCATCCTGTAAAATCATGGCACCTGGTATATTGTCATTTTCAAGAAAAGTGGTATTTTTGTATCAATTTCGCTGATCGGCCGATCAGCGTTGGAAAAAAACTGGCTTTTTGTTTTAAATACTGGCCCCAGTTGACCATCGCACTCGTTTGCAATCGATTACACACCTATGGACGGGTACAATCCAGCTAGACTGGTTCCCTGACCTCACAATTCCCCAATGTATGTAAACTGCTCTGTTTCTTCTTAAATGGAGTCAGGGAACCAGACTACAGGAAAATGATTGTTTTTCTTGGTTTTTATAGCATTTTCGAACCCAAAACCTCAAAAAGTCAGTGTAACTATATTTGCTATATATTTCCAACCCCCCAATTCCATCCATTTCTGAAAGTTACAGCAAAAGCAAATGATGTATATTCCCTTTAATATCATCAAACTTTCTGATCAGAAATGCAAAACCTTGTTTTGCAAGATTTTGCTGGTGCAAGCTAGATTGTAGAGCCTAGATGCATGATTGATGACCTTATTGAATTCATCACCTTACAGCTGAATATATTTCATTGTCAAGATATGTGTCTTGATAATTTGTTTTATTCACTGTAATGGAAGTTATTGCTTCAATCCTGCTCTGATGTTGACTTGAATGTTGATTTTAAAGTAAACCTCATCACTTCCTTGTGTGGTATACTTAAAAAAATCAAGAAAGACGTAAACAAAAAAAATTATGTTCATGCATTGAACATACAAACATGTACACAGGTTCTTTTGAAGTCCAGACTACAGACTTGTTCGGAAAAAAGTTATGTTCAGATAAACCCAGACATCAACTCTGTTTGCCCAGATTCATGTATAAACTGATAAATAGTTTTTTTTATGGATAAACAGAATAGCCTTGACAACTTCAAAGAATCGTATTGTGCTTTCCTGCTACGTTCCGGTGTACATGTACTTTGCAAATGCCAAAGGCATTGATACTGTTCACGGAGGCATTCATACCATTCACTCTTCAACGATTACTTTGAATTTATTGGTGATTATTGAATTTGCCCTCAGGTTTAAGGGTGTGACTTCACATTCAATTTTGTAAACGTTTAGCAATATGTTAAATATTGTTCAAATGTTTAAACATTTAGCCGTGTTTAAACTTAAATTTAAACTTAAATTTGTCAAAGGCTGATGCCTGCCATTGTTGTCTGCAGGCCGATGTGAGTGACATGGAAAATCAACAATGATTGACTTAATAAAAAGCGGGCAGTCACTGAAAAAGTAAAAACTTAACTACGTGTTCCCGAATGTAATCAATGAAAAGGTGACACAGGCATAAAAGACTTCTGTTCAGGGAATTATTCAAGTGAATGAAGGCACCATTGTTGGTTCCAAGCCAAGTTTTGATTTTTCTGCAAATGTCAGATAATTAATACTTTTATAGCTTTGCTTGGCATGCTTGATATGTAAGTTGATCAAACCTTAAGAAATGCTCAATAGTCAATAGATGTACATTTGTATGCGAGTCAACAGCAAAGAGTTTGTTTACAATGGTAGATCCCATACCTGTAGTGTGCCCCTGTTTGAAATGCAGATATTGGCCACCACGAACCTGGCACACCCACTTAACTCTGTTTCTGAAATAACTACAAACGCTGTCCTTCAAATATTGATAGCCTCAGAAATGTGCTTCACTTGTTGTTAACAGTATTACCAACTTATGTAAGAATGGTTGAGTGTTTTGAAAATCCAGTCCTCACAATATAATATGTGTAACAAAGTGTATTTCTGCATTCAAAATCAAAGGAGGTTTTTGTGGTGACAGTACTTGGATGCATTAGAGATTACCGAGGTCTTTCCAACAACGTAATGCTTTGACAGAAACATCCCATCAGTTTCTTTTTGCTAAAAAGATTTTGCCTTTGAAGGATGATACATGTATATAAAATGACAACCATTTTGTAATCCTTCTCAGTTCTGATTGGCGAATTCTAAACCAGCAGCCAAGCCAAGATGCTCATTGCAAACCCCTTGTATGTCACGAGGGGTCTTTTCTTGTTTAATGCTCACTACAAAAAAGACCTTCTGAGCCCCTCTGTTCAAAGTACATTGCTAAATTTCTCTAAATATTGCTCTTTTCGTTCAGGCCAAGAGTGACATCCATGCTGCCCTATCACGCCAGCTGGAAGCTCTGCGTAACCGTGAAGTCTGGCTCCTAGACCAAGTGGATGTGATTCTACGCATTCAGGATCAACTCTTACAACAGCACCTGGTTAGTCTGATGCAGGAGCTGGGCAGTCTGCAGCGTCTCCTAGAGTTAGCTCAGCGACAGGACAACGACGGAGAATCACTGAATGAAGAACTGGCACTTGCCTTGTCAAGGTGAGGTTATTTCCTTATTAAAGGGAATATACATCATTTGCTTTTGCTGTAATTTTCAGAAATGGATGGAATTGGGGGGTTGGAAATATATAGCAAATATAGTTACACTGACTTTTTTGAGGTTTTGGGTTCGGAAATGCTATAACAACCAAGAAAAACAATCATTTTCCTGTAGTCTCGTTCCCTGACTCCATGTAAGCAGAAACAGAGCAGTTTACATACATTGGGGAATTGTAAGGTCAGGGAACCAGTCTAGCTGGCTTGTACCCGTTCATAGGTGTGTAATCGATTGCAAACAAGTGCGATGGTCAATTGGGGCCAGTATTTGAAAAAAAAAAGCCAGTTTTTTCCAACGCTGGTCGGCTGACCAGCGTTGGAAATTGATACAAAAATACCACTTTTCTTGAAAATGACAGTATACCAGGTGCCATGATTTTACAGGATGCTTTACACTGTCATTCACTAACAGTCCAGCAAGGTATTTCAAAATGATTTGGTAGTTTCACTTTTTGATGTTTGCAAATGTTGTATTTTCCCTTTAACCATGTTAACCTCGACCCTCTTCCTGAGTTTCAGTTACATCCCGTTTTGTGCTATCAGTTACAAATGGCTTGAATAGTATAGAGTCAACCAGAGACCCTCATGAGAATCGATTACATTTGTTCCATAAAGTTGAACCATGTTTGCACTCAGGTAAGCAGGCATTCAATGCTCCTTTGTGCTACATGTAAAGGTTACCAAAATCTGCATGTTGCACGACATTAAGATTGTGTGTCGTGTGCGCGAGCCACCTCAAAAATACTTCTTGTTTTACTCGTCTACAATATAAAAAGACTGCAACTTTGTGTGAATTTGCCTGATCTTAGATCCTTCTCAATTCAGCAAAGTTACGATCGAAAAAGTGACCAAAAAACTGTGTCATACAACTATGCCAAAACAGGCTTTTATTTGTCATCAAGGTAATATGTGGATTAAACCAAGGCTTATCTAACAAAATAACCTGTGCAACTTGTATGGATTGGAACACAAAGATAATTTAGTGTCCTTGAGGCCCCCAGTAGAGCCCTAGTGGTTGGATTCACAGATAATGAAAAAAAGTAATCCAATAGATAATCAGAGCATTTGCATGAGCGTTCAGCTGCCATAATTCCTGTTGACCTCGCTTTTTGGCCTATTTATAAGGGTTGGGGTGAAAGAAAACCAGTTGATTAAAGTGAATATATGCAGCATTTGCAAACATCAGAAAACAAAACTAACAAATTATTATGAAATACCCTTACTGGACTTTTAGTGAAAGACAGTCTAAAGCATCCTGTAAAATCATGGCACCTGGTGTGCTGACATTTTCAAGAAAAACGGTATTTTTCAATGTATCGATTTCTAATGCTGGTTGGCCGATGAACCAGCGTTGGAAAAAACTGGCTTTTTTCAAATAGGGCCCACTGCTCCAAATTTATCATATTTAGTCAGTCTGGATTTTCTTTGCAATCGATTACACACCTGTGAACGGGTACAAGCCAGCTAGACTGATTCCCTGACCTTACAATTCCCTGACGTCTATAAATTGTTTCATTTCATCTTAAGTGGGGTCAGGGAACCAGACTACAAGAACACGATTGTTTTTCTTGGTTTTTCCAGCATCTACGAACCCAAAACGTCAAACAAGTCAGTGTAACAAAATTTGCTGTAAAATACTAACCCCCCAAATCCATCCATTTCTGAAAATTACAGCAAAAGCAAATGTTGTATATTTCCTTTCAAAATTTTGAGTATGGCTAACCAGTACATGTATTCCAGTTCTAAATACATGTAGTACATGTTGTACCTGCTGGAGATGGCATGATCATACATTGACTCAAACGCCATAGGACATCACATTAAATCTGTCAAATTAATCATGTATTCCCTGTTTAAATTGTGAAGTTTGTCAGATTTTTACTTCTCCTAATCATTCAATTCGTGTGCACTACCACTACTACTCTTTGCCCTATTAACCCAAGGTGAAATTTTGCCCTAATAAATCGAATTGCTTTATTATTTGGGTGACAATTTAGTAGACCTGTAAGAAAATTCTTAGCCACTGTGAAAGAGAAACACATGGATTGAAACCATTTGTTTTATATTGTTCATGTTTAGACTGGACCTACTGAATCTACAACCACTGGAGGACACCTCTCTCAGCTTCAAGGCAGACATGGCCAGTCTGAGAAGGGCTATCCATGACTTCGGAGAGATTGATGCAAAGCGCCCACGCTGGACCCATGACTTGGATGTGGGCATGGTGAAAAGGGAACATGAGGTAACCAAACCAGAGATTAAGAAATGCTGGGTGCATTCAAAATTCTAACTCTCCTCAATCCTCCAAAATCTACCAGGTGGTTGTGGAGGAGTTTGGAGGATTGAGGCTGAACGGCCAAACAGTGTAGATTGATTTTGGAGGATACATAATGTCGAGGTTGTTCCCTGTATTGTTTATATTCAGAGAAGTAAAACTGATGCCTAAATTTATACTGGATATCATCGGAACTGCTTCTGGATATTATTCGCTCTGCCTTAATTGATGTACAGGGTGTCCCCCCAAAAAATGCTCCACTCTCCTTTTTTTACAAATTCAAGCAAACCTGAATGCATAAATTTTCTTATTATGCATGGTAAGAATGCTATGTGTCTTGGGTGTTATCTACCAAAAAAATTGGATCATACTATCAATCCACTAGGGACAGAAATGTTTAAATATGAACTTGCCTCCATTTGCCAACTGCGCTGGGGACTCAAATCACCAATTTTAAAAATTTCGATTTTTGTCAAGTGTGCTTTTCAAAAATTCTACTTGGTATCTATTATGAAAGACCAGTCTTCAGTTGTTGTCAAGCAAACAATAGAAAACCAACCAACCAACCATGGCATTGTCCATTTATTGGACTTTGACTAAAAATACCTATTTGTAAATCAACCACACGTAACAATTGTTCACCTATGGCTGATTGTTCACAATTGTTACGTGTGGTTGATTTTTTGGGACACCCTGTATTAACAGTGATTGTTGAAAGAATTTGAAGGATTGAGGCAGTGGTCATCTTCCACTGATCAAATTCAAAAGATAAAATGATTTTTGGAGGATTGAGGCATGTATTCACTTTTTACATGGTGGCAGGATTGAGGATATGATGGTTTTTAGCCAAAAGGGCCGGCCTAGGCGGTTGGGGTAAATGTCAGCAGAAATGCTGGATGCCACACACTGCCAGATGATATTGCTTAGAGCAAGTTCATTGCTATTATTGGGTTTGCTGCTCAAAATAATTCTTAGCTGCCAGCAAGTGCAACATGACCTCTGACCCCCACAGTTATGTCAATATGGTGGCCTACGTGCAATTTTTATAATGCAAAGATTATTTGTGGCCAAATGCAAATACTCAATAAGCATTGTTATGGCTAACAATGCAACCAGTATGTCATTGTACCCTCTTGTTGATCTAAGGACGTTTACACAGTTCAAAGGTAATCAGCATTTCTGCCAGAGCTGCTATTTTTGTTGGTTTTTATCTTTTTCAACTTGGGGTCCAAAGGGTGTTAATCTGCACACTTTGCAGTGGCATGATCATATTTTAAGCAATCATAATACAGAGATGTGCATGTGTGCACAATTCACATTTGGTTTTTGGACAAACTGTTAAGATTGAACCCTGGTATTGCAAACTGTACCGTACTTGGCAACTTTCCAATTATTTAAAATAGCCTTGATATCCTGTCCTAAAATAAACCACTTTGTTAAAATTAGACAGGGTTGTGTAAGTAAAGCCAAAAATAAATGTAATTGTCAGTAAAAGGTCCATATTTGGTCTGTTTGCTGACATTATCTAAATAAGGAATATTTTGTTTGACAAACAAACAGGCTATGCTAAATGGGGAAAAGTTCATGAGCTCAAACTATTGAATATTGGTGCTTGTTATTCATGACCTTTACCATAGCTTAGTGTGGGAGTTTCAGAAAGTTTCAGAAAAGTGCGTTTGAGATTTCATTTTTTTAAACAAGAGCTGTAGCAAAGAGTCTGTGGATTATTTTGGAGTGGAGTTGTTTTCCTGTTGTCCTTTCAGCTTTGTCGAAGGGATGATTTTTTTTGTCTGTCCAATGAAAATCTTTAGACTCTAAATCAATTTGCATATTCAGATTCACAATTTCAATATGACCTTTTTCTTACCTGTTTCAACAGTTCTCAACCTACCAGTTGTCCTACGACCCTGCTGATTGGCTTGCAAAGAACACCCCCTCTGTTTCCACCAATTATGATGATGAAGGTACTTTTTCATTACTCGTAATAGACGGAGACGTATATTTTGTTAAAAACCTATCCCCCAATCACGACAAACATAATAAATGAAAATATACAATGCACCCATACATTGTAAGTTTTAAATTCATTCACTTAGTTTGCAGTTTTAGAATGACTTCAGAAGAACGTGGCTACAACGAACATCCCTTTTCAAATCTAATTTGTTTGTACAATGCAATAGATGCCCCAAAATTGCTGCAACAAATTACAACTAACAAAACAATCTTCTGCGGATCCCAATGTGTTTGTTATGGCCAAGTTCTATTGCATGGTACCATTTCTGTCTCTAACCAATTAACCTATCGTGGTAGAATCACGTCAACGCAGCTTGGAAATATTGTTCAATTACAAAGGGACGCGAAACGCGCAAAATCGGAGACAAACAAAACTTTACGTACAAAAATCCCATAAGGTTGTCCAAGGGGCGTGGCTAACTCGCAAACCGTGATAGGTCAATTTGCACGTACAAATGTATCCTACATTATACACATTGTGTTTATTCACTGATGCATCCATCGAACCATCTCAAGTGCTTAGGCAGTTTTGGGTGCTACAGGGAATGATAAGCAGGGCGGTACAGTGACTACATGTGTTTATGTTGTTATTATTTATTTCTGGTAATGAAACCAAGGATTCATCAAAAGTGCCAAGGCACTGTAGCTCACAAGCCTGAAGAAACCTGCAAAGAGAAGACAATGAAGACATTACAGTTTTAGAGGTGGGAGGAAAACCCCAGAAACATATTCTGGGGAAAACCCATGGAATCAGGTAGGGACTGAAAACCCAATCCACATGTGGACCAGGGCAGGAATTGAACCTGGACCATGGAGGTGGAAGGCGAGGAAAGAACCACTGCTCCAACCTGACTCCCCTGGCTTAAACAAGCCATAATAATTGAGGAAATTTGTTCATCTGCTTCTTCCCTAGATGATTTTGAGATGCTTGATGATGATGATGACCAGTCAGAGACCGACATTGATGTTATCTCCGACGCACCAGAGAACACCCAACACGAGGCATGGCCTTCCACTGGACCCCAGCCAAAGTTTGATTTCGTTCATGAGATCCTGAACTCACCACTCAGTGATTGGCTGTTTGATAGAGACCATGTCCAGCGCCAATTCAAAATGGATATGAGCTATTACAAGTAAGTCTAAACATCAAATTAGGTTTTGCCCTTCAGCGACGTTTAAACACTGTATACTCGGTGTGTTACCTCCCGAGTGAAAGTTGGAAAAAATCACTCGGGTGGGACTTGAACCCACGACCTCCTGCTTTCTCGTGCGGATGTCTTACCACTCGACCACCGAGCTAACGAATCAGTTGGCTGGTTCGATTTGAACCATTGCATAAAGTTTTCTGATATCAGCTGCAGATATTATTGCCCTGGGCAACAAGGTCCCACAGACGTCTGCATCTGTTGCACAGTGTTGCATCTCACAGGGTTAATCATAGGGTTAATCACACTGTAATCCCTCAGCTTTACATCCAGATGCATATGCCTATAGGTCATTGTTCGAAGGACAGTAGTTTTCAAATGTAAGGATGTGCAGGATTTGTAAATTCACAAAGCCAGGTGTTTTCAGTTTTACACCTGTTTAATGATTAAACAAGGACATTGACAATTTGGATGTAGGCTGCCATTTAAGGTCAAGATTCAATTCATTCTTTTTGTAGTTCGCTGGCACACTATTGTTGATATCGCATGTGTAAATACTACTCTATATTAAACATTTTCTTATTGATAATGTTGGACTGTTTTACCCAACAGGGAAGTGTCTCAAGACATCAAATCCTGGCTGACTGATTATGAGCAGAAGATGGAAGAAGAGGAGGCCCAGGGCTACTCAGAGGAGGATGTTTTGTCTTATAACAAGCCAGCATGTGCTTGTGTTGCTTCAGAGCAAGAGCCACAGGTATGAGCAGTCCATGACAATATGAACCACAAACCTTTCATGGCTTCGCTTACCAAAAGCAAAGAATCCCCACTAACTGCTGCAGGAAATTCTGAGCTAATGGATTGCACGTTAGCGACAATATTTGGCTTTGCATCCTGTTTAAACCGGAATTCTGTTTTTTTTAAAGCTCACAAAATTCCAGTTTTTCAGGCTGTCAAAAAAAACTGGAAAAAAGAAGAAAACCTATGGAAATGCGTTGATTTTTAGCTCGTTTTTAATAGTGCTCTGGCAAAATGTTGGTTGTTGAAGTAGTCTTAAAAACAAGTCTTTGTTGTTGCCGAGCGTGCATGCGATACAGGCGGCCGACGTACATACTTGAATGCAGTATACAACAGCGCCTCGCGTGCTGCATGCCATTCAGCTTGGAAATCAAGTCTATCATTTCAGTTATCGGTGGTTGTCGATCACAGTTCTATATGTGAACACAAAAAACGCCGGGTACCAACCATGTTTTTGTCACGCGTAGTGCAAAGGTCATGTACACCGACAGTGTCGTGGAATCGTGCATGTTTCTGATGTTTAATGTCCGATATTATGTTGACAATTCGGGTAGGCAGAAAAAATAATAAGAATATGGAAAAATCAAAGTGATTGAACGAACCGGCAGCTTAAAGGCCAAAGAAGCAAAAAAATAAATGGAACTTGGCTTGGCTACAAGAGAAGGATAACAACGGGGACTAAGTGGCTTTTTCACAAAAAAAAGAAAGTTCCGTTTTTTTCAAGCAGTTGTTCCGTTTTTTTCAAGCAGGCACAGTTCCATTTTTTTTAAGCAGACCCTGTGGCATCTCTGATATATCCGTGTTAACTGTGCTAAAGAATCATAGCACAGAAATGCTTGGTTAGCAGAGCCATACAATTGGGCCAAAGGCTGGGATGCATGGCGCTGCTAAGCACACATTTTTTTGGCTAAATTAGCCTCTATCCATATCAGGGAGACCATAAGAAATAATCTCATCAAAGTGCATACAAACGTAAGCCATGAAACGTGATTCAAACAATAGAATTTTCAACCTGCGTGTGCTACCATTAGCACCCAATGCATCAACAGATAAAGGCCGGTTCATACTTCTCACAAATACGAATGCGAAGCAAATTTGATGCCCTTACATTTGCTGCAATGTGTTGAAATGTGTTCAACTTTTGCAATTCGGAGTTAGAGTACTTGATGTGACATCATGATTGCGCATTCTTGTTAGCTGTCTCGCCAAGACTGAAATGCCCTTAAGGTTAGCTCAACTTGTTCCTTGACTCCTTGACCTTGGTCATTAGGATGGACAACACCCTCAAAGCTTTTGAAATTGCATTGGTTTTCATACACCTTGACACTTTTAGCTTTCTGGAGCATGTTGAGCCTGATTGGGTTGGTTCTCATGTACACTACACATGAACACCATTCCCTTTTTATGCGTTTGTAAACTAACGTGACATCTTGACAAGATCAGCAGGAAAACTAGGCATTACACCTGAACCATAAGTTCTTATGGGAGCTTGTGGCTCTCATCCTTGACTGGTGTTGGAGGACGTGATAACACGCACTGGCTTTTGATATACACAGGCACAGCTGACGGCTTAAGACGTCACAAGTGCCTTGAATCACCTCTGGGTGACGTCTAAACACGCTAATCCCTCGTGCCTTTTGTACACACACAAAGTCCTTTAAGTCTGTGGAGGCAAACCGTTTGTCGATCTTGAATTGGCCGTTGTGCACGGCCTATTGTTTTACAGTTTACGCTCAAGTGTACTCCCTGGAGTATTGAAAAATACAAGGTTTCGGCAAAAACAATTGTACAAATACTGTTGAAATTACTCTTGCGAATCAGTATTTGTGGCGTTTGTCTGTATATCAGAACTTTGATGGAAAATGTTTGCCTTCTGCAAAATCAAAAGTTTCGGCAAAATTTATCCGTGCGCAAAGTGGTTAAGGAAGTGCACATGTGAACACAGCGTGGTGCCATTATTTCTCCTGGCGATTCTCTCATTACTTACCACTGTCCTTTGCTTTATTCCAGTTTTACGAGATTGAGAATCTTGCTTCACTGCTGTGTTGTCAAGAGGCTTCCCCATCCAACCCTTCCCCGAAGACAACAGCATTCAACACCCAGACATGGCTAGCAAGTTCCCAGGAGGACTCGCAGGAGAAGGGCAAGTGGTTGAAGAGACCCCTGCCTAAGGTAGAAGAGGTTTGTCGAGCCAACGAGCCTTGTCAAGATTTCTCTGAGTGTGTGTGTGACACCAATTGCTGTCTTGATTACACTGATCAGTCATCTTGGTTGTCACAGGGAGGAAGTTCTAAGAACCGGGGGGAACCTGTTGGGGTATCTTGGCTGTCTCATCAGGAGCAGTCTGATTGGTTGGCTAAGGGTAATGAGACCGTGGCGTCCAATAATATGCCCTCTCCCTTTGACAACTTCCTGAACCAGCAATCAAAGAATACAGCTGATTGGTTGGCCCAGGGCAAAGAAACCTCCAGAGTGTCCAATGAAATGCCATCTCCCATTGACAACTTCCTAAAGCAGCAATCTCAGAAGATACGTGATTGGCTGATTGGTGGGGTGAAGGAGGTGGGTCCCTGCTCAATGGCCAGTGGTTATTTTGAGCACCTTTCAAACGAGCCATCTGATTGGCTGGTGCAAAATAGGCCTTGTCTGACAACCAGTCAGGCGTCTCCTTTGGATGCCTATTTGAGGCAGAGATCAGAGAGACTCTGTGATTGGTTGAAACCCCGCGATGACCCTCCTCAAGATCCAGTTTTCAGTTCCCAAATCTATGCAAAGGCAACATCTAATACGTCTGACTGGCTGTCCCCTGAAAACTCTGATCACGGCAACACTGTTCAGTCCGTACCTGCTTTCGACATTTTTGTTGAATCCCAATCACACCAGACCACGGATTGGCTGTCCAAAAAGAAAGAGACAAGCACACACTTGGTAGCCAATCAGCATTGTCCTTTGACTGCCTATTTTGCCCAAAGATCAGAGAAGACATCTGATTGGTTGATCAAGGCTGATGAGAAAAACAAGCAGTGTCAGCTTGCTGAAAATAACCAGTGGCTGTCTGTCCACATCCAAGACAATAAATCCCATGACACATCTCCTTCCCCACTGATGGAGCTTGCTCAAAGACCAAGCAATTTCTATAAGTACTCAGACTGGCTGCAAAAGAGTGATCAAACGTACTCAGAAAGCAAAGACGGCTCCAAATCAGTGTCCGACATTTCAGAAAAGTGGGGGTTTGTTTCAATGAGCCACGATAACAAAGAGTGTGTGGAAGAAGTGTCAGAGTGGCTCACTCACTGCTCACTCAGTGCAACTGAGGTTGAGAGCCATACCAAAGAGAATGCCAAGTTGTTGAGTTCCTCCTCCCCAGGGGAGAAGGACCCCGCCTCTTTGTTCCCCTGCTTTACTGAAAAGACGGATGTTGAGAAATGGCTTGTGGCTTGAGGTCAAAGGTCAAATGCCATGCAGACGAAAGTCTAGGATTTGTGATTATTTTTTTGTGTTTTTGTTTATCAATGGGGTGCTAAACGTTACAGATCATTTACATTGTAATCTGTATGAGTTGAACAATTACAACTTTATTATCCCAAATACCTTTGCTGACTGATCTCAACCCCACCCCACCCCAACCCCACTCCAGCCTACACCCAGTCCTACACCCATCCCCTCCCTAGCCCTACACCCAGTCCAACACCCATCCCCTCCCTATCCCTACACCCAACGCTATGCCCCACCCTTGTTACCCTACCTCCACCCATTCCCTAATTCAGTCTTCTGTCCTTAGTGCCGTAGATGATAGTCTGTTTACCATCCGGCCAGTAAAATTTTAATGTTCCATTTTTTGAAGTTTTGTTGAAAAGTGGTATATTCCTGATATCATCAGACTTGGGTTTAATGTATCTTGTATGTTGGTGTGTGATTATTTCAAATTTCACATTTTTGCAGGGATGTGTTTTTAACATTGTAATTATGTAAACAACTTAATAGATGTAATGCAGTTACAATGTATACAAACACTGGAACAGAAATGCTGGTACAGCAAACATAAAGCTTGGGTTCCAACTGTGTTTTATGTGAGCAATAAATGGGACCGGCACTTGAATTAACAAGAGTCGATCGACTAAATTTGCAAAAAAGATATAGGGATTTTCCAGATAATACATTAAAAGGGACAATCTAAAAGCATAATTGTCACTTTCAATTGCAATTGCTTTTACTTTTTCTTCTCATCAAGCCTTTGGCAAGCCATCAATATGAATTTACATATAAAAACAATCTTATAGAGTATTCATATTGGGCTCTTGTTTGTGTGTGCCAAAATGCAGATCCAAACAATCCAATCAGAAATTGATGTTCAGTTGAAGTGTTCAGCTTTCAGGTTTTATACTTGTCGCATCTCCCTGTAGCGGTGAAGATATTTTGGATTGTTCAAAGTTTAATTTTCATTTCAAAGATTTAATTTTGTCATTTAATTTACACGTATTAACAAAAAATAGAAAGTTGCAGTTTTAACCTGTAAAAGTCTTTCTATAATTTGTCCTTGCATCCCTTAATGTTTTCTTGTATTCATCTGTGCGAAACCTTGATCAAGATTCACCAATGTGTGCTTACTCTCATCTCTACAATGTAGATATAATCAGTCTACTCATTGAGTACATGTATTTAGTGGCCTAACTAGAGAGGGGGGGGGGGGGGCTCGGGAGGGCCACTCCCCCCTAATGTGTGCCCCCTGCTCGCGCATTTTATTTTTGCAGCATACATCGTATTTTAACAAATCACATCACGCGCCCTAACATGAATGTTTATCACGCTGTGTGGATGGAAGACACTTATGTTCTCTTAGAGTGTTTTTCCTTCAGTTAAACTTATCCCAACCAACAAAATTATTTGATGAAAATGGACATGGTTCGAACCACAGATCTTGCGATCCATAGATCATTCCACTATCCACTAGGTCACTGTGGCAGCTCGACGAAAGCCGTTCTTTGAAATGATTTAATTTACATGCATGGCTGAGTGATAGCAATGGTGTGACATCATTGTTATTTTCTTATAAATAAACATCGAACTAGCTGAATTATCATAATCCATTGATGATGTGTGCTGCAGATAAAAACACTGCCCGCTGCTAATAATTCGAGGATGGCAAAAACGAGCTTTTTATTGTTGAAACCCATTAATTGCCACCCTTGAGACCCCAGTAACGCCACTGGGTGTAATTCAATATTATATTTGTTTGAAAGCCTTTATCAAATGTTTTTAAGAAATCATACCCATACTGCTTGCTGAATAGAAATCTTTAATAGCTTGCTAGAGTCTTTTCCCCTTGTCTGAGCCTTCCGAAGATTGCTTCATTCCAGAATTAAGCTTTACTTTTTGTTGTAATTAGTTTTGCAGTTCATTGTCGAGGGATATAGTCAAGAGTTTGACTAGATTTCTTTATGTGTATTAAGTATGGATAAACAGTAACGGAGACAACGGGATGATGACTGAACATTTGGTTAATCTGAATGTGTATACTTCCTCCCGTTTTCGAAGTTTTGATTTTATTAAAGAAACAAAATTGCTTCTATATGAATTATGGCTGAATTTTCCCATAGCATTAACAAGGTAATTTGCTTTGTTCCCTGTGTACACTACGTTGGATTTAATATATGTAACTGTAGAATTGGGTATCGTACATGGGAAAAATTAAAAGAAAATTACAGATATCATAAAAAGTACTTAGCTATCTATCTAACTTAACTGCTGTACGTTGCTGTTTCAACCTGAATATTTCAATTTCCTTTTAAGGCATATTATGTAATTATTAAATAGGGATTGATTATTCACACACGAAGTCTAGAATGTTGATTTACTAAATTAATAATTGTAACAGTTAAAGTGTGGTATATTACAATGGGAATTACCAAAACTGAAATTCCACTGTCCATTCGTGATAACGAATTTATCTTCAAGCAAACTTGACGCGCAGTAAAGTTGGACCATCGCTTTACACGAACCTTTCAGCGGTTAAGCGCATGCAGCTGGAATGTCGCTCGCATCTTGGAATAGTACAATACACAGGGTGCGATATGGACCGTGCAATACAGCCTCACATCACACTGTTGTTGCCATGGATCGACCATTCAGGATCGAGGATTCAAGCTTGCTTGAAGATAATACACGGTGTACTGTACATATGCTATCTTTGAAACATTTGTAGCGTTAATGATATGTATTTTCCCAAAAATGAAACATGTTCATTGATTGGTTGTAACATTAAAATTAAGTCGATATAAAGTTGGTGTGTCCAGTTGAAGTTGATTAGGTTTTAGTCATAGAGCTATATTAAATTTATATAGCTCTATGGTTTTAGTACATGTATCTAATTCAGTAAGCAAGGAATAGTGGACCAGCCAAAGTGGAATATTACACTTGGGACGGCATTTTTTGGTAATAGCAGGCCACCATGTCAGATCAATCAGTCAAAGGATGGAGAACAAAATGCAGGTGGATGCCACCCTTAATTTTCACTCAAATATATCTAATTTGCATACATTGTTAATCCCTGCCGTGTAATATATTTAGTCCCATATTTGGGTATAGGCTATGTTTTATTGTTTAATTTTTACAAAAGTTTATTTTGGTTATTCTACTTGCACACCCTTACTTAAAAAACATTTTCTTCAGCATATAAATGACTGAATAATTATGAGGACATAGTAAAAAATCCAAAATGGATACTATTACATGTATACCCACAATTGCGCGCATTTACCTTGTCTCCAGATATTATCAAGTAGTCTCGTCAAACCTCAGTATTGATGAACCTCAAATTCACCAAGCTGCTTACTGGCACAGTTACCCTATTAAAACCTTATGCAAAAACATGTGAACAATGATAACATTGCGATATTTAGCTCAGAAAACAAAAACTGGGGAAAATGAGCTGGCTGTCCGTAAACTGGGCTTAAATTAGGTGAAGGGTCGCCTAATTTGGGAGAGTTGAATTTTGATAATATTGCTTGCAATAATTATGTCAATACAACATGTTTTCTTTCCATTAATTATCTTTCCAATAGTTTTGGGAATTACTTTGAACTTTTTCAAGTCTCCCACGTTAAGCAACCCTTCATTAATTAGGCCAGTTATAACAGATCGTTTCCCCCCGTTTTTTTGTTTGCTGGGCTAATTATCACAACGTTATCATTGTTCACATGATTTTCCATAACGTTTTAATAGGGTAACTGTGCCAGTAAGCAACTTGGTGAGTTTTAAAGCTCATCAATACTAAGGTTTGGCAAGACTACTTCATGATATCCTTTTGGGTATACTAGTAGCCATTTTGGATGGGCTATGTCCTCATAATTATTGAGGCACTTATATTCTTTAGGAAATGTTATTGAAGTAAGGATGTGTAATTAGGATCACCAAAATAAAATTATTAAAAAAATAAAACATAACCCAGATATGGGAGGAAAATATATTACATGGCAGGTATTAACGATTATGCAAATTATTTAGTGTCAAAATTAACGATGGCATCCACCCACATCTTGTTTGTTATGGTTCAAAGAATTGATCTACAATCCCGGCCAAAATGGTTGGGACACTTGGAAATAACCTTAGCCTCCAACGGTCACCAACTCCCCCGTCCCCCGCTCCCCCGGTCAGTGTTGTTCTCTCCAGCGGATGGAGCACACACCGCGCAATGAGAGACAACATTGAGCGCGGGCTGGGGGATTTGGCCAGGATTGTAGCATGGATGCCAGCCGTATTACCAAAAAATGCCGTGAAATTATTTTCTAGAGAACTTTTCGACATTTGGCTGGCACTATGGAGTACCGAAGTGTGACGTCATTTAGAACCAGAAAGTGTAGTGCAAATGAATGGAGTACGCGCACGTGTTGGTTCACGGGCTGAATCACACGCTAATGACTTTCACACACATTTTGTGCGCGTGACGTATTCAATTTGGTACTCCATAACATGACATGTTAGGCCAAAAAAAAAATATTCGGTCTCTGGTCAGACCAAAGTTCCGGAATTGACGCGGCCACGCGGCTTTTATTTTTTTTTTTTGCTTTTTTTTTTCTTCAAGCTTGGATTGTACAGACAAGGTGGGTACTATTTTGCTTTTTTGGTGTCCTCATGTACATTGGTGTCCTCCATAATTTGCCTTGGTGCAATTTCCCATTCCTTGGTGCTCTTTGGTAAATATTTTTTGAAGAGGTGCGGAAATAGAGGGCGCTGTTGGAGCTACCGCGGAACATTTTGGGGAAAAAAAAGATCGACGCGCATGATTAAAATCGACGCGCGCGCTGACCAGAGACCGACTTATTTTTTTTTGGCCTCATATAAAAGTAAAAAGACTTGGCAGCGGTGGGATTCGAACCCACGCCATCGAAATGACTGGTGCCTTAAACCAGCGCCTTAGACCGCTCGGCCACGCTACCTTGTTCGGTGGGTGTTTGTCTTGGCACAGAATGTTGCTTTATTATCACAGTTGCCCATGCACATGTAAAATTAAATACACTTTCGCGCTTGAAAAATATTCCATCAACAGAGGGCGCAACTTGCAGGACTACAGTGCTATGTGATGACGGTATAATGATAACTTGTTTTGGAAATATTTGTTGCCAACCACGGCTTCAATGTATGCGCTTGCGGCAGCCATACAAAATGGAGCTCAATAAACCCATTAGAGAAACATAATCCACAGAATCGAATACATGTACATTTATATGGAATCGATTACAATTAAACAACGTCCGCGTTCAGGGGCGCAAATCCGCGGGGGGGGGGGGTATTTATTCCCCTCCCTCCATTTTTTGTGATGAGAAACCTTTTTTTTACCAAAATGTATCCAATAGTACTGAAACAGGGAAGAAAAAGTTACAAAAGCTGTGAATGCCCCGAACACTTGTCACAAATAGACAAAATAATCTGTATGGAGATTAATTAATCAATTGTTATATCATACTGTAATTTGCACATCTTTGAAGTTTAAGATCTCAGCTTACTATCTGCATCAAACATTGGTCGGGATGTGCTCCAAAAATATAGGCGAAATCGTTATTCTATAAAGTGACCAAAATAAAATCCGTAAAAAAAACCACTGTTCACCCCCGGCCCAAGTGGTCCCTTCGGCAAAAACGCCTATACGAAATCTTTGATAAGCGAGAGACGGGGCTGGAATTAACCTTTAAAAGGTTGTTTTCTCAATAAAGGAGAGTGATAACCTTGAGTGGTTTTGTCATGATTGTTCATTTTGCATTGAGCGGCTAATTCTTTCCGTTGGGTAGCTTGGATCAGCCTTTGCGGATTGAAACAAGAATGGGCAAATCGTTTGGCTTTATGTTTTACTTTTAATTTGTTTGTGGAAGGAACTGAATTCGCACCACGAACCGGCGTATCTCGATTTTTTGTCAAATAAATCTAGTTTTTGTGTCTTTAAAGTTATTATTTCATCAAAGTGCTCATCCTGGTTGAAGAGGTATTTCGGCAGCGCAGGTTCTTACATGGTCTTGACATTGTTTTCCAGCAGGGCGATTTTCATAGTTCAGGGAGAAGTACTCGTCGCGAAACAAGTTGTTGGAGGTGCCGCGCTTTTTTGGACGGTGTTTCCGGACTTGCTGCTTGTCTCTTGCTTTGGGGGCTGATTTCTCCTTACTTATGGGTCTCTTATTAAATCTGACTGATGGAAGTTTGAACTTCCTGGATCAGGGTATCGAGGAGAAAATCACTGTTTTCTGAAAAGTCTGAATCAGAGAAATTAGATCGAGTAGGCCCTAATAATCTGCTGACTGGACAGGCTTCATTCATGGTTTGACATTTGGTCTGACGTTGATCGGACGACCAGGAGGGTGAAATCAGCCTTTACATGCATGGCACTTGCGGACGTGGGTGAAATCTTAAAGGAATAGGTCCCTTTGTGTGCGAATGGCTGGCCGGTGTTCAGTTGTGCCTATCTCAGTGGAAGCTTTGGATTCAGTGCTAAATGCCGGGAGACGGGCAGGGGGCACTTTACCCCCAGCGGATTTTTGTGAAAGAATTGTTTAGGCCTAAGTAACTACAGCGTATTCTGACATGAACAAAAGAGAAAAGGAAAAAGAAAATCAAGCCCCAAAACCATTACAAAGCGCAATGAAAATCGGCATAGACAGCGTGTGATATTCCAGGGTAGTGCTTCGTCTTGGGCGGATGTTTCTTCTGGTGTCCCACAAGGGAGTGTTCTAGGTCCTACTTTGCTCAATTTATTTGTTAATTTCTGACAGTGTTTCTTCTAGATGTGTTATATTTGCTGATGATGCGCTGCTTTTTCGTGTTATCTAGTCACAAGTGGACGAGCATCATCTTCAGACTGATCTTAATCACCTTCTCCATTGGTCATTGTGTAATCACATGGCTTTTAATCCTTCCAAAACAAAGGTTATGCACATTACTCGAAGTAGAAATATTCATATTCAAATAGTCATGTTGTCGACCCCCTTCAGGCTCGATTCCTTAGGGCCCTCAAGCAGGCATTCTTAACTTAACTCACCCCACTGCTCTTTTTTTTTGGCTGTCATTTTGATCACCCCTGCGGGGGCCGTTGTTTTCTGTGTTTGTAATCTGTCTTTTCAACGTTATGTGCGGGGCTGCATACCCACGGGTAATAGTAGTTCATTTTACTTTTGCGGTCCCTGACCCACATTACTGTCATTTGTCCTGTCATGTATTCGGATTTTCGTCCCAGGTCCCCGCTACCGTCTTACTGTACTTGTTGGTCGTTGTTTTATGCACGTTTGACTCAATTTTGTTTTGTTTTGTTTTTGTGATGGTCGAATAATTAATAATAATAATAATAGTATTCATAACAATGGTCAGTTTGGAAGAGCGCCCCCATTAGGAAGATGGGTACCAACCCCCCAATTCCCCCCCCCCCCCCCCCCCCCCTTTTGATTTTACGAAGGCCAAGTGTCCGGAGGAAAAATAAATAGGTACATTTCTGCGCGGGAGAGCGTTCCCCCGCCACTCTCGACATCATAAAGCTGAATACGCCACTGGACATATTTTGAAGTGGTTTAAGTATGGCATGGTTGTAGTTTTTTTTTTTTTTTTTTTTTAGACTGAGCGGTTGCAGATTTCAGTCTTTGCTCGTACCCCCGCCCTGCAAATAGGGCGCTGGGAAGGGCAGATGAGTTTCACGGAATCTTGTGAAGGAAGTAGGGATGGCATTCTGGGTAATTTATCATGACCTATGTATAACGCATCTGGCTGCAGCTGCAGACCGCGGTTAGCCATAATTTATGCGCGCAAATGCTATCCGAAAAGTTTGCCAGAAATGCATACACACCACACTGGATGTGATTTCTCTTTCATTGCAGACCATCATTGTGGACAACTTTTGAGCGTCGAACATAATATTCATTTCCCGTCGAGCCTTCGTGAATTCGAAACGGAGCCTGAGCAACTGACGAGAGTTAAACATTTACAAAAAAGATAAGTTTTACAGATTTTCCTACATAATTTATTATGCTTTTCAACCAAAAAAGAGTGATGAATGACTCAGTCTTAATGGCTGTTTCAAAACAACCTCGTCCCCAGGGTGTCGAGCAGTACGCGCCCACCACTACCTGCTTTCTCACCCTGGTATTGGATCATTTGCATGTGCAAGATTTTTGAACACGTATGCAAATTAGGAGTAGTCTGGTGCCTGCCTGTGCGTTACATTTGCGTTTGTTTTTGTATGCGGTGTCTGGGGTAAAAACAGAATCAATTCGTCGCAGCGCGAGCATGGCGTGAGTTACGAAAACATGATTTTATTTTAATTAAACTGTTACGATCCTAACGAGACAACATGCAGTATCACATTTCATATTAATATTAACAAACTGGAAAGGAAATGAATATTTTCGTCGAGGCGTGGACGAATGATCGCGAAAACACGTACTGCACGTTGTGAATAACAACACCAAGTACACGATATAAATCCATTTCTAGCCAATTGCGGTATCGAATCAGGATGCAGGAAGGAAGTTTCCTATCCAGGGTTTACTATTGGAAACAACGTTGGAAATAAAGTAAGCACTGGGGACGAGGTTGATCAGAGCGTTAATTCGTCAGCGGCGTCTTGTTTGCAGGGTCCAAAAGAGATTGGACAATATCAAAGAGGGCGCTCTCACGCGTTATGCATAATCATTCAGGATGTCAGGGCTTTAGAGAACAAGTTATGTAACAAGGAATAATGGTGTTTAAATAATCACCGACGATTGGCAGCTAATTCGTGGACTGGTTGGAAGTAGTCCTGACTTCTAATCAGGTGATCCGAGTTCGAATCTCAGTGAGCGTTTTTCACTTCTTCTTATTTTACCTTTTCAATAGGCCTAACTAGAGTGAGGAAGGAACATTTCTCACAAGACGTAAAGCCTATCTTGGGTTTGTGTTGTGGAGAAGAAGGCATTATGCGGTGTAGAAATTTGTAATTAAAGTTTCTTAACTTAGCTTCTTTTATATTTATAATTTTGTGTTTCCACACAGAATTCCACTGTATTTCTTCATTTAGTACATCTTCCCAGCGCTTGTGACTAACTGGCGTTTTACTCTTTTCTTCAATTAAAACCTTGTATATTTCTTTAGTTGTAATATTTTCTAAACTGCTTAAAGCATCATTGACGTATACCTGCCTTTCAAAGGGAGTTTTGTTTTTATTATTTGCTAGGGTTCTTAACCATTCTTTTGGTATGGCCTTCTTTAATGTGTACATTTCTGCTAACCAGTTATGTTTCTTAATTACTTTGCCTCTGATATACTCAATTGACAATTCACCATTTTCGGTCAGAAGGTCATTAACGTAAATGATGTTGGATTTAATCCAGTTGCTTAAATACAATGGCTTGTTTTTATACTTTATATAGTTATTACCCCACAGTATTTGTGCTTTTATATTAGTTGGCTGTAAATCAATTTGTACAGTCTTTGTTGAGTTTAGTTCCTGCCAACAAAATATTAACTCTTTATAAAATTGTGGAAGGTTTAATGTACATGTAATACTTGAACAGCACTTTGCTTTTTTAAAATTCATATTGAGGACTGAAAGGTCTGGGCAACATGAGTTTAAAAATAAATTGCAAAGGATTTTCCATTTCCCAATCTTATTGTTTAACAATTTAAATACCCAGTTACATTTAGGTGCTATATTATGAGATTGGAAGTCAGTTAGGTTAAGACCACCTTCGTTTAAATTGCGAATCATTGTTTTTCTTGAAATTTTGTCTGTTTTGCCATTCCAGATAAACGGAAACACTAAGTTATCTATTTTCGAAACATACTTTTGTGGGGTTGGAATAACAGATGCTAAAAAAGTAAATATTTTATTTGTAACAATAAGTTATCAAAATGGAGGGAAAAAAGGGGGAACTACAAATTTCTAAAGTTTAGCAGCAAGTCTGCCGTTGTTATGAAACCGTTTCAAACTCATGGGCGATATGTCGTAGCTAGGCGTGGTTCCTGTTGCCAAGTCACTCAGGATCCTTCCCACTGCGGGCGCTAACTTGAAACCATGACCTAAATACAAAGATGTAGAAAAAGAAATACCGCTTATTCTTGAACTAAAAATCGGGAATTAAAATCCCTACAGAATTGAAAATCAACTGCAAAGAATCATCTGAGGCTTCCCATCACGAAACTTCACTGAGAGAACACATGCCTGAATGGTTGTTTTAATCACTGTAACTTTTGGTGTCCTCTGTTTGCCACTGGTTCAGAAGATAGCGTTTGAGATAATCACACACGGATAGGCTGTCAATTTTACATATAGCCTTTCACCAAGGCCATCGTGGCTTAACTTGCCCGCACTCAAATAGGCGAAGCGACTGGAGATGGAGACCACACACGCGAGTGGCGAAGCCACGAGGGCCTTTTCTAACTTGTCGAGAAATTCTTATGTTTTTCTTTATAATCTCGATTTTTGCTACCCCAAAAGGGTAGCAAAATTCCAACCAATCATCAGCCTTTTAGTGCCTGCGTGACTACTACCCGGACGCGTCGACGCGCCCGGATGCTTGCACAAAATATAAAAACAAAAAATGCGAGTCTAGTTTTCCACGAGATCGTGACCGCGTAATTGTTCTTGCATTATCTTATTTTAAGTTTACTTGTAAAAAGTATTTCAAGAAATTATTTGAGTGTATGAACTTATTTTTCATTTGAACTAACAGTTATTTGCTCTTACGTTTTCCTTACATACCCTTCTTTTAAAAATGGAAGCGACTAGCCAAAATCCGCGTTGTGATTGGTTTATAACCTTCAGCACTCTTCTTATTTGCATAAAAACTATGAATAATTCAGCAAAATCAAGTTGGGAAAGGCCTCGTGGCTTTGCCAATCGTGCGTGCTGACTAAATCTTTGCTCCAGTCGCTTCGGGTCTTCGCAACTCCGCCGCTCTAAGCCACGATGGCCTTGGCGAAAGGCTATTTTACATACAGACCGTGCTGTTGGCATGTGAGCAGACTTGCAAACTGAGGATGAAGTATGTACCACTGGCATTAAAGCATTTGGCCCATTTTGTTGCTGGACCTGGACGAGGTTGAAGCACGCCGCACACGAGAGACACGTGTTAAGCGAAAAGTCATTCAGCACATGGCTCACAAAATATCCCCGTATGCGGTCATTTTTTGTTGAGTTCTCAGTCGAGGAAAAAATCTCACCCGTTTGATTTTTTTTAGCATCACGACACGAACAACTCGCCATGTGCGGGCAAGCTATGTGCTGAGCTAAAATAACTAGCCAATGATATCACGTACTCTGTACACGATATTTATGCACTAATTTTAAGATATTGTTGTGCATTCTTCAAAAGCCTGCTGGCATTTGTCCCCGTTTTTTTGTGTAAAACACGCGACCGACAAACAAGAACAATGTGCCTTCAATGGCTAGTATAATCTTTTAACTCAGCACGTAGCTCAGGTTGCCCGCACATGGTGAGTTTTTCGCCTCTAGAAGCGGAAAAACTGCAACAGGATAGATATTTTCCTCACGGCCTTGCGAAGCAGAAACTCAGCAAAAGTTGACCGCACACGGATATTTTGTGTGTGTGCTGAGCAAACGGCCTCGAATGACTTTTTACTCAGCACATAGCTATCGTATGCGGCGGGCTTATGCAAAAGTTTGGGCTTTAGATACACATGACCGATATGCATGGTCAAACTCGTTTGTAACTAATAGAATAAATGGTAATATGGGTTTTCCCGGCCAATTTCCTGAAATGTTCATTCACTTCTAAAAATCGGTCATTCGTTTTCGTCTGAATTTGAATGCTCGTCTTTAAATCCCATTTCAATTCAACGAAAATTCAATCGTTTTCATTGTCCGTGCATTCGGTTTTGAGATACAGACGGTCAATTACGTTACCTGTGCATTCATTTACGCAAGCATGCCTTTTCTAAATTGATTTCAGGTACAGGTAATTTTGACGGTTAATGAAAAAGAAAACCCTAATTGTATCTGGTGCCGATGGCATTCAACTAAAAGTGAAATAGAATGGTGAATGTTGAAATCGCCCTCTAGCTCATAAGCGAAAAAGAAGTCTTGTGAACGAATCTGAATGGACATAAACGAAAGGTGCTGCTCAATCACTTAATTGATTGAACTGATAATTGAACGTTCTGGTAGTGATTCTCAAATTCAGACGAAAATGAATGACCGATTTTCAGAAGTAAATAAACATTTGAGGAAATTGGCCGGGAAAACCTTTAAAATTAATACATCGTGTATGATTTTTTTTTGGCTGAACAGCACATCGTATCACAATATCTCTTTGTGTCAATCGAGCAAGTAACGAACCTGAGAAACCACATCCTATGACGATGTTAGGGTGATCGGGATGCCTGTCTAATATTATTTCGTCATCAGGGGTGTTCTATGCAAAAGAAAAACAAATAATGAGAAATATATAAAAAGGGCATCATTGAATTATTTTATTTTTTCGAATTCAAGCTGGGAGTGTTGGCGGACTCGAGTCCGTCTGGAGTCACAATTTCGGCGAGGCGGATTCTACTCAAGTCACATCTACAAAAGACTTGGACTCGGATTCAGACTCGATCATCATGACTCGTACCCTAAAACAAGTTTACCTTTTAAAAACACAACTCCGATGTTTAGCTTCCCAGAGCAACGTTAATAAATGGAGCGTTAAGGATTCCAATCGTGCCGCAACAATCACCTGGTGGTGTTGCCAAATCTGTTATAAATGCGCTCCTCCCTTTTTCCTGCGTCAGCGCATCACTTACATATTGCTCACATGAATGTGTATTAAAAGGTCTAATTTAAGAGTTGAGTCAAGAGACCCGTGACTCGGATTCGGACTTGAACCAAATGACTCGAGACTCGGACTTGGATTCGACTCAAGTGGCTCGACTACAACACTGCCAGCTGGATAGCTCAGCTTGTTTATGCAGGAGCGGTCTTCTGTTTATACAGAACGTATAGAATCCTGACGTACAATTATTTTCTTTTGTCAACAAAATACCCCATTTCTTCATTTGAAGAATACAGTTGAAGCAATGGCAGCAGCTTTTGTTGTTTGTTACATTTGAGACAAAGTACGCAAAGTAGTTTTTCACCATGTAAATAAAAGGTAGCATAATTGAATGTTTGGGTTCTATGCCTTCCGTATATACTTGTAAATCATTATCTGTTGTGTAACTTTGAGCAAATGCTTCAAGTCGAAACCCGAAAAAACATCATTTGGTCTTCCCGATGTCAGCATTTTGACTCACTGTGTACATGCAGTTTTCAACGAAAGACGGTTCTGGCTTCAGTCCGGGCACATGTTCTCTGATGAAAGTCTTCAATTTATCCATCTGGTGAGAATATTGTGCTTGGTTTTGTTGACCTGGTTCTTGCAGATCGTCACCCTGATGATTGCACACCTGAAAATATGTCTGGGAAGACTTAACATCATATCTAGCAAAGATCATTATCTCTAAGAAATTTAAAACATGCACACTAACAAGAAAAATGCTTGGGCCCAATTAAGTGATTCTACAACGTAGTATAGAGTATCTTAATATAAATAGAAAATGCTAATGATGGTTATGTACTGACTTCGCAATTTATACAGTAATGACCTTTTCTGCATCTTTGCAAAAAGGAAAAAGAGCTAATAAGGAAGAGCTTGAAAGCTCAGCTACTCGATTTGTTTTTAAGTTAAAAGGGATCATGTGGCCTGATTTTAAAGCATTTCTCCGTATTCGTTCTTTTCACGCTTCCGCCATTAACATGCAGAGCCCCGATCGGGCAACTTTACACAATAGATATATAGCCGGTTCAGTGATTCCCGTGTCGGGGTTCCGTGACAGACGTGTATACCCGGGAATCACTGAACCGGCTATATTAATTGTATATGTAGTACATGTATGCTGTACGACAAAGTACCTGCTGAGGTTTTAGCTCAGTTTCTTTTTTAACACAATTATTTCAGGCGGAATATTTTCACAGGGTATTTGGTACTAGTCTTTTCTTCAATTTGAGCAAGTTTTTTTTCCCTACTAAATCAGTAGATATACGTTTCGGGGTAATTATCAATATTCCAGTGTTCCTTTAATTTGGCTTACGTTTTTATCACCCCATTCAAGTTTAAAGGTTTTTATACTTAGTGTAGGCCTACCTTAAACAGCCCGGAGTGTTCATCACATGGCAATCCATATGTCTCGTATTTCCCCGAGAGATAGTAGAAGCATGGGTAATTGAAGAACTCACCAGGCTGTCTCTCTGGCCAATAACATACGTTGATTTGGGTGACCTGTTTGTCAAAAGAAAAGTCCATTGATGATAAGATTTCACAAATTCTTTAGAGCAATCAATTAAATCAAAATTAACGACTAATAGGGATCAAAGATCAAAGGACGAAAAAGGTAGGTGTTTTAGTGACAGAAGACCTATTGCCAAAAAGGAATCCGCCAAGATATTAGAATAGACACAGGCCTTGATTGGGGGGGGGGGGGCGGTTGCAGGGTGATGCCCTTATTTCCCTCTTAATTACGTAACTACTAGTTAAAGAAAATAAATCTGAGTTCAGTGTGGCTGTTCCAATGATCGGTGCTTTAAAAGACATTAAATGAAAACGAATATCTATCTTTAATGGAGGGTCAATCCCTAGCGGTCTCAGCATCTTCGTTGCCCAGGCTCCCGGGGTCAGGACCACACTCTTGGCTGTATACCGCCCTCTGCTGGTCACGATAACCACAGGTTTGCCGGGGACGATTTCCAATACTTCTTCGTTTTCTTTTATGACGCCTCCCTGATTCACAAACATTGTCTGATCGTAAAGAATAGAAAACAAAGTATCATAAAAGTCTGTAGTTTCCGACCAATGTTACCTATTTAAAAATTATTCATAGCGCGAACAAAAAGACAAGGTTTCGTAAAGTAATTTTCTTCCACTGTCCTTATCTTGGCATTTGTGCAACGACTTGTTTTGATGTTGATTACATCAATTCAGAAATAGTTTATGGATAAGGTTGAAGAGGCATAGACCTATGTACTAGAAATACATAGGCCTTCTGTTTGTTCGTGCCACGGAGAATACGCGTAATAAGATGGACATTGTATAAAGAAAACGCGCAATCGGATGGACATTGTGAAAAGTAAAAAGGGCACTTAAAAACTCAAATCAAAAAGAAGAGTTTTTCCTGCCCATTGTATGGTTCAGAGGCATGGGTATTTCCATAGCGTACATTAGAGTGCATTATAGGCCTACTTAGCGCGAACGTAAATCAAATTTCACGTCAGGTTTGGGGTTTATTGCTGTGACGTCATAGATTTGTGTTCTAAGGTCGGTTCATACTTCACCCCAATGCGAAATTAATTGCGAATACGAATACTTGCAATCACGTCACAAATTCGCGTTCGTTTCGCTTTCGCGCCGAGTATGAACCGGGCCTTAAACCGGTTTACGAATTTGCAGCGCGGATTCTAAACAAAGTCAAGGATAAATAAACATGTCAACATAAAGATGCGCCTTATAGATTTGGTCACACTATTAAACAAGTAGAAAAGATCGACAATGAAAAAGAAAATGTCTTGGCAGTATTCACTTCATCATTTCGTTGCATCGATTATTTATCCCTCATATCAGACCATGATGTTGAAAAAATTAACCTCGGAAGAAAATAGGAATCAATTAAAGCACCTATTAATTTGAATGACCAAACGATGAAAGTGATTGCCCATAAACGAATAAGAAACGAAAAGCGTGGCCATACGTCATTAGGCGCACTGACGTTCGCTAATTTGAGTACGTTAGTGTGATATGATATGATAGAATAATGACAAGACTAGCGATGTATTATGTGAAGTTCTGTAGGTCATGTTCCACGCTCCATGTACAGTAATCAAGTAACCCTGGGAGGTATAGATCAAAGGTTATATGAATATGCATGGTCCCATTACATCCCCCCTTTTGAGAACAAAATCTATGAATGAAAGTGAGGGTTAAATGAACTAGATTTTGTAGCAAAATTGGAAATACATATACAATGAATTGTCCTGTGTGTCTAAGGAATGAACTAATCGCCAAATTGTCATCTAATTTGCTGAACCAAGTAGGAAACTTTTCTACTGTCTTGCTTATTATCAACAATATATTTTAGGAACTCTTTTTCGGAACTCTATTTTCGGAACACTTTTAAGTAACTTTGGTGTTGTAACACATCCTTTTCGCACACTTTTCTCTTATTTTCTAAATGACAAAAACAAAACTTAAAATTTGTCTGCATAAAAAAAAATTGTTTCTTTGTTGAACAAAGTGAACTAAAATTGTCTTTACTTAGTTACTTTTTTCTTTTACGCTGGTACTTCTTTCTGTGCCTTGTAACGACAAAAAAAAATACATTAAAAGAATAAAACTTAAACAAAAAATGAATTTGTTGTCTCTAAGCGTTACTTGAAACAGACTTATGTTTCAATCAGTCTTTGTGGTTTCTTCACTACGCGGCCACTGCGTGTACGGTATGGTTCAGTAGCCACAGCAGGTAAGTTAGTGATAGAGTTGTTGTTGTCACTGTGTTGTTTCTGATCAGTAGACTTGCTCCCAGTCTTCCTCAGTATAGACTTGGGGGCATGTGGGTTGAGTGACGGGGTATGTACGCTAGCAACTGGTGGGTCTGCAAAGCGGAGTGTCTTTCTCATTGGTTCAGTATTGCGAATGTGCACTCTGTTACGGCGTAAGCTTTGTCCAGTTGGTGTCTGAACAATGAATGATCTGGGTTCTGGACAAGCATCTTTGACAACTGCGGGTGTCCATTTCCCAGTGTGATGATCTTGAACCGTCACGTGTTGTCCCGGTACCAGTGATGATAGTTTGCGCATACCATCACGGTCATGGTACTCCTTCTGTTTGTCTTGGCGCTGGGCCAACCTGGCATACACGTCATCTTTGTCGTGCCGGTTGTGTCGAATCTTCGACGGAAGATTGTCCTTGAGTTTGCGACCATTGAGTAGCTCTGCAGGTGAGGGAAGAGCACTGTCTATCGGAGTTGTGTGGAGGCATAGGAGTGCAAGGTAGGGGTCCATGTTGGACTGCTTTGCCTTTGTCAAGGTCAATTTCACAGTCTGTATCATCCGCTCGATGAAACCGTTACTCCTTGGATACCTTGGGCTTGATGTTACGTGATCAAATTCCCAGTCTTGGGAGAATTTGTGGTACTCACGGCTGTCGTACTGCGGCCCATTGTCACTTATGACTTTGGTGGGGATACCTTGCTCACTGAAGATTTGTTTTGTGAGAGTTATTACCGCTGCACTCGAACACTGACCACTCACGCGACGTACAAATGTAGCTTTGGAATAATAGTCCGCGATGATGAGGTAGTCAGCATTGTCAAAATGGAATAGATCCGTTCCGACGGTCTGCCAAGGCCGCTGGGGTATCTCATGAGGTAGTAGAGGCTCATGAGACTGCTTGCGCTGATGTGTTTGGCACACAACGCATTTCCCAACCAACTGTTCAATGTCCTTGTTGATACCTGGCCAATACACGCACACTTTGGCTCGCAGTTGGCATTTGTTGACACCTTGGTGTCCGGCGTGTATTTTTGCGAGTGTCTCTTGTTGCATGGATTCGGGAATGATGATTCTGTCTCCCTTGACGACTAGGCCGTTGTCGACCGACAGTTCGTCTCTACATGACCAGTAGTGACGTATGCATTTAGGCAGATCCTTGGGATCCTCCGGCCAGCCAGTCATGATTGTCTCAGACAATGGTCGTAGAGTAGAATCACTAGCTGTCTCTTGCTTGAGCTGAGTGAGTCTAGCTTGAGAGAACTGTATGGCGTAGATTGTCGTATCGAAGTTGATCTGAGGGCCATACGCGGGATTGAGTCGCGAAAGAGCGTCTGCGAGTAATAGTTCGCGTCCCGGCTTGTATACGATCGTGAAATCATAGGGCTGCAAACGCAACATCATACGCTGGAGTCTTGGGGGTGTGTTAGCGAGGCTTTTGTGTTGGATGTTCTCCAAGGGCTTGTGGTCAGACTCCACAACGAACTTTGACCCGTAAAGGTAAGTGTGGAATCGTGTACAACCAAACACCACCGCAAGCAACTCGCGTTCGATGTTTGCGTATCGTTTCTCAGTTTCTGTCAGTGCTTTGCTCGCGAATGCCACAGGTTTGTTGTTTTGCAGGAGTGCCGCTCCGAGTCCTTTCAGAGACGCGTCGACCTGTAGCACTGTGGGTTGTCGAGGGTCGAAGTGGGTGAGCGTACACTCAGTACCGATTAGCGACTTGACATTTTCGAATGCTTTCTGGTGCGATTCCGTCCACTGCCACTCGCTTTCTTTGCGTAGCAGTGCGCGGAGTGTGTCCGTATGATCAGCGAGTCTGGGGAGAAACGGCGCGAGGTACTGCACCATGCCCAGAAACTGCTGAAGTTCGTTGACATTCTGCGGTGCAGGAAGTGCATGTATGTCTTGCACCTTCTCCGGGTCGGGGTGCACACCAGAGGCATCGTACAGGCATCCGAAGAACTTAATGCAAGGGGTTCTCACCTCGCACTTGCTGAGATTGAAGATCAGGCCGTATTTGCGAGCGACTTGCATGAGGTTGTGTAAGTGTTTGTCATGTTCTTCGACTGTAGAACCGAAGACTGCGATATCATCTGCAATCCCCAAAGTGCCAGGGCATTGCTCCAGGATCATGTCCATTTTCTCCTGGAAGATATCCTGGGAGACTTTCAGCCCGAAGGGTAGGCGACGGAAACGATACCGTCCAAATGGCGAATTGAAGGTTGTCAAGATACTGGACTCCTCATCCAGCACGATGCTCCAGTACCCATGTCGTGCATCCAGCTTGCTGAACACTTTAGCGCCACTGAACTGATGTGTGATTTCTTCCAGTGTTGGCGTTTTATGATATGTCCGCTTGGAGGCTTTGTTCAGTGCTTGCGGGTCTAGGCACACGCGAAGACTGCCGTTGGGCTTTCTGCTGAATGCCAGTGACGAAACCCAGTCTGTGGGCTCCGTGACCTTGGTAATGACATTCATGCTTTCCATTCTGTCCAGTTCAGTCTTAAGCTCCTCCTTGATCTGGATTGGGTACTTTCGTGGAGGATGAACGACCGGACATGCATCCTCTCGTAGCGTGATATGGTATTCACCGGGGAATTTACCAATCCCAGTGAAGCGATCAGGATACATGCTCTGGAGGTCATCTTTCGTTGGTATTGGCTGGATGGGCTCGCGTTGTGTCTGCGATGTGCGATGAACACCCACGGAACTGTCACTGCGTCGTGGTGTTTTGCGTATCGCACAGTTGAGCGTGATGAGGTGGAGAGCTCGTGAGGTCGGAAGTCCAAGGATTGCCGGACCTGTAGTATCGGCGACGAAGAAATCTGCGTCAAGCCAGTCTGTCTCACCGTAGCTGCATGGAATTTTGACGCATCCGTATTGTTGAATTCGGGTTCCATTGTAGGCTGTGAGAAGCGTACTTTGCGGTGTAGTGGAGCCCGGCTGAGGATACCCATCTGCGTCCAGTGATCGCGGAAACATGCGTCGAAATGTGCGAAGGGGGAGTATGTTCCCTTGTGCACCTGTGTCGACCTTGACATTAAGCGTGTGTGATCCAGGACGATGTTTCAGTTTGATGCGAAGTATTGCGAAAAGTTCATCGCGAGTATCAGTTGAACGCTCAACGTCATCGTGATTGTGCTGGGCTGTGATGGTGTCGAAAGCGATGTTCTCAAACTGGTCCTGCATATCAGTCACTTCATACTCAACCGCGTTTACCTCGTTGGATTTACGAGGTTTGGAGCGCGATGAAGACCGACGACCGCGTTTAGGTGAGTATGATCCCCTGGTACGCGTGCGTGATTTGCGTGTGGTACGTGGTTTAGTCTTAGTGCCTGCTGTACTGAGGCACATGTGTTGCCAGTGTCCATCTTTGCCGCAACCATTGCATGTTGTGCCGTATGCGGGACACTTATCGCGAGGTCGATATGGGTGTCGTCCACCACAGTTTTTGCATTGTCCTCGCGTCCTGACGACGTCCACCTGGGCCTTGCCAATATGGCTCAGTTGTGCCATATGCATGACACTGCCTTCGTGTGCTCGGCAAATGTCCAAGGCGTCTTTGAGTTGCAGTTTGTCGTCCTTTCGGAGCAGTTTCTTTTGCACCTCAGAGTATTTTACCCCTGAGATGAGAACCTCGATAATTCTCTCATTGAGGGCTGTTTCACTGGCGAATTGGCATTTCATGGCTTTAGCTTTGCATCGTGTGTAGAAGTCATCAATGCTCTCGGTTTCCATCTGGACAAACCGTTGAAATTCCAACCGATGTATGCGGAAATTGTCCTGGGGTTCAATCTGGCTGGAGAACTTGTCCCAGATGTTTTGAGGATTTTTGAGGTCTTCGTCAGTCAGACCCCATGTGTTGAACATACGGAGACCCTCTTTCCCAGACCACAAAATGATATAATTGTGCTGGTCTTTATCCTCAATGTTTTTGACAGCGAACCACATGGAAGCAGTTTGTTTAAAGTCCTTATATGCTTGGGGCCTGTCATTGGTTTCCCAGTCCATCTTTGGTTGAGGCAGGCCTATTGAATCGGCCATGTCGACTCAATTGTCCGTGCGAAAACGTAGTCAAAATGCAGTCGAGCCGAAGCAGGATACTGCGAACCGCGATGTACGAAGCAGAGGTCAAAGGTCACCGCCCGACACAATGAAATTGGCTTCGCGCACTGTACGTTGTTCGTGTGTGTAAAACTATTGCACAGTACTGTATGTGTGTACACGTACCGTATACTGTTGTTGCGTGCACGGGACTTGTTGCAGCGAAACGTGGAACTTTTCACAGCGTTGATCTCGCCCAGAAATGTTCGATCGAGGGTCGATTTCGATGTCTATTAGGGTAGACCACTTACACCGTTGCCACCATGTGATATGATATGATAGAATAATGACAAGACTAGCGATGTATTATGTGAAGTTCTGTAGGTCATGTTCCACGCTCCATGTACAGTAATCAAGTAACCCTGGGAGGTATAGATCAAAGGTTATATGAATATGCATGGTCCCATTACAGTTAGCTGTCAAAAGATGTCAAAAACTTAATATAATAATGCAACAAATTTAGTCTTGAATGCACCATAACGAAATATAATGCCCCAAAACGAAAACGAACATAGAAGCAAAATCTTGGGTGCATAAAATTTGAAATTGAATGCCCCAGCAATGAAAAAGAAGCCCAAAATTTGATCATATATGTGATAAAATCACGGGAAATTGAATGGCTGAACGTGAAAATTGGTCAGAACAATTCGGAAATTGGCCAGGAAAACATATAAAAACAAAGTAAATCATTCTGAGAAAAAAAATCATTTTTTAAGAGCATGATAGTAAAACTTTCAGTTTTTTCACGACCCCTTTAAATGCTAAACTTCACCTGTAAAGCGCGAAGGCACCTGTCGGCCCTCAACACCCCACCGTTGGGATCGACAAATGCCTTGTGTTCCGGGCCGAAGCTGAAGCCGGAATAGCGCCGGCAGACCTCCTCGACAGACGGCAACTCACACGGCTTGTCCATCGCTCGGAGGGATTCGCTGCGAAGTACGTAATCCTTGTATGGTGGGCCATTTACTGACAATAAACCAACATTTCTTAAAAGATAGAAAGAAAGAAAAGAAGCGAAAAAAAATAGAGGGATTTGTTTTCAACAGAATACATATAGGGCTTTTTCAGATTTGCTGTATGTAAAAATGTATGACAATATCGTGTAAATGAGAAAAGATCAATTTATGATGTTTTGTCTATTGACAACTTGCAGGGAATCTAACGATTCACAATCTAAAAGAATTCCCAATCACGCCTAACATACAAAGAATTTAGGGGAAAGACTTGTACTAGAAAATGGCATAAGATTTCCAGAAAAGAGGGACATTTATTTGCGAGATTTTCTTCTAAACTAAAGTCATGGCCATGATATCGGAAAAAAATCACAGGGATGAAAATATGCAATTAATTTCTGTTTGAAGGATGGACAAAATGTTGAGGCTAGAAAGCCCGCCCCATACGCCAAAATCTCAACATTGTACCTGTCGTTTATTTTACACATGACGCATCAGTACTTGGATAGTTGTAGGAGTTCTATCATCTAACTATAATTCCAGGAATCTCTTTGTGTCTGTGTGCACTTGCAAGTGTTCGCACAAGACATGTATGGAGAAGCTGGGGCCATAACTCCTCGCCAAGAAGGAGACTTGTATTTACGGCTGGAAGCACGTGCGTATTCTTAAAAAAAAGGTCCACTGCGTCAGATGTACTAACTACCGGTTTTTTGTGGGTCCTTGCTCAGGAACAGTGCGACATTAAGTTAGTGTTTCCTTTCATCAAGACATTTGAAATAGAATAAATAACGGTCTAAAACATAGTAATTTTGGCAATTTCGGCGATTTCAGGACGATGCGTACCCCTTATTTTGATTAAGACTTTTCTCATTAAATCAGCAGGTCGGTTTCCAGGTAATCACCAGACTTGGACCTGGAGTGCTCTGAAACATGCAACACTAAATCAGGTCAACTTTACTCCATCTTTAGCCAGCAAATTTCTCCAAAAATGTCATTGGGCAGTGTTTCACTAACCAAAATTTTCAATTTTTAAAGGAGACATTTCTTCAATATTTTGCACTTGAGAGGGAAGTCAGGTGATTTCAAAATGAGGCTAAAGACTACATATGTCCAACCTGGGCCACTATCTGAAAAAAAACAAACCTTTATGTCATCTTCATTCAGTGTCATTGGTCTGGTGGCTGACTATAATGAGCAATGTGTAGTAAATAGTTCCCGGTTCATGCCACGTTTCTTTTGGCACAGTTGACAGAGGCAATACTGAAGCAGTGTTGGTCTAGTTGTTTAAGGTGCCAGTCAATCTTGTATTGCATGTTTTCAATACCTTAAGACTCTCATACACAGTATTGAGAGTCCCAAATGTTCGGACCAATGTTCCTACACGCCTCTAACCACCAACCTGTAAAGCTCAGTGCCTACTTCTCGTCCAAGTCGCTCCCACGTGCGGAAGCATTCTGGCATCATGCTGGCATAGTGCGTCTGTTGATACGCGTAGCGTGTGATACGCGACTGACCGTGAGAGCTTCCTTTACTGTGTCCCAGCTTGAACTGTCAAGAATCGGACAATAACGTTGCTATAATGTGCGACTTAATTTGTAAAGCTTGAAGAAATATTCGTATACACCATAACGAGACATGTATGCTTACTACTGATTAAAATAGGAAATGTACAGGAAGACACAAAACCTACGATATGTCATGCGAAAGTACAAAAAAACAGTAACTGCGCATATTCAGTGCATATCCGGCAAACTAACGTTTACTAAAGGTTTGCCGTCTCCGGCAAAATATACACTGCCTTAAAACAACGTTAGTCGAAACTAGTTTATTTCTTGTATCGCCATTTTGCACACCCAGTTTAAAGAGAGGAAGACGCATACAGACAGGGTGACCGTAAGGTCATGGCCAAATTCTGCTAAATACACTTCAAAAATCTGTCAGATTTATCAAAATCTGCCAAATTCCCCAGAATTACTCGAAATACACTACAAACACTTAAAATCACATGCAGATGTTGTAGATTTGCCTTAATTAAGGTTCAAATTACATTATAAACAATCTATAGTTACATAAAGATGTTATGAAATTGCGTAAGTTTCAGGCAAAACGTGTAACCTTGCGTCACGAAGTCTGGTTCCCATTGAACCTTAGCACCTAAACCAGCGGAACCCAGTGTCCCATTATGCAAGGGTTTGTTTGAAAAGATTGAAGTTTTTTTCAAACAAATGTACCATATTTGTGAAATCTGCTGTTTTTCTGCCAAATAACCATTTTTGCAGAATTCTGCCACAAATCTGTAAAAAAAAATTCAATTCTGTCAAATTTTCTATCAAACTCGTAATTTTTTTTTTTTTACAAAAATCTGTCAAAGTTAGCCGAAAATCGGCTAAAACGGTCACCCCGCATACAGACCATCGCACGCACTCGGCTCACTAGTCATTTCATAATGATCCTGGCGACGCCCATGGCCTTGCTCAATGGAATAAAGAACTCGAAAGAACGCCGTATAGCCCTAACCCTTCAATAATCCGATGGATTGATGACAATTCACCTGTTCAACTAGCAGTGTCTTGCGACCGGTTCTCGTAAGCTGATAGCCCGTGGCCGACCCTTCCACGCCTGCTCCAACCACAACACAATCGTAGTAACAGGTCTGATGAGCCATTACATCTAACAGTTCTGCTAATCTAAATTTTAGATAGTGACCACAGGCATAGGCAATGCAGTAGTTATTCCACGCAAGGTTTCACGATCAGTGAACTGGCATTGTTCGTGTATATGGTGACGTCAGTCAGTTGCCGGGTCACGCGTATTTAGCTGCTCTATTTTCTCGTCCACACAACTAACAGCAATATTTTCATGCGTGAATGACCTCGGGACAAGAAACCGAGGTCAAACAGGGCTGTGTGCGTGACACGGCCACTGCCACTGACAGTGGCAGAACAAGGTCATTTTATTGTAGTCCTGGCCCTGCACAAGGCCATGCATGTGCATGCTATCTTAATATGTTAATGTAACGTACACTTTGTACAGTTGAAACCTTATAATTATTTGCTTCTATTTCTGGACAAAGGTTTGCTGCTTGCACTTTAATATATTAGTTGGATATGGTTGTACGGAAACTTGGAGAACGAAAATCTAAACAGGAATATGCTGAAATGTAGCGCTCACTGAACTGGAGTTCACATGTACATGTCAACCGTGCAGACAAGTTCTGGGAGAGAATATTCAACCGACGGCGAGATTACCAACACAAGCTACAGGATTTAATGTCTTCATTATCTGGGCAATTCCACCGTGACTGACATTACATGTATCAAATCAGCTCTTATGTCTGATCAATTACAGCCAACTGAACCATGTTTGGCAAAGGGGTTACTAGGACCTAAATACACAATAGAGTATTGAATCTTTGAAATTTCATGGTTAGCTTTTTTGACTTGGGGGTTGTTTAGTGCCGTGATAGTCCGAAAATTTGGGACTCAATACTGTGTATGAGAGTCCCAAAATGGGAACTAGCGGGAACTAGTCTCAATTTACTACACATTTCTCCATAGTCAAGCCACCAGACTATTGACTCTGAATGAAGAGGTCAGTCTTTTCAAATAGTTGGACCATGGTTGAACATGTATACCAGTCTAGTATTTAGCCCCATTTTGAAATCACTTGACTTCCCTCTCATGTGCAAAATATTAAAGAAAAGTCTCCTTTAAAAATTGAATTGAGTCTGCAAACTTGGTTGGTGAAATACTGAGGACATTTTCTTTGCCCCATTGGAATTTTTTGAGAAATTTGCTGGCTAAACTGTGAGTAAAGTGGGCCTGATTTAGTTTCGCACGTTTCAGAGCACTCCAGAGCCCTGACTGGTGCCCTGACTGACATTAAAAAAAGCGATGCAACCCAAAAATGTCAAACATGTTTTTAAAATTTCTCTTCAGGTTAAAAGTGCTGCAGATCAAAATCCATTAGAACATTAGAGCTAATAGGGTTACTAACGCATGTAGTAAGATGGGGGAAAAAAAATCATGAATTTTTGAAAGAATATGCCTGTTAATATAAAACAAATTAACACCCAATTAAAATAGCCTCGTATGTCAACAACAGAAGTTGATATACCCAGACCCCGTGCTAAGAAAACAATGAAGGGCAGATTTTTATTGCTATCCTGAATGCTTTTATGGGAAAAAAGCGTCGTTTTTTGTGACTGACATTACACTAAGCCTAAGACCGTCACTGACACTGCATTTTTACTAATTTTGAATATCAAATCAGCTCTTATGTGTAAACAATTAAAGCCAAATGAACCATTGTTTGGCATGGGAGTTACTGGGACCTGAATACACAATACAGTATTGAAAATTTGAAATTTCATGTTCAGTTTTTCCAATTAGAGTGCCGTTTACTGTCGTGACTGACATTACAAAAAGCGATGCAACCAAAAAATGTCAAACATGTTTTTCAAATTTCTTTTCAAGTTAAAATTTCTACACGAGCATTTTAGCTTATAGGGTAACCAACACATGTAGTAAATGTGCAAAACTTTCATGATTTCTTTTAATATGCAAATAAACCTCTGTGACTGACATTACCGTGGATGACATTACGCATTAGATTCATTATACCTGTTAACAACAAATTAATACTAAAACAATACAGAGAAGAGAAGAGTAAAATGACTGTTTATGTTATATTTTAAGGAATAATTGTAACTTTAAGATGATTAAAGGTTGGAACATGGAGTGTACAAAATACACTAAATACATACAAGCGCATTACGCATGACTGACACTTTTATGGAATTGACCAAATCTTTAAATAACAATTATTTGCCCACTTGGTAACATTGTTGCCGGGTTATTTTGACCATCTCACAGCCGGGGCAGATTCCCCTTTCTTCTCTTGGCACCAACATGCTGCAAATTCACGCCCCCTCCCCCCCCCCCGAGTGACGAAGAAAATGCATAGAGCAACTCTTCATTAATATACCCAAGAAATTTCATGATTATAGGGCAAAGGGTTCTGGAATTATGGCTAATTAATTATTCATATGTACGAATGATTATTCTTCTCTTGGCACTAACATGCTGCAAATTCACGCCCGCACCCCTATTTTGCCTTCCCGCACCCCTTTCTTCTCTTGGCACTAACATGCTGCAAATTCACGCCCCTCCCCCCCCCCCCCGAGTGACGAAGAAAATGCATAGAGCAACTCTTCATAAATATACCCAAGAAATTTCATGATTATAGGGCAAAGGGTTCTGGAATTATGGCTAATTAATTATTCATATGTACGAATGATTATTCTTCTCTTGGCACTAACATGCTGCAAATTCACGCCCGCACCCCTATTTTGCCTTCCCGCATCCCTTTCTTCTCTTGGCACTAACATGCTGCAAATTCACGCCCCCTCCCCCCCCCCCCGAGGGACGAAGAAAATGCATAGAGCAACTCTTCATAAATATACCCAAGAAATTTCATGATTATAGGGCAAAGGGTTCTGGAATTATGGCTAATTAATTATTCATATGTACGAATGATTATTCTTCTCTTGGCACTAACATGCTGCAAATTCACGCCCGCACCCCTATTTTGCCTTCCCGCACCCCTTTCTTCTCTTGGCACTAACATGCTGCAAATTCACGCCCCCTCCCCCCCCCCGAGTGACGAAGAAAATGCATAGAGCAACTCTTCATAAATATACCCAAGAAATTTCATGATTATAGGGCAAAGGGTTCTGGAATTATGGCTAATTAATTATTCATATGTACGAATGATTATTCTTCTCTTGGCACTAACATGCTGCAAATTCACACACGCACCCCTCTTTTGCCTTCTCGCAATTTGTTTTCTCTTGGCACTAACATGCTGCGAATTTGCGCCCGCATCCCTCTTTTGCAGTCTTTGGTTTACCCTAAAGGGGCCGGGTTATTTTGACCATCTCACAGCCGGGGGCGGATTCCCCTTTCTTCTCTTGGCACTAACATGCTGCAAATTCACGCCCGCACCCATATTTTGCCTTCCCGCACCCCTTTCTTCTCTTGGCACTAACATGCTGCAAATTCACGCCCCCCCCCCCCGAGTGACGAAGAAAATGTATAGAGCAACTCTTCATAAATATACCCAAGAAATTTCATGATAGGGCAAAGGGTTTTGGAATTATGGCTAATTAATTATTCATATGTACGAATGATTATTCTTCTCTTGGCACTAACATGCTGCAAATTCACGCCCGCACCCCTATTTTGCCTTCCCGCACCCCAACTCTAGTATGAAATTATACCGGTTTTTGTGAAAGTTCAGTACAAAACTGTTGCTCTAGATAGCGCGACAGACGAACAAGCAAAGTACACCACGTCAGTGGCGGCGCCATGCTATGTTACATCATACATCAACAAATATCTATTTATGCCTTGAATATGGGATTTAATGGTAATACCACCAGTCCAGTTAAAATGCATAGAACAACAATTGATTGTTTGTTGGTTTATAAAACAGGTTTGACAAATGATCAGTAATAACAGATTAATTAAAATAATCACGGCCGGACCATTTGGAATAACCATAGAGCAAGGAATATGAAAACATTAAATCTTTTACAGTTTTGGCTTGTGTAAGCATGGAGGTGTTCCTTCCTCCATGGTGTAAGTAATCTCGCCGTCGGTTGAATATTCTCTCCCAGAACTTGTCTGCACGGTTGACATGCATGTATTACAACTCCAGTTCTCTTTCTCAGTGGGCGCTACATTTCAGCATATTCTCGTTTAGTTTATCGTTTTCCAAGTTGTATTTTTCTATTCCTTCCTCCATGGTACAACCATAGGTCCTTGCTATACAACCATGTCCAAGTAATATATTATAGTGCAAGTGTGGCAGTGCCAAGTTTTACTTGTGTATTTTTATAGTGTATTAAATAGGAGTAGCTCCCCTTAGAAAAAGAAAATCATTTTAGTTGAAGTTTAGATGTCCCCCCCTTTGTTGGTAGTGTGACCCCCTGTTTGTTTACCTAAGCCCACATGTTCCCCCTATAAAAGCTGCCACATGGTCAAGTCACACTTCAGTTCAGCCAGCAGACCAGCTGACAACTTCTATTTTGACCATTTTCACTCGTACCCCCTATCATAATCTTCAGATTTCATCCCCAAAACAGTCCTCAAACTGCCTGATGCGCGCCCCTGTATGCTTCAGTGGGAATTGGGAATACAAATGGTGGGGGTTAGGTTCAAATACCTTTGGGAAGAAAAGAGAAATTCCACCTTCAATTCGGGAAACATCCTTGTCGCACAAGCCTTGTTGGGGGATGCCATTTTGAATTCAGGAAAACTTGACTTGCATCAGACAGACAGACAGACCAATCACAGGGCACTTTCATGGTCACCTGGATTGGTCGCCATGGCGACCAATCAAAGTCTGGCAGTTTGAGGACTGTTTTGGGGGCAGAAATCTGAAGATTATGACAGGGGGTACGAGTGAAAATGGTCAAAAGAGGTTATTGATACCGCCATGTACTTTATGATCCTAGGACCGTACTATCGCGGCCCGACCGTCTCCAAATGTTAAAAAATGCGATTCGTAGAGTCCTAGTTTCTCGGACTAATTTTATTGGAGGTATAGTGACAAAGGGCACTCGCTCATCCGTGCTGAGCTTCAAGTCGGTTAGTCCACGGACCATTTACATTTGTGTATTTGGTCCGTGGTTAGTCCACGTGCATGACGTCGATCGCGAGGGGGGGGGGGGGGGGGATACCCCCCATCCTCCTTCCCGGCTACGCCACTGATTATGTACATCACATCCACTGAGTGGATGAATGATAACAAAATATGTGACCTTTATTTAATGCCTTCCAATGACCTCTTTTGACGATATGTAGAGGGCGCATTTTTTTCCTTATCAATTTATTCCGATTTCATTTTTATCTTATTTAATTTAATGAAGGAATTCGTTCTTCTCCTTCCATACTAGGCTTAAGGGTATTCGAATCAACTATAAAACTAGTCATCCACATTACTCTTTTTGCTTTAATTACTAAAACAAACGATATCATGGGCGAGGGGGTAAGTTTCGATTTTTTAGTGGGTGGGTTGGTGGGGGGGGGGGGGACGGACACCTGCCTGGGGGCATTGAGGGCACGCCCCCAGAGCCCCCGCGGATCCGGAGGGGGAGGTTTTTTTTCATAGAAATACATTAAAACAATGTGAACTCCCCCCCCCCCGCTCTGACACCCAATATAAATTATGACAATTATACTGGTAATTATACTGGTTTTTCCAGGCTATTTTAAAACGTTTGTCATTCGAATGCATTCTTATATTCAAATTCGTCCATCAACGTCGATTAAGTGCACTTCCAATGTTCAATTTCGTCTCTCGTCAGACAATTTCAAATTCAGTTAAAACCAAATTCAAACAATGAGCGCACGTTTTCGTCCCGGAGTATTCGATTTCGTCTCGTTTACGCCAAACCTTGTTATTCAGATATCAAATTCGTCTAATTGGTTTATATAAGACGAATTCGATATCTGAATGCTTCCATTCGGCAACGAATTAATCTATAATGACGAATTTTCTCGACCTGGTAACTAAAGAGCCTGACCAAAAAAATCAAATGGTAAATGACTAAATTGGTTTTGTTTAACAGTGTGAAATTTTTCTTGGACAATGACTTGAATGTTAGAGTTGGTGAATTTGAATGAAAAATGTTTTAAAATAACCGGGAAAACCTATAATATCCGCTTGTGTACAACATTCGGTCAGATCCAGCTTGGTTTCATGGGTTTGTACACTTTTCTGTAGTGTTGATGATCGATTGATCGTCATATTTGAACAACACCCGCATTGACAGTATGGTTTGAGCCCCCCTATTGATTTTACAAAGACCAAGTGTCCGGAGAAAAAGAAACACCCGTCTACATTTCAGCATTGATTTGCTGATGCCCCCCCCCCCGCAAAAAATCCTGGATCCGCCCCTGCACTGATATTAAGTACTGTACCTGTGATATTTCTTTCCTGTGCGTCATTGGTCCGTTATTCGCGGATGCATAATGCATGAGAATGGTTCCGAAGCCATACGTCATGTGCAGTCAATGCATGCAACGACATCTTTATCATAACACGTGTATATGGAACGCCGTCGAATCGTTTATGTGTGTCACGTCGAAAACCGGGAAACGCTGCGACGCCAAAAACTGTAACGCTGCGACTTCGAAAACCGTGCGTCTCTCACGTTGAAGCTCAACTTGTGTGCGCTTGCGACGTCGAAAACTGTAACGCTGCGACGTTGAAAATCATGCGCGCGCGACGATTAAAAACCGTAACGCTATAACGCCAATAAAAATGTGTGCGTGCGACGATAACGCTGCGAAGAAAACTTGTGTCTTTAATGGAACAGTACAGATAAATCCAGGATTCCTTTGTTAAAATTTGGACTCCTATGAAATCTGGTCCCTTTTATCACATATGAGTTCTAACCATATTACACGTGACCTGTAACTACCAATGAGTCGGTATATTTCATACTAAACTCACATTATACCAGACGCAAGAGAAGCGATCAAAAGGACGGTTGTCTGTGATTGTACAAGGGAAATCATTGTAAAGGAAAAGGAAACAACGCAATCAGAAAGTGCTGCCTTTTTCAGATGTCTTATTTTTGTGAAATTTCATGTTGAAATTTTGATACGCAAACGTGTGAAAATGAATCTGGAAATCTCACGAAAAATAGACATCTGAAAAAGGCAGCACTTTCTGATTAGCCTATAAAGAGGGTGAGTATGCTTCTAAAGCAATAAAAACTACAAACTAAGCCTAAACGTGAAAATCAAAATTTGGCAAAGTGCGACACGTTTTTGTACATGTGAATGTGTGGCCTATGTTTACGGAGGTAGTCCAGTAAATAGGCCACATTTACGGGGCTACTCCGCACCCAGCCGTGGATCAGCCAAGCCACAGGTAAGCCAGCGTTGAACCCCGGGAAGTCAGCCACATCAGGCGGGCCACGACAGTCCAGGTCTCCGTCCGGTAGTACCATCAGCCCCGGCACGATCCAGTGATGAGGGGTACGTAGCTCGGTAGGAACGGCGGGAGATGCTGGCTGAACGACACGCTAATGGAAATCGCACATAATAGTCGTACAATGTACATGGGGCGCCAACTGAGAGCGAATAAAAGCCAGTCAGTGCTTAATATAAATACCAAAAATTATAGTGCGGGAGCTTACCGTTCTCAAGGATTACAGGATAAGTGGTTTCGTGACAAAATCTTTCCACAGCCATAGTACATGTACATGTATTGAATCATGTGTGTCCTGCCCGCCGGCAAGCTCGGTAGTCGAGCGGTAAGATGTCTGAACTAGTAAGCAGAAGGTCGTGGGTTGGAGTCCCACCCAAGCGATGTTTCTTCTCACAATCACTCGGGACAACACTGAGCCTGTTATATTCGCTTCACATCAATATTCCCTTCTAATCATCCATTTTATGAATAGACATAAAATGGGCATAAAACAATAATTCGTGCTGACAGAAGAGAACTTAATGATCCTCCTAATATACAGGGAAGAAAATCCCAAATGTTCCTCAAGATTCCTGACATAACCTTCGTCATATAATCTCGATTCGTTATTTAGGCCCTAATTGGTCCCTCTCAATTACTGTCCCTCCCAATTGTCTCTCTGTTGATTTCAATACCCTCCACCGACCCTATTTGAAAATGAAGGATCCGCCATGCACTATATGCTTTGTACACCACATTAAAGAGGTTGTGGAATGCTCGAAAACATTTCCGTCATTTTTCGGGTATATGTAGCCTAAGGTGTGATGAAATAAAAACCGACTATTGCGTCTGTCCTGAAATGAGTACAAATGGTACTTTTGAGAGCTGTTTTTTCAGGTCCTGTTTCGACCCGAACGTGCAAGTTGTGTAAAAGTCATCGTTGGGGGCAGCAAACAAAATATAGTAAATCGTGACGTAATAAACAGGACTCCCAATGCAGCGTAGTATAAATGAGTCCTGTTTATTACGTCCCGATTTTTCTCAATTTACGAAGAACCCGACGACTGTTGATTTCAATTATGCGCTCGCCGACCAACAAATTACTCGATGCATTTCAGTTTTATAAACATATAAACGCACATTACAAAAGAATGGGACTTTGTCATTATGATTATATGGGTCTACTCTACAATAAAAAAAAATATAAAAAACAAAACGATTTTCAGCATTCCACAACCTCTTTAATGCGCCTATCAATTGTTCCTCCACCCCTCCCCGGGCTGTCCCACCCAAGACGTGTGATTTTAAAATCCCCACCCCTCGGGCAAAGTTTAAGTGACAATCCCCGACCATGTCCCGACATACATGCGTACGTTGGGCGCACTAGTGATTGCCTTTCCATGTAGTACGCCAATGTTAACAATGTAAATTGAGTGACCAAAATCCCCACCCTGGGGCATGAAAAACTTGACCAAATCCCGACATCGGACCTGGGGCAGCGTGGGGAGGGGGGGGGAGGGGGAGGGGGAGGGGGAACATTTGATGGGCGCATAAATTTATCATCAATATAATGCTAAACGCCCATAGCGGAAATGTGGTATGAAAAAAAATCTCGCCTCCCGGGGAGGTAGGGGATGGAGGGGGAAGGGGGGGGGGGGGCTAAACGGAGGCAATGCCAGCTGTCCCCAGATACCGATTTCTGTTTGTTTATTTGTTTGTTTGTTTGATGGCTTAATGATATATAAAACGGAGGAGCGACGACAACTGTTTTGAAATCAATGATGCAGTAGTTTAATGGGCTCCACAGATTCTACAAACTTAATAGGCCCGAAGAAATATATGTGTTGGAAGCAGCAGAGTCTGTCGATTGGTATTAGGAACAGGTGTATAAGAGCACATGACATAACTAACTGATTACAGGTATCTTTTAAGGCGTACAATGTATTGAAAAATAACCATAGAACTGTTTTGTCCACGATTACAATTGAGAAATGAATTATGTTTACTGTTTGGGATGATTATTGCTAGAGATGGGCTTCATCTATTTTCAACCAATCCTCTAGTCCGTTGTCTGCCTTGAATTCGCTTTTACAATTAGGGTTTTCTCCTTAAACGTGGTAGATACTCTTTCTCTTCTGAAACATCAATAGAACCCGTACAATAACGTGGACCGGATCAAGACAGCTCAAGACAGGTAGAACAGGTTTACTTATTATTTTTCCTTACTTATTTAGAATGCTCGAAATAAAAATATATTGCCGTATATTTGTCTCTTCAGCTTAATATTCCCGATAAAATCTTTATTAAAGCATCATAAATATTTAAAATCATTTAGGATTGCAAAGTTTCTAAATGTTATGTCTTCATTGAGGTCTTAATGTAAGTGGAAAAGAAAAGAAAACATACCACCAATCTTTTACTGGTAAGCCAACTCATAAATAAAATATAGATACTAATTCACTGTCACCCTAAATTAAGAAGCCTCCTGTATGTTGCAGATGATAGATAACAATGAGTAGTTTGATGAGGCTTTTAGGCAGCAATGTACTGGCATTTTGCTCTTAATTAATCCTTCTAATCCACGGTAATCCCCTGGAAGCTTGCTGCAAATCCGCCTTTAGCCACAAATCCATCGCTGATCATCTTCACCGTCATGGTGTTGTCAAGGGACACAAAAGTCCCAAAAGGGAGCTCCGAACCGCAAGTCCTGATACAAAGAGAGACAGAAAAAAAAAATAGATTTTGCTTTGTTTCATTTGTTTGATTGTAATTTTTCTGGATTAAGGCAAATGACATTAGCCAAGTCCTACTTACTTGGCTAACTTACGGCCGGCTGAAATAACTAAATTGGACGCGGCCATTATTTGAAGTCAAATGGCTCTTTAGTTAAACCAACTTAGACATTAATAAGCCTCTGTACTGATGACGTCACACTTTGTTTACGTGTGTGCTTTCCTATGGTGCTCAGTGGACCGTGGGCCCCCACTGGCTCCATAGGGAAGTGCACATGATTTTGTTAACAAAGTGTGACGTCATCAATACAGAGGCTTATTGTTGAAGCTAACAACGGGCGCTATATACCTCACTGAGACATATTATCACCCGTTCGTTATATATATTCCTCTATCATTGAAAACAATTGTGTATTTAAGGGAATTGCCAGCGATATTTTGCATTAAGAATTCGAATACCGGCATGGGGTTGCATGGGTACAAAGCACCACATATCTTACCTCAGTGAGCCAAGCGTGTCCCCAGGAATAACTACCAATCTGTCCCACGTGCAAGTCTCCTCATATTCGATATCAAGGTGTTCTACTGTCAACCGAACTCGTTTACCAGCATCAACCTATGAGTAACATAACATTCATCTGATTGTTATTGAAGTCAAGTTAAATGATTCTTGAAATTCATGTTAGTCCAAAACCAGTCCGAGCATGACTTATTGCTCCAACTTCAAGGCAAACTTGATTCCGAATTCCAAGGTACCAAGTACTGTGATTATGGCCTAAGTTTTTACACAGTGGTACGACAGGCTAGTTATTGTGACCAATAATCCACAGGCTGGGATTTCATAATGAGAAATATTTTAACTCTAATCAGACTCGCCTGAATATGATAAACACATTCCTCGTTGTTATTGTACACGCCGTGTCCATAGTTCGGCGATGCTATGCAGCCGGAACCAGTGAATTGCCCGCCGCATGTTCCTTCAGCCGCTTCTGTGATAATTTGTCATAAAAGTACAATATGTCATAAAGTACATATTTCCATTTAACCAAAATAGATAGTGTGGTAATTGTCATATTAGTTACAACACTGCTACCGAAACGGCTTTCATTCTCTGTTTTTCATACAAAGGTGCACATGCATTTTGTCTAATATATGAAGGAGCGCCGGGCTGGCCATGTGTGACTTTTGTGGAACAGCGTACTGATGTCTTTAATTACTTATCTCGGAATGTGGTTTTGAATTAATTGCTCTGATTTACGTGTCATACAAGTGTCAATTTTCTTTATCGTAGTGAGTAAAATCGACTTTATAGTTTAAGGAGAGGTATGATTTCTTCAGTCGCAGAAGAGGTGAAGTGTTGACAGAATAATTCCAAACAAGGGCCTTAATTGGGAGACCTGTATGATATTATACACTCTACATTGAAACCACTGTTGACGGAATTTGGTGTTGTCACTATTTCTCGGCTAGGGCTTACCGCACTTCGCCGTTGGCTTGATGGAAGTCGGGGGGTGTGTTGTCACAGTGGTGGTTGATGCCAAGATAGGGATCGATGCTGAGGCCGTGATTCGGAAGGTTGTTTGGGCGGAGGTTTTGGCTGCGGTTTGAGCTGAGGTTTGGGCTGTAGTTTGGGCCGTGGTTACGACTGTGGTTTTGGCCGTGGTTTGAGCTGAGGTTTGGGGTGTGGTTTGGTGTGTAGTTTGGGCCGTGGTTACGGCTATGGTTTGGGTCGTGGTTTGAGCTGAGGTTTGGACTGTGGTTTGAGCCGTGGGTACGGCTGTGATTTGTGTCGCGGTTGCAGCTGTGGTTTTGGCTGTGGTATGGGCTGTGGTTTGGGCTGTGGTTTGTGACATGATTACGGCTGTGGTTTGGGCCGTGGTGATGGCTGTAGTTTGGTCCGTGGTTTGAGCTGTTGTTTGGGCTGTTGTTTGGACTGTTGTTTGGCCCGTGGTTTGGGCTGTGGTGTGGGCCGTGGTTGACACCACTGTTGAGGCCATGGGCAGGGTAGTAACGTCACTCTCAGGGTTGATGAAGTAATCAGCTCGGAATCCTTTACGTTCCCCCCACGAGTCGGTGTAGAGAATCACGAGGATTTGATTTCCAGTGGACACAATTGGCGGGGGCGGTTCGTTTCCACAATAGCTAGAAATATAAATCGCATATCCAAACCTAAGAAAAGTAGTATTATAAAAAGATGATTAATTCATAAATTTTCACAAAACGACTTGACTTCTTTTATCCTTTGAAGTTTTGAGAGTTTTACGTGCAAATTACGGGACAAAACTGTCTCTTTTTCTCTTCGATTTGTCATAACGGAGATCGACTTTCGTCAACATCGGTGTGCAAGATTTCTAACCATGTTCTTCTCACTGTTAAAAAAAAGTTAACACTACTGACTCTTTTCCACCAGTGTAGATGTAGGAATCACTGCGCACTTGAACGTAGTCGAAGCAAATGTCACGTGAGCTTATCTCTACTTCAAAATCGGTGAAAACAAGGCTAAGCGTCGTGTTGGGTGGACCCTGGTAAAAGCAACGTTAGATCAAATCAATTAATGCAACATGTTCAATACAATTGGCGATGCCAGACCAAATCATTGTAAAGGAGAGATGGGCAAAACTCATTTAAAACAATGACTGATACCTTATTTCTGGAGATTCAATTGGGGAAATGACGTTTTTTTATGGAATAAATCCCAATTTGGGTATTTAAAAACTACATACCTGTATTAACCAGGCACATGTCATTAAACTATCGTAGGCAGTGGGATATCCTGGTGACATGATGGTCTTCACGTCTTCATCAGCTGATAGTTCGCTCATGCATTCTGTCACCAAAAAATTCAGACATGCACAATGGCATTCAGAAGCATATATGTCGGGTTTGAATAGGTTTGGTTGGTTTAAGTTGCATTCAGGTTCGGTTGAGTCTGTGTCTGCATTCAATAGGGGACGTTGAACAATAGAGGACAATAGGGTCCCCCATTCCCGAGAGGTCCCTAATTTCGATTCGTGTACAAAACATATGGGAGGTCTTCCTTAATAAAGGTAGAGTACAAACAAAAGAGGGACAATAGGGGGTCCCCGATTGCAGGTAAATACACACTTCGTGTGGGTTGGGTTGGGTTTTGTTGGCTTGGCTTGGTTTGTCTTAGGCTTGGCTAGGTGATGCGTTGGGTTGCGTTGGGTTGCGTTGGGTTGCGTTGGGTTGCAGTTGGGTTAGGTTGTATTTATCGGCTTCGGTTGGGTTGGGTTCGATTGGGCTAGGTTTGGGTTAAGGTTTATTTTGGGTTGGGTTTGTATGGGCTAAGGGCTGGGAAATTGGTTGGGTTGGCTTGGTATGGGTTCAGTTGAGTTAATTGTTTTATCTCACCTGCGTTATCGCTGCCTTGCATGTAAATCTCACAGTACGTTCCGCTGTAGTCTGGTTTGCAGTAACATTTACAATCTTTCCCAACATATCCTTCGTTTTCACACTGTAAAAGCGGATCACACTCACCTAGAGAAATGAGCAAGTCAATAAATAATCGAGCGATCTAGATGTAACATACAAGGTGAGTAAAAAAAAGGAAACAGAAATGGCATCCCTCTTAAAAACAAAATACTGCATGTAGCGTTTTCCAGATCTTGCATGTAAAAACCCAATTAATAAACTTTATTTTAGTTAATGAATCATTCGTATCGTTCATGAGTTTTTCAAGTTTATGGACTTTTAAACACAAATACAATTTAGGGGGCCATTTGGTTTGTTTTTTTACTCACCCTGTACATGTGAGACTCATAATCGTTTTCATAGCTTACTTTTATCCCCTTCCTTTAACACATTTAGTGTACATAGAAAAAAGCCAGTATCATGTTACCCACAGTATCGTTTTAATAAGTTAAAATGTTATTTCGTTTAGCAGAAAAAAGCATTTGGTAAATCAGGGAAACATAGGTATAAATAACTTTTTCTTTACTTTAAAAAGATGACACCATGCTTTATAGTTTGCATAAATACATGCATGGGTTTTTATTCTGGCAAACATGGAAATAAAACATGAATACCAGATGAAACATGATCATAAAACTTAGCTTATAGAATGTTCGCATTTTAAAACTGACCAAGTAATTATACTCACTGGAACACTCATACATTACATTGGCGATCTTCCGATCGTAAAATGTAAAATCTTCCCGGTTTCCCATCTTGAACAGATCCAGTGGGTTCTTGGGCTCAATCGTCAGCAGTCCACTGCCTTTAGAGAAATACTAATAACAAAAAATACTAGTTATAAAAAAGAAAGGTGGACCGATATTTAGAATCTAAGACGGGTCGGGCTGAGTTGGCTTATGGCTTTCATTTCTGCTGAATTGCAAGCGTACTCCTACAATGCAAACGGTTTAATCGTTCAAAATATACAACATTCTAAAATAATGGAAATAATGTTGCAACCTAACGCCAATTTTTTTCTTCATATATCATCTCAATGAAGGTCATTTCTTAATGCTAAAACATGAATCTGGGACTGAAAAACATTTCCAATTATGTTAGGAAATACTTGATTCTCCATGGACTTTGTATACACAACCGCTGTTGCAACATTCTTTTCAAAATAAATCTTATTGAAAAGAAATAATCGATGGGTTTTCAGGGGAGCACACAATTTACACCTTGACCGAATGTCCGCTAAGGATACCTAAGGTTCCTGTAAGGGTCTATAGACAGACAGAAAAAAAAACATTGGGTCGTTCATAGATCTCGCATGAGGACTGGTAAAGTCTCCTCGCTTCTGGCGCCACAAGGAGGGCAGCCTGCGATACGCACGAGCAGCTACATTGTACTTATAATATCGCTGACTTAAATTGGTTCTAACTACCCTCAGTGAGGGCGCACTGCTGCAATGGACTCATTCTTACCTCTGATCCATAATGCATTATCGATTCAATGTCGTAAGGGACACCGTACGTCTCAACTTCATAGGTCTTGAAGTTTGATGCAAACCCCGCCTTGATATTATCGTATAGGACCGTCACGTACCCGTCCCTGTCTGGCCTTCCTTGTTCGTGGTGCCAACCCACAGCATGGCCGATCTCATGTGCGATTGTTCCCATCTTAACCAGAAAAAAATCAAGTAATTTGGATGATGAGTTTCAGCAATCACCATCGTTTATTATACTCTACTTGCTAAGATTCGTGCCAACGTTCTCAATTAAGACACTGAACGACCCATTTTCTTAAATAAAAGGACACATCGTCCTTAAAGGTAGAGTCCATCATTTGTAATTTGTGCATTTTGTTCGTTTGAAGCAACAAAAGAGTTCAAAATCTAATGAAGGATACTGAGCAACTAACCTGATGAAGTTTCAGCTAAGCTTCAGCTGTACATTCCGAGAAAAACAGCATTCTAAGATCTCAATTTCAAATCAAAAGTTGCTGAATCATGTTTTGAATTGTTTTGAATTGCAACTATACGCGACGTCGCGCACTGATCCGACGAATTATAACAACCGCGCGCGCGTGTGCGTCGTTCGAATACTTGTGCGCGCTGCGCTGAATAACAAAACGAACTACTAATTTAAATTTTCCTACGGTGCTTCTTAAGAATCACCGTTGGAAATGCCTTCTTTCGTTGATTACTTCAAAATGACAGCTTCCCAGAAAGAATAATTTCACAGGGAGTTTAGTCTCCTTACTATCTTTCAACCAAGTTAGTTTTTCAACAATAATTACGCCAGTTACTTTTTGGATGGCTGCAAATGATGGACTCTACCTTTAAATCACCGAAAATTGTATGACTTAGATTGTTTACTTATCTTATTTCCAATGTCTTGTTGAAATGAAACTAACCTTACGTCTTACTATTACTGAGAAAAGATGGGAAATCTACCTGGTTGATATTGTGTGGCATATACGTGTATGTAAATCTAAATAAAGCTCCCTGGACGAGGACTTTCCATCGGATCACTTACATAATTGCATCGCTCTTCTGACAGCGAAATAGTCTGGGGAAAATGGTTAATCATGCCGACCCAAGACACGCATCTGCCGATGAAAAAAAATCAGAGATTTATTGCAATTTATAATGGTAAAATTTAGTTTTGTGAGTGGTGGCAAATACTATACATGTTTAGGTTTCATGGGGTCAGCATGGTCATGCCTCCTCAGAATGCAGTGTTTTGTACCAATACTAAGTAGTATATAAAAGCAACAAATTATAAGGAAAGCCTTTGTGTTATTTAATGGTTTTGTCGGCCTTTTTATTACAATAATTACAATTTTATTAGTGGTTTTGACTTCATATAAGGGAGTTGCGTGCATGAATAAACTACACACTTTAGTGTACAGCACCGACGATCCATCATGATTTGCAAGCCTTCCCGAGTCAGAATCTCGTTATTGTTAATCTACCGGAAATTGCAAAGCTTATCACGTACTTCAATTGTCTCGTCACGAGCTTACAACCTGCATTACCATAGTACTATACCTTCGCAAAATACAAAATGCAGCACAGACTTGAGTCCAGCCATATAACTCGATGTCATTAGTGTACCGTTGGTGCTAATGGTGGTTTAATATTATATTTCAAAGGGAATGGGAGGGATAAATGCAAAACGTTGGTTTTTTTATCACACACAGCTAGCTCCCTCTAAAAAAAATCACCAAGACGTTAATTCTACGCTTGTTGTGCATCAGATTTATCAGTGGAGAACTTACCCCGCACTCGCCTTCTCGAAAAGGACACGATGTTCAGTTCCCAGTTCCTCTGCGACTTCTGGAGTATACTCTCGGAATGTGATACACGTGTTCTCTTCCCACAAGTCCATCGCTTGCTGGATAGTGGTACGGATTTCCTCTAAAAGATCAAAAGAAGACTTGTATGAATCGTGACTCGGACTCGGACTCGGACTCGGACTCGGACTCGGACTCGGACTCGGACTCGGGTCCCATTTCCCGTGACTCGGACTCGGACTCGAGTCACAATGACAAAAAATGACTCGGACTCGGGACTCGACCAATTACTACAAAGCACAAATTATTTGAAAGACGATCCTCTGTAGAGCAAGCGATACAGCCTGTGCAGTGCAGAAGAAACGCACCAATTAGGCCATCAGCCTCGGTCCAAAATGTTGGCCACCGGTATCAAAATTAATGAGGGGGATAATCGTCATAGCGATTTTTTGGCAAGGTATACACCTCCAGGGGCGATATACCTTGCGCATGCGCACTATAATTTCGTACCATACTTTCAATGGGGGCGCTGTTCAAATACGACGATCGTCAACACTATTTTACAGAATAGTGTACAAGTACCCCCGTAACCCAGCTGGCTATGACCGAATTTTGTGTACAGGTGGATATTATTACCAGGATAATTGTCATATTTGTTTTTGGGTGTCAGAGCAGGGGGGGGGGGGGGGGCGGGGGAGTGTTTCACATTATTTTGAATGTGTTTCTATGAAAACAAATGTCAGAGCTGGGGGGGGGGGGTTGACCCCCCCCCCCCCTCTGGATCCGCGCCTGTTGAGAGGTGACTCGGATTCGCACTCGGACTCGATGTTTGGTTACTCGAATACTAGTCTGATAGAAAGCACCATAAATGTTAAATACACAGGAACATTAGTAATTACCCGGAATTGGAAACACATGCACCTACCTATACCGATCTAATGACGGATAGGGCTGGCACCATGATAGCCTGTGAAATTATTACACCAGAAATGGTTTCAATCGAAACCATTTATTGTTGAAGATGGTTTGATGAACGTGTGCCCGCATTAGCATATGAATCCACTTACAAGACCCCAAATATTGTGCATTTTGTTTTGTTTTCTCAAAATGTATATACTTAGCAGCCGCTGAGCTAAAAACATGAACGTTGTAATACGCATCCTACTTAAGTTTGTTGCTTAAAAAACAATTCAGAAAGTGTTTAGAAATACGTCACAGGAATTCGGGATGATGGCACCCACTCAAAAATGACGCCCTTCTTCAGAGCAGTTTGTAGGGGGTAAAAGTGACAGCACTTACGGCCAAAGTTGTCATCAATCTCGTAGGGTATAATACCACGCAGCCATTTGGTACTGCTTACTGCTCGTCGCTTTTGCGTTCCGTTCATCTGTTCCGAGACACTCACATACAAATCGTTCACTTGTGGAAATGTCAGCCGCATGTCAGACTGGAATGTTCCCGGTACGTAGTTCTCTTCGATGGGCTCTGGGTGATATAGGGGCCTGGGTGGTCCCCGGTCCGTCTGCACGGGCGAACAAAATAGGAAGGTGTCAAATGATCAAATCAAACGAATTTTGTTCTTTCTCGATATAAAGGTATAATCGTTATTAAACCTGTGTTGTCTTCAGAGTTCGTCATGCCAGAAAGAAAACTTGCAGTTGGGTTTTAAGTGTCGTGTTATTCTTAACTCGCTACTTGGCACTAAAAGTATTGTGCATTTGCATGAATTGTAGAGCGCATGGCCAACTCAATCGGACCACTGAAAGACGCGCTGCGCGCGCATCGATGGGCATCCACGTATAGCGGAGCGTACATGACCAATTTTCATCGAATGTCTATTACATACTGCGTCTTGGTGTGGAAGAACGCACCTGAACTTGGCGTAAAGACAAAAATACCGTCATATCTTTAATATCCGTTTGCCTTTTCTGTACCGCCGAGGTGGATACAATTGTTATATTCTTATGTGCTATACTCAAAAGTCTTTTTGCCTTACCTCTGTTGGTTCTTCATCTTGTCCCTGTACCATCGTGATGCCAAAAGTCAAATGAACAAGAATCGGGAGCACCAAATTCATTACTGTAGCAGACCCGATGTGGTCGATCGACCGTATTCAAAGTTATGACAAAAAAATGTTGTAGGATCTTATACCAGTGGAGATTTATAGGGAGTGAGATTAAAATGCTTGCCAGACTTCAAAATTTGAAGCCTATCAAAGCAATTATAGTTTTGCGAGAGAGTAATTAAAAACCCTGTAATGAATTCTCCCTCATGGATTGGAGGCACGAGATGTATATTCATTATGCCGGTGAATTATTGAAAGGCCCGAATAGAACAAAGAGTACAACGAGCCCGCACGTTTAGTGTTTTGCAGGCATTATCTTACTTTTTGAAATAATTCTGTTGAAAAGAAAGGAAAATATGTACACTTATAAGAGAGTACTATGATAGTATATTTTAATCTCACGTTTACCTTTTTGTTTGTTGTATTCACGTGCTTTATTGAATAACGACATTTAATAACGACATTTAATCATAAATTTGGTAAACCACTCTTCATTCAAGTCCTTACAACTTGAATATGTGTTACAAACGTGCCATGTGTACAAACCAACCGGGCACGCTATTGGTTCTAACACGAAAGGCCCCCTTCAATGGCGAAAGCATTGTACTAGCTATTGTTATGATAATCCTCACGGGGCAGCTACAATAGCGTGCACAATAGTCTGTCGATCCATTGAAGGGGCCACATAATGTGAACAGTCATCACGTCCCAGGTTCGACTATTGTTGATGGATTGTTTCCTGAAACATTGTTAGAGCCCGTACAAAAACGTTTTCACTCGGATCAAGACATTTTATTACAGGCAGGTTGTTTTTCAGGTTTCTCTCAATGTACTTCGTTTCCATACTAATTAGCTGCGATGCTCGAAATCGTGGCTGTTGAATGGTATCGCTCAAACTTCATATTCTCTGATGGGCACGCTAACAGTGTCATTATAGCTTCATTAACTGTTTCATAATAGCTTCATTAACTAACAGTTTCATAATAGCTTCATTAACTAACAGTTTCATATTACTTCATTAACTAACAGTTTCATATTTGCTTCATTAACTAACAGTTTCATATTTGCTTCATTAACTAACAGTTTCATATTAGCTTCATTAACTAATATCATTAAACTCATTCATTGGCATAATTCCCGATCATGTTATGTCTACGGAAGGCCTTCAATACAATATAAGTTGCAAAGCAAAACACAAGATATTACTACTCTTAAACAGGTAAGCCAAGTCCATTATTATTATAGGTATGCTAAGGCTATAGACCTTTCCTTCGTTTTGTATGGGCTGCCATAAGGACATCAATTTTATGCCGTGGTTTTCAACGATTTTGCCAAAAAATTATATGAACAGCTTCCTTAAGCCAACAAAAAGTCTTCGGTTTGACAAGGAAAGGTCTATATTGAGTCAGCGAAGTGATAAAACAGAATTCTTTTGCAGCTGATTCCAATCAATAAGCGGTTGATTTAGTCCACCGGTGATGAACTGATGTATTCCTGTTCCTAATCCTCCTTATCCACGGTAATCCCCTGGAAGCTTGCTGCAAATCCGCCTTTAGCCACAAATCCGTCGCTGATCATCTTCACCGTCATGGTGTTGTCAAGGGAAACGAAAGTCCCAAACGGAGGCTCCGCACCACAAACCCTGACACACAAGGGAAAATATTTTTTTCATTCATTTGAATGTATTTATTCAATTTTGTTTTCTTCATTTAGTCAACCTTTAGTCTAAAAATCGATTTACAAAAAAAAGCATGAGCGTCCGATTTACTTTGCTAGGCCTGGCAGTAAAACGCTCGTCTACCAATCCGAGTTGCCCACTACTGGGCTGGCTTTCTACTGGGACGCTCCAAAGCTTGCTTGGGTGTTTCGGGCGATTCACAATGCAGTACGCCACCAATTGTTTGCCACAGAGAGTTCATTTTTCCCACTGCATTGTGGGAGATGGTCGACAAATTCGCAGCGCGGGACATTTAAAAATGTTAGGTTTTTTCAGGTCAGTAGCTTCGTAAGCGTATTATTCGAGGATCTGTTTCCCCCTTTTTTTTCTTGTTATCAATATTGTATTTTTGTAAGGTGGCAGATTGCTATGCCCCAATATATAACGTTAATAGCTCAAGTTGTCTACTGACACTCGTTCAAATCGGCCATGTTTTGTCGACCGTAAACTTGAAAAATGGACTCTCCATGGCAAACTCTTGGTGGCGCACTGCATTGTGAAATGCCAGACATATTAAGAGCTACATTAACGCGTATTTTCGAACTTTTGTACGTCTCAGCAAGTGGATTCATTCGCTTCCACAGCAGGCGCTTGTGTAATTGTCGGTGGTAGACAAGCCAGTCGGAGGCGGCCATTATTTGAAGGTACCGTGACATTGCTGACCCTAACAACGGGTGCTTTAACCTCACCGGTAAGGTAAGCCTATGTGTTCGCTGAATTCATCTATCATTGAAGTAAACATTTTATTAAAGGGAACTTGCAGCGAGATTTTGCATTATGACTTTGTATAAATACCGGTGTCATATGAAAATCGGACTCGTATGAAAATCGGACTCTTTTCCCCTTTTATTGGTTAAACCCTCTCACGCGTGTCCGGCCCCTCTCCTAATTATCTATGCATGAGCATGCGCAATACCACCAATGAGTCCGTTTTTCATAAAACCTAAATTCATGCTACACCGGTACCCATTATGTATACACGGAGTTTGGGTACAAAGTAACACACATTATTATTATACATTTTACCTCAGTAAGCCAAGTGTGTCCCCAGGAATGACTACCAATCTGTCCCACGTGCAAGTCACCTCATATTCGATATCAAGGTGTTCTATTGCCAACTGAACTCGTTCACCAGCATCAACCTGTGAATAATTGTCCACTAGATGTTAATTGAGGTCATCACGTTCGGACACTAGACGTTTATGGGCGTGCAACACTTGAACGGCAAACTTGATTCTGAATTATAGGGGCCCACCAAGTATTGTTATACTGGTCTCGGTTTGTATACATTGGCCTGGCGGGCTGGGCTAGTTATTGTGAATAAATAATAGTTCCACAGGCTTGGATTTACAACGAAAAATATTTTCACTCTAATCATACTTGCCTGAATATGATAAACACATTCCTCGTTGTTATTGTACACGCTACGTCCATAGTTCGGCGATGCTATGCAACCGGAGTCAGTGAATTGCCCGCCGCATGTTCCTTCAGCCGCTTCTGTGATAATGATTGTATGGGTCATTAAGAGTATATTGTTTCATTTAATTAAAAATAAGAATAAAGTTTGAGATATTACCTCCAAAAAACCACTGTTGTAGAATGTAATTGCTGTCATTCCCTTTTCAGCATGCATTCCCTTTTCTAAAGAGTAATTTCAGATTTTTGGGTAATACACCCTTTCCTGAAGGAGGCAGTATGTCGAATAATTGGCACTATATAAACGCTTTGCTCTGCACCCTTAATGTTTCATGAGTCATGCATTTGAAAATAACAAAAACGTGCCTTCATATGGCAGATGTGATGTCAGATGCAAAAAAAACTATTGCATAGGCCGTTTGAATTAGCTGTTTCGAATGAAATATTTCGGTTTACGTACAATGAGAGTTTTCTCTATTGAGAAAATCTACTAAATCGATTTTAGCGGAGATCTGATTCAATCAGTCACAAAAGAGCTACATTGATCGGAGACCAAACAATTACAAAGAGACTTGGGCAGGGCTAACTTTTCTTATCATTGAGATGAAGCCATCGGTTTTTATTTTTTGGATGTCATCAGAATACCTATATAATAGGAATAGTAGGACTTACCACACTTTGCCTTTGACTTTATAGTGGTTGGTGGCTGTCCGGTCACAGTGGTGGTTGATTCCATTAAAGGAGTCGATGCTGAGACCATGGTGTAGACTGTGGTTTTGGCCGTGGTTTTGGCCTTGGTTTGAGCTGTGGTTTGGGCCGTGGTTACGGCCATGGTTGGGACCATAGTTGAGGCCACGGGCAGGGTAGTAGCATCACTCTGAGGGTTGACAAAATAGTTAGCTCGGAATCCTCTTCGTTCACCTGACCCGTCGGTCTGGAGAATCACCATGATTTGATTTCCAGCCGACACAATTGGCGGTGGTGGTTCGGTGCCACAAGAGCTGGAAATAAGCATCGCATGATCAAGTAAAACAGTAGTACATGCTAACTGTTGAAATGACCATTGTATGCAGTCAATTCGGGATTGACATTTTCAAAAAAAAAGGACGGTCGTATATATAACCTCCTTTATACAAAATATCTCGAATATTTCAGAGTTGTACATCCAATATGTATTTAAACTGTTTGTTATTTTGATATTTTGAAGTCATCATCTGTTCATTGTTAAATACTTGAAAAACAAAACACAAAACCCAAAAATATAGAAATGTGAACATTACTAACTCTTTTCCACCAGTGTAGATGTAGGAATCACTTCGCACTCGGACGTAGTCGTAACAGACGTTGCGTGGGCCATTCTCTACTTCAAAATCGATGAAAACAAGGCTCAGTGTCTTGTCTGGAGGCCCCTGGGCAATTGGAGATAAGAACTAGTTAATGAGAATGTCACTGCTTCCACTACAGCAACTGCTACCATAAGCCAGTAAAACAACGCCAATTATTAGTAAAATTAAAATTTTTCAAGGTAGGGGAAAATTGCTCATGATAACTGCTGGGTTTCGTGAGAATTAGATCTCATGTTGCGTCCCGCGGTTGGCATGCCCACATGTTTTTCAAAGGAAAAGATTCGCAAAAACCAAAGCGCTATATTAAACTATACTAGAGCGCTGACTCGATGAACAAAGTGATGCCTACTGGACTCATCCATGTTTGTGTACAAACCTATGGAAGAACTCGAAATGTTGCACGGCTTTTGTACGGCTATTTGCATATCAGTTTGTTTGTGCGTTAACGAAGCTGATGCACCCAAAATTGGCAAATGAGCGTTTCATTTTGCTTCGCATCACAAACAATGCAAACGCGCATGCGTATTCGATCATTTTTGCCGCATGACGCTTATAACCGGCATGAAACGCTCAAGTTCTTTCTTTGCCTGTGTTGTACTTGCGCGCTGCATTTAGAGTATACTCATAGATATAGAATAAAAATTCTATATCTATGGTATACTCTTTCAAATTCACTCCATCCAATTTCATGATATTCTACAAACACGCACATGAATTCAAAATGTCTGCGCCCAGGAAGGATCTAAAGTATCTCTTCGCGTAAGAAGGAGGAGTTAGCGCTTCAGTAATTTAATATAGCTCTACGGCAAAAACTCAGAAAAATGACTGACACGATGTATCTGGAGATTGAACGGTTGGGAAAAGTTGGGAAAGAATTAACTTCTTGTTGTGGCATTGATTGATACCTACCTTTATTAACCAGGCACATGTCATTAAACGATCGTAGGCAACGGGATATCCTGGTGACATGATGGTCTTTACGTCTTCATCAGCTGATAGTTCACTCATGCATTCTGTCACATATGCAGATATGCAGATTACATGTAACAATTAGGTTATGACCAGTTCTGGGTTGTATTGGAGTGGGCGGGGTTGTCCTTTGAAATTGGTTCGGTTAAATTGGGTTTGGAATTGGGATGGGTTGGGTTAGGTTGGTTTAAGTTGTATTGGGTTGAGCTGGTTTTTGTATGCATTCAATAGGGGACGTTAACAATGGAGGACAAATTAACCTATCGCCATTTGCGAGTTAGCCACACCCCTTAGACACCTTATGGAGTTTTTGTACACTAAGTTTTGTTTGTCTCAGATTTTGTGTGTTCCGCGTTCATTTGTAAATCATGTAGGCCTAATTGGACAATATTTCACAAGCTGCGTTGACGCGATTCTTGTCAATAGGGCCCACAATCCCGAAAGTCCACAATTGACGATCAAGTACGAGACTTATGGGAGGTCTTCCTAAAATGTTTGAATACAAACAAAAGAGGTGCAATCTGGTCTACGATTGAAGGTTTTTACGCGCTTGTGTGCGTGACTTGCTCTAACCTTACATAGGCTACTCTTTGTATACCTGTGAACAAAAGAGGTCCACGTGATGCAGGAAGCGTGAACATTTTGTGGACTTGCACACGTCCACAGATTTTCCCCTCTCAGGAAAACAGATTTAGATGCACTTTTGGGTTAGGTTTATCGGTCGCAAAATGAAGAGACACACTCAAGGAAATCATGATAGAAATTTGGGTTGAAAGAGTGTTCGCAGTGGGAGTAAAATGCCTTTTTTTTCTCAGGTTTTTCTGAACTAAACGAATACAAAGAAATGTCCACAGTAGGTATGTGAGATAAGTCTGTGTGGTTTGGTTCGGTTAGGTCGGGTTATTTATCATTCATCTCACCAGAACCTGCGCTTCCTTTCATGTGCATCTCACAGTTAGTCCCACTGTAGTTTGGTTTGCAGTGACACTTGCAATCTTCCCCAACATATCCTTCGTTTTGACATTGCAAAAGCGGCTCACACTCACCTGAAAATATATATACGAATCAATGCAGATATCTTGATGTGAAATATCATGTATTGCCTGTCATTAACTGTGATGAGTGGGCCTAATCATCTGAGGAACAGGGGCGTAGCCAAGGGGGCCCGGGGTAGTGGGGGGGGGGGGGGAGGTTGTACTTCCCGACAAATATCCCGTGCCCACAGATTCTCCCCACAAAAAGAACACGACATTTTCACCCTCACCTAAGAAGTGTCATTTATTAAAAGTAATTAAACCAAAAGAGGAATACACGTCTAGTTTTTAACTCGATATAAATTCCCGACAACTACCAGATTTATGTGAATAAAGAGATACGAAAAAAGGGAAAAATGGTCCCCTTGCTCCCCACTATTTGAATTTGCAGCAACTAGTTGGCCAGTCGCACACCCCTCCCCACAATTCATAGGATTTAGCAATAGTTATGATAAATAGTAGAAATCTCCGAGGTATATAATATTTGTTTCATTTTATGATGTTTTTAGCTTAGTTTTATTCGTTAAACAGTGAAAATCCCAAATGGCCGACCTCGTGAAAGTTTCGATGGGAAAAATGTAACTATTGTTGAGTTATTTGCAGGAATCGTCATTATTTAATGATCTAAGATTAAATGGATTCCATTTTTCTTTAATCTTAATGATTAACGGTCGTCATTTTGTGAGCAAATTTGGGACATTCGTAATTTTGCCGAAAACCAAAGTAACATTTTTGTCTTTGCTTTGCTCATATTGTTTTTTAATCAAAGGGTTTAGTGAGACGTGGTTTATAGACCAGCTGTTATTTTGTACAACTGTGCTGCCAGTGTCTTTTAATTTGCAAAAGCTCAAGAACAAAGCATATACACGAGAGGGATATGATATTGGGTATTTTTTTAAAAACAATTTCTACAGATTGCTTGCATAGTAATTATACTCACTGGAACACTCATACATCATGTTGGCGTTCTTCCGATCGTAAAATGTGAAATCTGCCCGGTTTCCCATCTTGAACAGATCCAATGGGTTCTTTGGCTCAATCGTCAAAAATCCACGGTCTTTAGTAAAATACTAAAGAAAAATGAAGAGAGAAATAGTGCTAATAAAAAAGAAGCATGGACCTAATTGAGGATCTAGGACGGGTCAGGATGAGTTGGCTTATGGCTACCATTTCTGAATAATTTGAATGTAAACTGCAAGCATCTTCCTACAAGAATAACATTATAACCGGTCCAAACACAATTTATGGCGCTGGGGCGTTGTGCTGGTTTGGGGCGCTACAACATTTGCATTGGGTCTTGTATCCGGGCAGATTGGGAAATCCATTCTCAGAGGACGTTTTTAGGTAGAAGCTTCGAGGCCACCTTTTTGGTTGACCTTTGGGAGTTTTTACTATTGCCCTTGTTGTAAAGAGTTCTCGGTCGTTTGAGGAACGAGTTAATAAGCCAGTTTGGAAACAAATACTAGGTGCGCCTAGCACATGACAATGTCGGGACATTTGGACACCGTAAGAACAGTGGCCCGGCTTCGACAGGAACTTGTCTACTGGACAGGAATGAAAAGTCAAGCTGAAGATTGATGCCAGAAATGCCATGAAGTGCGGATCTAAGAAGGCTCATCGCTAACCACTGCGTGCTCCCCTTCAACAGTACATGGTACGGGCTCCTTTGGAGCGGATTGCTATCGACATTACTGGAAAGCTTTACATGACCAGATGAGGTAATTTAAGCATCAGGTTTTTCGCAAACTGCTTCGTCAAATGGGTCCAGGCATTTCCTTTCCCAGACAAGACCGCCGAGACAGTGCCAAGTTTTGGTTAAGCAGATCGTCACTCGTGTTTGTGCCCCACTTGTGATCCACGTAGACCAACGACAGGAGTCTGTCACTATTGAGGATACACAAGACACGTACCACGCCATTCCAACCCCATTCGTATGGTATGGTAGATCAATTTCATCGCACAATAAGACCATGATCAGCACCAAGAGGACTTGGATGAACAGTCATACCTGACGATGGCATGTCGCTCTGCTCAAAACGAAGATGACACCAAACATGCTCATGCTCGGCAGATAAGTCAACCTACCGTTCGACCTGGTGGTTGGGGCTTCGGGAAAAAAGGATGCTCCCGCTGACCTACATGACTATGTTCAGCAACAAACGGAGAAAATAAAGACGCCTGACCTTTCGCCAGAAGGCACTTGTGAGAAGGAGTCAACTGCAACAGAAGAGGTGCTACGATAGTTAGATGAAAGGTACTCAGTACGAGTCTGGGAAACCGGTTTGGCTCAACACCCCACAGAAACTGCAACGCTGGTGGGATTGACCATTCATGATGCTGTCACGGATCGATGATGTGACTTACAGGATCCAGATGTCGCCTCGCTCCAAACCCAAGGTTGTGCACCATAATTGCAACACAGGTGCAACCCAGCTGGTAGATCCGAGATGCACCTGCGAAATACACCTGCGAAAGTAGCCGCAGAACCTCAGACAATGGACGACGAGGAGGCAGGTTCTGATTCGCAGTAGGACACAACAACCACTGGGTCGCAATGGAAGGGCCGGGCGAAGCAATACATAGCAAATGAAACCGGGCCCATGCCAGTCACAGGGGAACCCTACCACCAAACACGGTGTGGCAGACCCGTGGTTAAGGCTTAAAGATATTGCCACCGACTTACTCACCCTTCTGCTTCCCCCAACAGAATGGATGATGCCCGATGCAATTTGTCTCGGAGCACCTTCACCAGGAAGAACAAACTCTGGACGTCTTGTGAGTTCTCCTAGCGAACAAAGTGACATAACTGCACGAAGGGCTGTTGTCAGTCATTTTAATACCGACGCGATATTTGGGACCGGCATGTAGAGGGGTGGAGCTCCATCGAGCGTGAGGGTGAGCTGGAAATGTTCGTTAGTGTGAAGTAATGTAATTTATCTGCTCTGCCACTGAAGGCCTAGGACGTCACCCTCCAAGCACAGGTGCCTGCTGCCCCTCGGAGCGGCTCCCACCATCAGCCCAGCAAGAGTGACCTGACATGAGACCACCTAACGATGAAGCTTGCTACCCTTCACAGTGACCAACATCAGCCCAATGCGATAGACCTAAGAAGTGTCCACCAATGGATGGAACCGCTACCATTCGGAGTGGCCCCCACCATCAGCCAAGCACAATGATATAGGCCCGAGTGGCGTCCACCTAGTGATGAGGCACTCTACGCTGCGGAGTTTGTCAAAAACTCAAATCAACAAGATCGCCCAGAGTAGCACCTGGCCAATGAGGGAGGCCTCTGCCATTTAGAGCAACCCGATACAGCCATGACAAAAAGCACCAGCCATAAGTCTTGCGCCTAGGCCTGGGGCACAGCCACAACATCCCCGCGACCCAATTGAGAACTTCAGAGATGAGTGGAGGTTAGAACACACCCCGTGGGCGTCGACGAGCATGGGCATCGGCTGGTTCGTTCACGAGTCACCCACACCAACTAGGCTTCAATGTTCACGGCAGACGCACAATATTTCTTTGAACCATTCGTGGCAGAACAGCCATATCGCTTGGAGGTCTTCAGCCGCTAGGGGTTTACCCCTTGAGGCCGGCTCCTGCTCCTACAACAGGGTACAAGCGTTCGCCGATTACTTGGGGACAAACAACTTTCTCGGGTTCAATTCCTGGTGGCGACGGCGTAGCGTTTGGGCCGCTCCGCCTTTTGGGTCTTGTAGCCGGCCGGATGCCTCTTTCCAGATGCCTCTTTCCAGAGGAGTGGGAAGTCCGTTCCCATGCTGCAGGACCTTTTGTTCTAGAAGCTTCGAGACCGATTTTTTTTTTGGGGGGGGGGTTGAGTTTGAGAGAGTAACTGTATGTTGTTGTTTTCGTAAAAAGCTCTCGGTCTTTTCAGGATCTCGGATCGTAAAAATAAGCCAGTTTGGAAACAAATACCGGGTCTGTTGCTTCTTTGATTGTGCTGTGTGATGAACCGAGAAACGTCAAGTTAAAATATTCAAAAAATTATGTCGTGAAAAAAAAACTCAGTTCGGTGGATTTTCAGGTGAGTATGGATATATACAATGTGACATAATTCTGAATATACCTTCAGAGTTGTTCGAAATAAAGAGCCATAGACAGCTATTTGAAGGCGTGTGTATAGACTTCTTGATTCTGGCGTCACAGTTGATCGAGGTGATGACACATTGGACACACATTGAACGCACATTGCCACTGCATCTAATTTATCAAAAATCAGTGAGGGCGTACAGGGCAAAGGGACTCATTCTTACCTCTGATCCATAATGCATTATCGATTCAATGTCGTAAGGGACATCGTACGTCTCGACACCAAAGGCTTGGAAGTTTGATGCGGACCCCGCCTGGATATTATCGTATAGGACCGTCACGTACTCGTCCCTGTCTGGCCGGGCGTGTTCGTGGTACCAACCCACAGCATGGCCGATCTCATGTGCGATTGTTCCCATCTGCATTAGATAAAAGTCAAAATCGTTGGCAGGAGGACATGAATTTTAGCTACCAACATCGTCCTATACGCTCTACTTTCACTCGTACCAATTAACGTTCAAAGCCAAGACACAGGTTCAGACTATTTTTTTTTCTTAAGTAACTTTTGATGGGAACACAGAAGATTGTTGATAGCAGCTGGTGTACTTGAACGTTCCAAGACCATGATAGAGGGTGCTCTTTGATTTGTAGTGCCCTCCTTGGTCAATCTAGTTTGTATGTGTACCTCGCACCTCGGTTTTGTTAAATTTAACCCCGATTGTGAGCATTCAGTGTTGGAAGTAAAGGGGACAACTGCAAACCTTTGCTTTGCGTGATACAATCTTATTTTTCCGTCATAAGAGTTTCCCATGGTCAGATACCTACAACATCAGAAGCTTAAAGCCGAAACCCTCTAGATCACTTACATAATTGCAGCTTTCTTCTGAAAGTGAAATAGTCTGGGGAAAACGGTCAATCATGCCGATCCAGGACACGCATCTGCCGGTGAAATAATAAAAGATGTCTGTGGGTTGTTGAAGGTAATGATGTAACAACAAAAAAGGAGAAGAGAAGATAACCAACGTATGAGAGTAGTGCAGAAAACTGTTCTTGTAATAGACAAGCATGGATATACCTACATAAAATCCAGTTTATTGTAAACTGTACTTTGTCTAGCGGCCACACTAATTTTGCTTGTTAAACACCAAAACGAATGCCAATTAGTATCGAAACGCCGAGTGTTGTCTTAATTAGTTCTTTGCAGATATGTTGATCATGTATCACGCACTGGTTTGGTTTCATAAAAGGAGTTGTGTCCATGAATTAAATACACACTTTGGTGTACCGACGATCAATCATTATTTCGCTTCAAGCCTGCTCACGAATCTCATTACATGTAAAACAATACACTAGATAACCAGCATGCCAAAATGTGTGCAATGTCACGGCTTATGGTGCATTAATTTACCAGTATTAACCTATTGCAAAGTACAAACTACGTGGTATCACGTACTTCAATAACTTCAATACTTCAATATACTTCAATGTCACCAGCTGGCAATGTGAACTACAGTAGTCTTGGCCCAAGAATATTGTACGTCAGCAAGTTACAACGTCGTGCGGAGCCTTGAGCTAGAATAGGCGCCGGGCCGGGTCGGCAATAATTATTGTAGACGAATGCCGTTGGTGGGACGGGCGAGCATTTTCGTTGCGAATAAGGGCGACTGCGGCAAGCTTACAAAGCCGTCGACTCTGTTGTATAAGTGATCGAAAATTGATAGCTTGCAAGCGGCACCAGTGTATAAGGCCTAGACCTTCAAATTGCATAGAGTGTATATTGCTTTTTATCTCTACTTTTTGATACAAATATATAACTTGAAAAATATATTTTTTTAAAACATCACGGTGCATTTCACTATTTGAAATCCGAAGCTACCGTGCATCAGATTTCAGTGTACATACGCGATTTCTGAGTTATCAGTGGAGACCTTACCCCGCACTCGCCTTCTCGAAAAGGACACGATGTTCACTGCCCAGTTCCTCTGCGACTTCTGGAGTGTACTCTCGGAAAGTGATACACGTGTTCTCCTCCCACAAGTCCATCGCTTGCTGGATAGTGGTACGAATTTCCTCTGAAAGATAAAAAGTGCCAGAAATGTCAAATACACGTATAGGGACCAGACACGTTTTAAGGGCATCTTTTTTTTTTATTTCTTTGGTTCTTATTTCCGACAGACCTAATTTTGGGCTCCCAACTAAATAATTTGTTTTATTACCGCCAACCCTTTTTTGGAACGGCCTCATTAACAACAACAAAATCAAATGAAAAAGAAAAAAAACCTCAAAAGCTATTGAAACTTATTTCCAGATTTTTGTCGCAAAAAACGTCGTATGGTAACCAGCGGAATCCCATAAAATGAGAGGATGTTGCCTCTCATCGTCGAGTATACATTTACTGGCATGTCATGGATGCCCCTACCGCCAAAACTGGTGAAGATGTAATGTAAGATGAAGTGTGCGTAATTTACGACAGCAAAATATCCAAAATTCTGGCAACATTTTTTACTGGAATGGCTGTAACATTGAGGTTTCTTCCTGAAAAGACATCACACTTTTGCTTATTAATATGAAAATTGGCATTAGCATAAAAACCAAAAAAGGCACCAACACGATACCCTTGAAAATGGCAAAATACAAAATTGAAAAAAAAAAGGTCAAATGGGACACAAAGCGCATTTTGAAAGATTGCATTATAAACAAAGATATTGCATGGACCCTTAGAGGTTTTTAAGTGATGCCTTCTCTGTACGTCGATCCTCAATTAAAATGGAAAGCCCAAAAAAGAAAGAAAACAGATGTATAAAATGTAAGTCAAATAGAATCTTGCCCCCCCCAAAAAAACTGGTATTATTCAGTGATACCAACTCATGATAAACTCATTGGAATAAACAAAACTAGAGATAGTATGCACTTGTCATCATTTAATTTAGCCATCTGGTACAACTGCATTTTCTTTCATCATTCCCCCCCCCCCGATCGACACTACTTATAGGAGGCAAACAAAACATGAATTGAGAAAACCCTGCTCAATGTGAAGATAAGGCTGGCCCTATGAAAATATTGTCACATGAATTCATGATGATGACATCCCAATAATAGTGACGCCCTTGGTTAGCGCGGTTTGTGGGAAGTGTGAAGGCCTAAAGTGACAGCACTTACGGCCAAAGTTGTCATCAATCTCGTAGGGTATAATACCACGCAGCCATTTGGTACTGCTTACTGCTCGTCGCTTTTGCGTTCCGTTCATCTGTTCCGAGACACTAACGTACAAATCGATCACTTGTGGGAATGTCAGCCGCATGTCAGACTGGAACGTTCCCGGTACGTAGCTCTCTTCAATTGGCTCTGGGTGATATAGGGGTCTGGGTGGTCCTCGGTCCCCCTGCACGGACGAAAAGAAATAGGAAGCTGTCAATGTTCTAACTAAAATTCGGATGTTAAAACGGTTGTTCTTTCTCACTAAGAAACTGTGTCAAAAAGAAGGGTGAGTCAAAAAGAAAGTGACTGCACTCTTAAAACAGATTGGTTAAAGATTGGTTAAAATAACCAATACATTGGTTGAAATAACCAATACATTGGTTGAAATAACCAATATATTGGTTGAAACAACCAAATACTGGTGTCTAACCAACCGGATTGGTTGGACACGTTTCTTCCAATATTGTTATTTCAACCAAATTGTTTTTAGAGTGCGGGATCAGTGAATTTTTCTTTAAAAGTAACTAAGTTTGATTCAACAAAGAAGCACGTAATAAACGAGCATGTTTTTCAATCATCCGAAAAAAAATCTAAGATTGATCTTTGTTAACAGAAGTTACGCCTGATCGACTAAAATAGCCTATTTTTACAGCTGTCCATAGAGCGCTGAATGCTTTGAAGCCGTTTAGCTGGGTAAGGAGTAGGACCAGATATGACACAAAGCATTCAACTCAAATTAGATTTTATTTGAGTCAAGACTGAAATAGTTATATTTTACTCTCAGACTCTGCGCTTTGTATGGGAGGAAAAAAAATATCAGGTCTTATACTGAAATAAGAATGGTGATTTTGTCTGGTGTCCTTTGCAAGTTCCTGGTTTTTGTCTGTTACCCCATGTTCGTTGATTTTTACGGGTACATATTCATCAATGTGCATCGGTAAATGATCAGTGGTGGACAGATGAATTTGTGATATTTCTAATAAGATAAAAATAGCGTGTGATTAGAGTATGCAAATTACGTAATTTTCTTTTACAGTTACAAGTATTAAATGACACATGATATTTTTTCATTAAATTGAGCAAACCACATATATTTTTAATATTGATTTATATTTGATTGACTTCCATTAATATTGATATCTATTCGGTCACTTTCTTTTTGACTCGGCTGTACGGAGCACGTCATAGCCGAATGAATTTCAAACACACTTGGCTTTAAAACGATTTTTTTAGGTCGCTACTTGGTGTCAGAGATACTGCGCATGAATTGAAAAGCGCATGACCGACTCAATAATTTACTCACCAGAGCCACTGAAAGACGGATTAAATCTGTATGCGCACTGATGGGCAACCGCTAAATGGTAGAGGGTGCATGGCCAGGTTTTTTTTTTTTTTTTTTTTTTTTTTTTTTTTTAAAGTAATGTCTTTTACGCACTGCCGCGTCTTATGCAATGAGCCAAATTATAGGGCTCTTCTGACCGTGAGAGAAAAATCCCTGCTTAAGCCCGCCGATTAAACCAGTTCTTCGGATCATCGGACCAGATCGGAGAGGTCTGCGCTGAAAATTCGGACCGATCTGACCTCACACCGGATCCCCGGATGAAATCAAACATGTTTGATTTTTCGTACCCGATTTCACCCCAGATCCGATGTCACCGGAAAGCTTGTGCGGGCAGCCCAGTTTCACTGGACGCGATATTTGTGTAAACCAATCCGATTCACGAAGGAAGTCACATGAGTGACTGGTCATCATGTGACAGACCATTACCTGATGCCAGGCGGGTTATTACGTGGCGGTCTCCGCAACTGTGACAATGAAACGTACCGGCGATCCCGCTGAACCGGTAAAGTCGGAAAGGTTTGCGGCGCGCTTTGTTGTAGCAGACAATTTCATGCTTACACGGTAAGGTTATTTTGTGGATATGCGAGAAATTTTGGCTTAAAGATTTTTCTACCAGCGCTGTTAGGACAGAATTGTGATTGTCAGCTCGGAATTCTGTTGTTAGCACAGCCCTGAAATTGTGCCGTGCACCTTGGCGCAAGACGAAAATACCACTCAAGCAGATATTCTTCAATATCTGTGTGTTTTTTTTTACCGTCGAAGCGGAATCAAATCGTTTTTTTTTATCGGCTAAACTCACAACCCTTCTTTGCCTTACCTCTGTTGGTTCGCCATCTTGTCCCTCCACCATCAGGAAGCCAGACGTTAAATAAACAAGAATCAGGAGCACTAACTTCATTGTTGCTTATGAAGGCACAGTGTGGACGACCGTAACGAAAGTATTTCTGCCGAATGTTGTAGGACCATACCAGTTGAGGTTTATAAGCACTGGAATTAGAATACATATTTGAAGCCTCAGAGCAATAATAGTTTGCTAGAGAGTAATTAAAGATCCTGTAATGAATTCTGGCACATACGTTGGAGGCGCGAAATGAATATTCATAATGCCGGCAAAACGATTATACCACGTTTACTTAGTGAACATTATTTGTCACCATTGTAAGGCCCGAATGTATTATTGTTTAGTGTTTTGGATCTTACATTTTGTAAAACTTTCTTTCTTAATTAAGTCGTTATCACTGGTCTACAGTATCGCGTCAGTACATATATCCCTAATGATTGAACTATCTGATGTAACAATGAAGAAAAAAATACTATGTAAAAGACCCTATTCGAACATTTTGAAGAAATGCACGAGCGGCGATCCCGAGAAGAACGGCGGGGGGGGGGGGGGAGGGGACGTCAACGGTGATTCCCCCACACTTTATTCCAACGATTTTAACCAAATTGAATAAACATTTCCTTTTTTCCTAAAATACCTCTTATATATTTCCTTTCTGCAGCCATTTCACGAAAGCGCATTAGTATTTTGCGGGAAATGTGCTTAACCCTAAAAGGGTCGGGTTATTTTGACCATCTCTCAGCCGGGGCAGTTTCCCTAAGATCTCGGCCATCGAGTGTCGAACAATTTTTGAAACTTAATACATGCATAGAGCAACTCATCATAAACATACACAATGAATTTCATGACTATAGGTCAAAGGGTTTTGGAATTAGGGCTAATTATTTATTCATATGTACGAATGGTAATTCTGCTCTGTGTACACGACGTATAATTTTTATGGAAAAAAATTCAGTTTTGACGGCGCGTAGCGCTGGAAAATTCCGATTTTTATATTTTTGGTATCAAAAGATGCGCCAGGCTCGAGGCTAAAAAGTCATAACAGCTCGGGTCGCGAAATTTTTTTTTCAAGGCTATCGCGGAAAAGTCGAGGGGGGGGGGGCGGATGGCCATTTTAGGGTTTAACTGCGAATTATGTACAAACCTGAATCTATAAACCTGAATGTACATACATCAGAGTAGCATATGACGTGCATGTTTGATCAGTGCCCTCTAGATTCATATAACCCCCTTCGAATTTCCGAACCCGTTGGTCCCCCAACCCGTTCCTTGCAATGGTTACAAGGAAACAACGCTTCTCGCCAATGTCTATCATGGAAAGAAGCACAAAGTAAGCTTTTAAATTATTTTTCCCCCTGAAAGATGATCAATTTCGCTATGTTTTATAAAAGAAAATACATTCAGTAAGCATTTGACTGCATGTGTCGAATGATCTTTTTTTTTTTTTTTTTTTTTACCTTATCCGCTATGCATGACCAGTTGATGATAACCGGCTGTTGAGGTGGGTGGACATCATTGACACTTGATCGCACTGTTGGTAATTACCTTTTTGCCATAAGTACGACTTTAAAAAAAAAAAAATTAAAACTTTTTACCAACAAACTACTCCTCGAGATATATCATTCAATCAATCAATCAATCAAACAATCAAAATCTGTAATTTGTATTCATAAATACCTAAGACAGTTTACCCATTCCTATTGGTCGAAAGCCCGTCACGTGGCCGGTCTTAAACGGACGATAAAGACTTGGCTGGCTGGTCTGAAACACTTGTTCAATCTCACATGAAATTTTGACTCCCATAAAAAATCCGGTGCCTTTTAACGTTTCATTGGTCGAGCGTTCACATTCCTCAAGTAGGCATGCGCAAAACTACCAGTGAATCAGTATTTCATAGTCCGAAATTCACACTACACCAGCCCAGCTGCGTTTTGCGCGACATCGCGCAGTGCGCGCGACGCGCATGCCAATTTCCTTATAAGGTAACGAGTTGTGGAGGGGCATTCCATATTATAGTCAGAGGGGTACGTATTTCATGACACATGATGTAAAATTGTTGAACAAAAAAGTTGGCAACGTCTAGTTTTTTGTTTGTTTTGATTTTTGGACCGAATTATGTTTTTGACCGAAAAGGTATTTATGAATGGGAATAATTGGAATGCTTGGTCGGTATTAAACACTCTGTTTAAGACCGGTCAATGGAGTATGAAGTGCTGAGAAGTACCCTTCGGCTTCGCCTCGGGTAATTTTCACCCATTGAAACTCCAGACAACCGGTACAAAGTTTTTAAAACCGCCCAAAACACACATTTATTCCCTTACCAACACATTATGTACATGCACAATTAAACGTTTGTATTTGTGTAGGGATGGAGGTCTCCAAAAAGCATGAGCTTGTGGAGATACACCTTCACTCTCCTCTCCACCGACACCCCTTGCCATGAGGGATCCGCTCATAAGGCCGACGCCTCATAAAGTCCGACGCCTGAGAAGTCCGAAATTTCGGACTTATGAGGCGTCGGACTTACGAGGCATAACATTTATATATTCCGCCTCATAGGTCCGACGCCTCATAGCTCCGACTCCTCATGATAAGTCCGAAACGGCGTTTGCCCATTGCCGGACTTATGAGGCGTCGGACCTATGAGGCGGATTTATGCCTCATAAGTCCGACGCCTCATAAGTCCGAAATTTCGGACTTATGAGGCGTCAGACCTATGAGGCGTCGGACTTATGATACGGCCCCGCCATCAGCACATGGAATGTCTGAAATGCAGGCGAATGACATTTCGATGGAGTGAACTTTGAAGTTGAAATTTCAACTTGAGTCCGTATATCTAACTATGACAGCTTTGCCAATTAGTGGTCCAGAAATACCCATAGAATAGTGAGCTTGAAATTATACAGTCGGCTTTAAACAGCTGCTGTACAGTGGACAGGACTTAAACACTCTGGACTAACCATCGAAGTGACAACATTTGTAGTATAAAGGACTCCTCTTGATATTGCAACACTGTTATATAGAATGGAGTGCGTTTGAAATTATTGATGTTATGGCACGAATGTTTGCTGTCGTCACCGATCATGAGGAATAAGGACACAATGCACAATTGAATCGAAAGGTTCATGGGTGAGTTTAGGTGAAAACAGTGATTTCGTGGACTCTCTGCTAGTTAGGCATTAAGTTTAGAACCTCGAGTTAGCGTGGACCACACTACGTTCGCCGCTATCTTGAATTTATCACATTGTATCTCGTCACGTTTATCATATGAGCTCTTCCGATAGGGCTAACAAGCAATCAGTACTTCCACATGTAACCTAACATGTACTTCCACATGTTAGGTATAATGTATAGACCTTTCTTACTATTGTTTGAAATCATTGAGCGCCATTTTGTATGGGCTGCCGCAAGCGCATAAATAGAAGCCGTGGTTGGCAACATATTTTTCAAAGAAAGTCCTCATTAACCCCTCATTAGATTAGAAAAAGGCGCGTGTAGAATTGCTTTGTAGCGTTTGTGGATAATTTTGTATTTTCCACAATCAAGTAATATTTTGGTAATTATTATTAAGTTTTCTCAATTTTTGCAGTGTTGGACCTTCCATAGTTTTTCAGCCGCTGGTTGGCAAAATGTGCCAACCACGCGTTGGTGATAGAAAGGTCTACAACATGTGTTCCACTAGCTGCCCCCCCCCCCCCCCCCCCACCGGCTTACGTGACTATGAAATCCAAAATGGCGGTGTGCGTGAAAAATAAAAAATCATGCTTGGTTGGGCTGAACTATCTTTTTAATACAGAAAACACAACAAATCTTATTTCTGTTGCTCTGCATGGCTTAAATGATTTATTAATCTAATTCTATTTTCTTACAGTTTGTTAACAATTTATGAAATTACCGTTTTCAAACTGACCTCAGTAATTATCTTAAATAAAGCAAGTTAAACGTTTAGACATTTGTGTTTCTATTTTTGCCAAATCTCCTACACTTCGAGCTTGGTTTTGGCTTGAATGTTGGATTAAAGAAAATAAATCGATTTCCATCTCGATGGGGGATACAGCTCGACAAATTCCCGCAAACAATTTACAAAATGTCCTTAAAGAATTGATAACTCTTTCCTATTACACATTTTATCGACAGCTTAAGCTATGTCGTCTGTCATGACTTTATTGAGGACACAAATTCCCTCTTTGTTTTAAACTGACACAACCACAAAATCATAATCTTTGAAACTAAAAATGGCTTACTTGATCATTTCAATATCCATTACCGATTAATCAAATTATGCTCATTTAGCGTGGGAAACAGTCTTTGTAAAGCACTCTACACTGTATGACAACAAAATCAAATTACCTCTATATATATCTTTTGTACGTCTTCCTAGCAAATGAGGCAACGGCAAGGCTATGCATCTTTATCTAGTCATAATTACCGCTAAGCAAGCATGAAAGGACAAAATTGTCATCAAAATCATTAATTATCATTGGGCCAGCTTTATTCTTTTAAATTAATTGTTGGGTTTGGCACAAGAAAAAAAACATTGGTCGCCGCCGTTCCGTCGTCCTGAACATGGATTAGTTCTTGTTCCTCATCCTTTTAATCCACGGTAATCCCCTGGAAGCTTGCTGAAAATCCACCTTGAGTCTTAAGTGCGTCACTGATCATCTTCACCGTCATGGTGTTGTCAAGTGATACAAAACTTCCTTCCGGAACGGATTCTCCACAAACCCTGCACATCAAAATATGAAGAATTAGCTGGTTATTCATGAGGTATTTCTGATAATGTTTATCGACCATTTCACAGCTGTTGACATAATTTGCCGGTCGCGTATAAACCTAACTCATACCAGAAAATTGTTCCAGTTTGCATGCAATGCATATTGTTTGTTTCGCTTGTTTAAGTGGTTTAAAGTGCTACATTGATTGATTGATCATCGAAAGCATCGCCCACGGAAGGATTGCTTTAAACTGTCGACAGTAGCACCATGAATGATGATGAATGATGATGAATGATAATTCCCGAATTATGTCATACAAGTAGCTCATCTAGATTAATTGGTCCGGGTTGGGTCATCTTTCTGGATGTGATTTGGATACGCCAATGTACCATACTTTTTTCCCACGCTGATTAAAAATCACGATCGAAAACCCCGACTGAGGAAACTGTTCGTGAACAAAGAGGGCGCCCTCTACAATCTTACAGTAGCATACGACGGATCTTTGCTGGTCAACGCTCGCATTTCAGCGTTTGTCAACCCACATTCTCAAAAGACGCAGGTCAGACTCGTCCTGGAATTAGGGTCAGAATTGATCTGCCACTCTTCGGAATCAAAACGACAATTTTCCTCGTGTTAAAATGACACTTTTCCGGATGAATGGCCAGGAAAAGTGACTCGGTGAAGTTTTAACCAGAAAGAGCGTAAGGTAGCAGACCAGTAAATAAACTTCCATAGACCCCAATGGTAAATGCTCCCACTTCAGAAATTCGGGGAAAATACTCACAATTCTCCAAGGTGTTCGAGACACACTTCAAATTAAAGCTTATTTCATCATCTTTCATTTTCTTTTCAATTTTTTTGGGGGTCAACTGATGACGTTTAGGAGAAACTTCCATCCGAAGATGATCACCCCTGAAAATAGTCCTGAAGCCCATCGCCATTTTGAAAAACGATGCCTACACTCCATTGCAAAATAGAACGCTTTATCCAAACTGAACGGAACTACAAACTCACAGTCCTGTGCACGGCTTCCACCCATATTTTTTACAAACCTTCACGTTCATGGCCCACAGCATGCCCAAATACTGAAGATTTTGAGGGCATGCAAATCGTGATTTGGCCGGCGTAGGCAATTTCGGACCGATTTACTGGTCTGCAACCGTAAGGTCAAATCAGACCCGGATTTTGGGTCGGCCAAACATGTGTGGACACGTTTGTCGCACTTGAGACATACCTGACAGAGCCATGAGTTTGTCCTGGAATGACCACCACTCTGTCCCACGTGCACTCATCCTGGTACTCCACATCAAGTTTCTCTAGTCTCAACTCAACACGTTTACCAGAATCGACCTGGGAGTGTAATAAGGAGGAAAAAAGTCCAAGCTGGATTAAAAAAGAGACAATGGATAGCACGGCGCAATACCACAAAAATGGCAGAGAAGTATCACTACGCTTGCGCGCAACCGTATTCGGCGCGAGAAACTACCTTTTCGTTGTCGTGTCCGCAGACAACAGAGTTGGATTTGACGGAGGCCTCTAGATAGATGACTTGAGTTTATGCAAGACTGATAAAGAACATTAATTCCAAAATAAAGTTTCCGCGTCTTCTCTTCTTCAATGAACCAATTGTTTATAATTACAACGACAAGATATTAGATTGATAAAATTGTCATGCATTGTTATGCACCAATCGTCAGAAGTACAAGTAAAGCCTCAAAAGAGACAAGCAAATCATAGTGAGTTTGCCAGAGTCTTTAATCCAAACCTTGTTATATTTTATTAATATTTACATTTATATACATGTATATTTTTAGAATATGAACCACCTTCCAAAATGAATTCTTTAACTTACTGTGATACGATAAACACATTCTTCGTTGTTATTGTACTCGCCATTTCCGAAATTCGGTGATGCAATACAGCCAGAATCTACGTTGAAAACCCCACCACACGACCCTTCAACGTCTCCTGTGGGTGACATTACATACAGTGATAATTGATTCACTGTGAATACTCTATGGCGTCGGGTGCCCGGCAGAAGGGCATATGAACATTTCATTGAAAGGTACTATTGTTCCCCCTGCGCGTATTATGAATCCAATGCTCTCCCACGCGTAATATAAATCGTATGAATTTGAAATTTGTCACACGCATGAATCATAAGTTTTGAAACAACACTTGTAATTTCTGACAAAAAATGTTTAAATTTCATAAAAATAGAGACACTTTTCTACCTATGCCCTTTTGCTGGGAACAGTTTTGGTGATTATGCGTTCGCTCATAAGGACATACGCGTATATGATGACCTGCCGGGCACACGATTGGTTTCTTTTAACTTGCAAACAAAGCAACTCTATTTAAACTTAAGCGTCTCAAACAAAAATCTTAAATTTGTTCACTTCACGAAAAACCAAGTTTAGGTCGACGTCTCCTTTAGGAAAAGGTTACAGGAGAAATGGTGTTTCTTGAGAAAAAAAAAGTAACCTCTTCAACTACAAAGTAAATAAAAACATCTTAAACTCCAACTTGACACGCATATGTCAACATCTCATACATTAGAGTAGACATTGATTTACTTAAAAAATATGATAACTGTTTATCAAGCATACATAGCAGCACTATGTTTGACACAAAACAGCCTTCACTGGGACACATTTAGTGGTGAACTTGGAAAAAAAAAAATACTTTTCACTGTTCAAAAAAGAAAAAAAACCTGTTACCGTTATGTTTCAACAAAATAAAAACCACCATCTTTATTTACAGAAAATAGGTACAACGTAACGAATTTTTGTCACTTAGAGCAAAAACGATAGTTTGGTAGCGTTTACAAACTGATGTGTACCATTGCCGTGCCTCGTTTTGTTTCTGTTTGAATGGCTTATATGGGTTCTCCCAGTTACCTTAACAATATTATTGCATCTTTAAATTCCCTCGAGTATACGTTAATTACGTTCCAGTGTAATTCGCAAATGTGTTCTGATTCGTTCTAGTTTCGAGAATTTCGTCTCATGTGGATATTGTCTCGAAAAAGTAAAATCGTGTTTTTATCATTCATTTAAATGCTACGTTCATTCTATTTCAGTTGTGGCAAGCTGCAACACTACTGTCAGACATGTTTCCAGTCTCTTCGACTTCTTTAAATAACAGGCTAGACTTTGTGAAAAAAGGTAATCTAACATTACAAATATGACCATGGAAATCAGGCGGAACATGTATGATGCATTTGCGAACTTAAAGAATATTGCGTTCCTGTATCTTAGAGGCTGCTTATTTTAATTAGGTGACAATGGATCACAAAAGGTTTGCTCATGCCTATCTGAGTTAATAAAAACCCTTGCCTTCTTACTCCTCCTTTAAGTACAAAGACTGTGCACGAACTGAATATGAATGACCAAAGCGAGTAAATGAATGATGAAAACAAAAACAATTTTGCTTTTTCAATTCAGCGCCAATCTCCACATTAGACCAAATTTCCGAAAATTCGACGAATCCAGAATGCTATTATTTTCGAATTAAATATGAAATCTATAAAATGCCGTGAATTCGAAATCGAAAGTAAGTATGGGGTCCAACAACGTTCTGGAGCCGAAATAAAGTATCTTTTCATGGAATTGAATGATACAAGTGTCGGAGTAACTGGGAAAATCCATATTAAATTACGATTTTGGCGTAACAAGCAACTTACCACATTTAGGTACAATCGGCTTGTCGGTAGCTGGAAGCTGCGTGGTAGGCTCCTCGGGAGGGGTGGTTGCCTCTGTGGTTGCCTTGGGGGTGGTTGCCTCGGGGGTGGTTGCCTCAGGTGTAGTTGGTATGGTCTTTGCAGGATTGGCTCTATACTGTGCCCTGAATCCTCTGCCTTGAATGCTTCCATCCGATTTGAAAATTACTATCATTTGATTTCCTACAGACTCGATGGGTTCAGGCAGAGTTTGACCACAGTAACTGGAAATGCAATTACATATCAAAAACTTTAGTTACATATGCAGTGTAAAGCATCCTGTAAAATCATGGCACCTGGTATACTGTCATTTTCAAGAAAAGTGGTATTTTTGTATCAATTTCCAACGCTGATCGGCCGATCAGCGTTGGAAACAACTGGCTTTTTTTTTCTTCAAATACTCGCCCCAATTGACCATCGCACTTGTTTGCAATCGATTACAAACCTATGAACGGGTACGAGCCAGCTAGACTGGTTCCCTGACCGTACAATTCCTCAATGTAAACTGCTCTGTTTCTTCTTATATGGAGTCAGGGAACCAGACTACAGGAAAATGATCGTTTTTCTTGGTTTTATAGCATTTTCGAACACAAAACCTCAAAAAAGTCAGTGTAACTATATTTGCTATATATTTCCAACCCCCCAATTCCATCCATTTCTGAAAATTACAGCAAAAGCAAATAATGTATATTCCCTTTTATAGTTTATCCCGCAATCTTGGTTTGGCCATAATGTGAGTAGTTAATTTTCAAATCTTGCGAAATATGACCCGATTAATCGATAAAGAGATTCATCCATTCATAAACTTCATTCGTCAATTCATCATGCGATTGCATTAAGATATCCGTACTTATTTTTTACAGGAAGGTAGATTCATGTTTGAATAATCAGTCAATGTGAACACGACACCGTATAGTTTTTTTTTTTTTTTGGGGGGGGGAGGGGGGGGGGGGAGGTGGCTATTCAACAGATTAATAAACTGACCTGTCCCCACCGTAGAAAATATCAGTACCGCTTCGTACTTTGACATAGTCGCTCTTACAGCTACCGCCCTCAGTGTCAAGAAAGAGAAATGTTAAAATAACGGTAGACCCTTCAGGGGCCTGTTAGAGAGAGAAAAAAAAAGGTTATTATCGCTTTTACCAAAGGATAATGAGTAAGGAAAGAGCTAAATTTTTATAAATATTGGTACTATGACTTTTAAAGTGTGGATTAAAATATCTCTGTTTATTAAAACCCAAACACAATCTTAGCTTCAAAAAACGTGTAAGGCAAACTCTGAATTCACATATCAACGCTTAAAAAAATACCGACTCTTGAATACATTTGTCCAAACCGCCACAATTCATTGTCATAAAGACTTTTATAAAGTTATCCGCGGGGCACAAGATTAGAAGTCATTTTGTGAGGTGGTGCCACGCGTACTACCCGAGAGCAACTCGCGCAAGCCTGGTGTCACCGCAGTGCCACCTCAGAAAATGGCTGGTGCCGAATAAGTCTATAGAGATTATTGTTTTGTTATACATCCTTAACATTGTGTCTGACCTAACGACCCACCGTAATCAACCAGGGGCAATAAAGCATGGGCTCGTAAGGTAGTGGAGTCCCGGGTGAGTTCAGCTGTTGATCGCTGTCAAATTTAGCTTCAAATTCCTTGTAGCAAGCTTTGACAAAACAAAAATAAAACCAAAACATCAAACTTTGATTCTGTTCATGGGAAAAATAGTGAAGAATGTGAGGCTAGGCTTTGATGAGTCGGTCAGTGTTTTACTGAATTGGCCGTGACCTCCACGGATGGGCAACGACTTTCATGGATTGGCTAAGACTTTGTTAATGGCTTTGATTGTTTGGCTATAGCTGTGTTGGATGGACTATGGCTTTCATGAATTGGTTGTGGCTTCGATGGACTGGTTATGGCTTTGATGGGCTGACTATGGCATTGATGGTTTGGCTATGGCTTTGATAATTGGCTTGAATATGATAGATTGTCTATAGCCTTGCCTAAGTCTTTTACGGATTTGCTTTGTCCTTTATGGACTGGATATGTCGTTTATAATTGGTTATGGCTTTGATGGAGTGTTTTGGCTTTGATGTATTGGTCATGGCTTTGATTGATACAATGTCTTGAATTGATTGCCTGTGGCTTCAATGGATTGGCTATGGCATTGCTGGATTGGCAATGTCTTTAATGGCTATGCCTTGGATGGATTGGTTATGGCATGAATGGATTTGCCATGGCTTGAATGAATTGGCTATGGCTTAAATGGTTTGGCTTCGGCATTGTTGGATTGGCAATTATCATTGAGATTATATCTTGAATGGATTAGCAATGGATTTGATGGATTGGCTATAGATAGGCTATGGTTTTGATGGATTTGGATTTGACTATGATATTTTTCGTGTTCTTTGAGTTGGAGTTTCAGTAACGATTTGGAAAGGTTTACCTGTGGTTTATATTTTTATTTCACGTTGCCTTTGGTCTATTAGTCATGTGCCTTACCTTAACGTTTGTCATATGGTAAATGCACACAATTTAATTTAAATAATGAAGTACATGTGTACAACTTTGCCACTTTTCGGTTAAACATGTTTTACATTTAGTCGGAAAGGTTTGGTTCTGTTAACATACGATCATCTTCATCTCTTGCAGTGTACAGCTCACAGTTCTCTCCACTGTAACCCAGTTTACAGTGACAAATGCAATCTTGACCAACGTAGCCGTCATTTTCGCATTGCAGGTCTTCTGTACACACACCTGAAAAAAATATAGCAATGAATAAAGCGGGTACAGTGAAATTTCTTTTCCTACTGGGTGTAACATAGGGAGTGATTTCACATAAGTCAGAAGTTTTCATTTTGAGCAGTTTCACCGCCATTATTTTGGCCGCCATTAGCTGAATAGATTGATCCATTACGCACCGCCCAATGCGCACGCGGACAACCAACACCTGCAGCTCTCAAATGTCACACTGCGTGATCAAACCGAGCACATCACTTATACGCACGTACATGCATGTCGGACTTTTATGTACGGATGTCGGACATTAGTCTAGTCTGGTTTCTAGACCATAAGATTCTGACTATTTCCGATGAATCTTATTTAAGTCAGGTAACCGTTACAGTATATTTATATACGGCACGTGACCAAAAACAGGAGGAACGCCTTCCGTTTCCGAAAATGTTCGATGTTTGCCGAATGCATTTCGTCGATACTCGGATAGCGTCCGGGTAATACCGGGTATAAAATAGGTTTTATTAACCAGCCATGTTTATTAAAAAAAAATAAAATGAGTTGAAAATAAATGTTCATTGCTTGCATTAAAAAACACACACCTGAAATTCAATTACGATTTTGTGCTTCAAGTATGCACTCGGATCGTACCAGGGGCGAGCTTTGCTGCGTCATGTACGTGTATGTTGAATGTGACGACGCGTCGCAATAGTTACCTAGATGTATTCTAAAACTCGGCATGGTCTCCATTTGGCTTCGCCTGCTATTTCGGTCCCTAACTTTAAAGATTCCAGCTCAGCATTAGTCAATGTCTTCTTACAGAAACATTAAACTGCATGATATATGAAGCAAGTGATTTTTTTGTTTGTTATTCGATCGGAAGTGAGGAACATTAAAATCTGTTAGTAATAAAACTGAAGCTGAAACAAAACCAAGCTTTGAGAAAGGGCCATCATGTTTTATTTTTAGCGGTGGCGGTTGCCTGACCTAAGATTCGTCAGAAATAATTGTCAGAATCATTTGGTCTGGGACCAGACTAACATAAATCACGCCTGTGATTGGTCAATACACCATTGGGCGGGGCTAATAATGGATCAGTCTTAGTCTAAAAGGTTAAAATGCAACATACTATTCTATTTTAAAATCATCAGTAAAGAAAACTGAACAAATCGGGGAAAAAAATCATCTTTGCTTTCTTCTTTAACTTGTCCTCGAGTGACCACGAGATAGGATGTAATCCATTACCTGTATGTATATAAACCTGGCTAAAAGTGCAGAATTAAAAGGAACGAATGTGTACAAATCAAGAGATTGTAAGAAATTTACATCGCTGTTTTGAAAAAAATGTGTTTGCAAACAGGAAAATGTTACACCGGGAAACGCATAAAAAATCATAGATTTTTGGTCAAAACTTCAATCTTTCCAAAATAATCTTACCAGAACAATTGTACATGAGGTTAGCCAGTTTCTTGTCGAAGAAAGTGAAGTATTTTCGATTTCCCATTTTGAATGCTTCCAGTGGTTTGTGAGGCTCAATCGTCACAAAGTCGTTTTTGGAGTAATACTGTGGCCAAAAAACAATAACACACACGTTATTAAATACTCGAACAGGTTACTCTTTAGTGAAATTATGGACTAGACGTTTTAGAGTGAAAATCACTCTCATTTTTTGTTGAAATAGTCTGAAAGAAGAACCACTTCAGTCGAAGCTCGAGTTAAACCCGATCTTTACAATTGAAGGAATTTCACTCTAAAACGTCTAGTCCTTAGTTTCCGACTGTGGGAGTGAATCTTCACTCGAATGGAATGAATTTTCACTCTTTGGAATTTAGAGAGTAGCTATTTCATCAGTCGAAAGCCCGTCACGTGGATGGTAACACCCTCTCCTTGAGCCATTAATATTAATACTATCAACATGTCTCTGTTAAGCTGTAAACATGTCCATAACATGTATTTCCCTTTCCCTACATGTGTAGTGTATACGTGCACGAAAAGAACAAATAATGAACAGTTCCCTTAATTAAGATAAATAGTATCAATTGCCATATTGAAACCATGTAAAACAGGGCTTAATAGCGAGTCTTTTTGATCGTTGATACGTTTCTATTTCAGGAAATTACATGGGAACCAATTCAATTCGCCAAATTGTCCCTGCACTGCCTTTCCTTCTTTCCAGGTGATTGCCAATAGCCCCATACCCCCTGCCCCCCCTCGCTGGCTACGCCTATTTGCGGATAATGTTGTGCAAACCCTTCCCGAAACCGAAACGACCCGTCCAGAATCCGACTTCGGCTCAGAACGGGTCGGTTTTTCCATGACCTAAGTCGGGTCGTATCGGTTTCGGTTTTGTGTTTTGATTTTTTTGCGCCATCTTGTGAAAAACCCGAACTACACGCAAAACGTATAGGCCCATTAGTAGGAAACGTTTAACGAGTCTATCGTACCGTGAGGTAGGCCAACCGGGATAATTCAGTTACAATTTTCACGCAACAAGTTTGGCCTGGTCAACCTGACCCAATTTTGCTGAGCTTAGCTTCATGTTTGTTTACTGAAGAATGTTTTGTTTACTGATGCCAGAAAATTGTTTAAAGCAGCAAACACTTTTCGTGGCCATGGGAAACAGGCCCAATTGATGCTATAAAGTTGCAGAATAGTCCTACATCACTTAATTTTTTGTTGGTATTTCAATTCCAAACTGGTTATGAGTTGCAGATTATTTTGACCTGGTGAAACAAGCCGAAACATACACATCTACCGTATTCGCATCATTTCTCAAGGGCTTTTGGATCCAGAGCAAAACAAGACTGCAAGCGAGCCTGTCATGTCCCAGACCAGTCGCAGTCAGAGCGCTCAAAATTGTATTGTAATTGCTATCGAATGGCTGAACGATCATGGACAGGATTTAGCCCATTCATTGACGTTACGGGGTAATCCAATACGATAGCACGACCCGGCTCTCGAGTCTTCATGAACTAAAATAACCATGCATATTGTGCAGCCAGTCCGTTGGTCAGTCGGTCCATTTTGCCATTCCTCCATGGTTGGCTTGTCGGTCATGCAGTGCAGGGGCGGATCCAGGAATGTTTGCGGGGGGGGGGGTGTCATTGACAAAAAACGTAAATGTAGACATGGTTTTTTTCCTTGGCCTCCAAAAATCAATGGGGGGGGGGGGTCTCCTTCCGTACTTTCAATGGCGACGCTGTTCAAATCCGACGATTATTAACACTATATCACAGAATAGTGTACATATACCCCCTATACCAAGCTGGCTCTGTCCGTTTTTTGTGTGCAAAGGCGGACATTATTACCAGTAAAACAAATGTTGGTTGTCAGAGAGGGGGGGGGGGATTCGCATTTTTTTTCATGAATTTCTATGAATTTTTTTTTGACAGAGTTGGGGGGGGGGGGGGTTTGACCTCCCCCGGATCCGCGCCTTTGCAGTCAGTGAGATAAAAAGCCCAAACGGGATACTAGCGCAAATGTAGGCAGGTTATTACCGTTGATGCGTAGTGCATGATAGACTCTGTGTCATACGGGACGCCATAGGATTCACTCTCATGCATAACGAACTGTTTCTCCTTGCCGTCCTGGATGTTCTCGTAACGGATTGTGACGTACAGCTCTCTATCAATCCTGGCATGTTCGTGCCACCAACCCGCAGTGTGGCCAATCTCGTGCGCTATCGTTCCTGTCTACATTAACACCAAAAGAAGTGTCAGTTTAAACATGGAGAAATATGACACATTGGAATGATTAGTTTGAAATGAGTTTTGGTTCTCCTTACAGCTGGATCAATAGAAGAAGAAAAAAAAAACCTAGGAGACTCATGTAATTATTCCAGGATAAAAAGGTTTTGTGTAATTGCTTGCGAAGGGGGGATGTTTCTTTTCGTTTTTTGGTTTGCCTTCTACGTGTAGAATATTATATTGGGGCGGGGAGGGGCACAGAACGGTAAGTGTAAGGGGGGGGGGGGTTAAATACTTATTTTTACCTTTATGCTTTATCAAGCTTGCAACAAAAACCAAAAGAGACATACATTGTGTTGCTTGTGGAGACATATCTTAGCTTTTTTCCGCACTTGGTCTTGTTTGCGATACCGACTGATTGGGTCCGTATCGCAAGTCCGACGCTATGTCGGACGCCAGTCATAAGTCCAAAATTTCGGAAATATGAGGCGTCGGATTTATGAGGCGTCTGATGTATGAGGCATCGGACTTATGTTATTCCGCCTGATATAAGCCGCGGGTAAAGCCTGTAACGTGCATTTTCGTCTTAACGTTTTAGTGGCAGCTTAATTTCTCAGTTATAAGTAGTTTTGAACATGTTTATTGATATTTTCCAATGTGCACATCACATCGTTTGCACACATTTGATATAAAGGGGACTGTTTCCCCTATGGAACTGCACCACATGAGGGCGATCGCGATGCATCGCTGCCATTGCGTACCAGCCTCGCCTTGATAAGCACTCTGAGATTCACTTACCACATCGCATGTATCTTCCTGCAGATGGATGTGTTGTGGAAAGTCATCAATCATCCCTACATCAGAGTAACATCTACAATGGAATCAATGACTCGTATTTAACATGACACTTGTTGACTGCATATTGTGATGTAAGATATGGTGTTTTAACACTTATAGCTATATTCCGTCATTTTGCAGCTATCCAAAAAGTAACTGACGTAATTATTGTTGAAAAACATACTTGGTTGAAAGGTAGTAAGGGAACTAAATTCCCTGTGAACTTATGCTTTCTGACAAGCTGTCATTTTGAAGAAATCAACGAAAGAAGGCCTTTCCAACGGCGTAGGAAATTTCCGTTAGAATTTTTTTTTTTATTCGGCGAAGTGCGTGCAAGCGTTGCGCACACGCGCGCGCGGTTTCTATAATTCGTCGGATTAGTGCGCGACATCGCGTAGCTGCATTCGGCTCAGTGAGAACGTGTCTCGGACGCTGAATTTAGGCCCAATTCAAAAACCATGATTCAGCAACTTTTGATATGAAATCGAGATCCTAGAATTCTGTTTTTCTCGGAATATACAGCTGAAGTTGAGCTGAAATTTCATCAGGTTAGTTGTTCAGCACCCTTCTTCAGATTTTGAGTACGTTTGTTGCTTCAAACGAACAAAATGCACAAATTACAAATGATGGCCTATACCTTTAAAGGGCCATGGGGACTTAAAACGTCATATCGTCTATCACCGCAGTCAACAATTGTTTCGTTAGGCCTATATCATGCCAATAATGAAATAATAGTACAATCAATGAAATAATAGTACTTTGGGAGGCTAATCATCCTTACTCGCAGCTGGGATGCTGAATTGCGAAGGACGCGGCTACAACGTGGTCGGGCCGCTGGCACGTAAAGGCGCCTATAGCTTCCGGCCACATTGACCCATATATGACCACGGAGCACAGCCTGAGATCGAAAGTGATTGATTTTTCCGGAGGGAGGAAAACCGGAGGGCCCGGAGAAAAACCCTCGAGGCACAGGAGAGAACCAACGCACAACTCTACTCACATGTGATCCGCGGCCAGGATTCGAACCGTGGTCACGTTGGTGAGAGGCGAGCGCTTTACCCACAAGCCACCCATGCCACCACTGCGGTTTAATCTTTTGGTAACTGCAGGTTGTCCTGCCAGCCATGGGACTGAGCGTTGCAGTTCTTAGTCGAGCAAAGTAATAATTTATATGCATCACAGAATTTATTAAGGCTATTTATATGTAACGCTAGTGTGTTTTTTTCTGTAGACTGGACACGTGACCGTTCGTTACCATTGAAATACACTCAATATTATTCGAGTTTTTAGCAAATTTCACCGTTTCAGCCAAATGCCATTTCTAATTTGCCAATGAGCGCATTTTTTTTTGCGTGGCCGGGCGGCTTAGGTCCTTTACTTGGCACGCGACGATATATGCTATTGTTGGCTGCAACGGCCCCTGTTTTGTTTCGATTATATATTCTTACCCGTTATAGCCCTTTTTGAAGACCACACGATGATCCGAATCGGGGGTGCTTGACGGTACGTACTCTTCAAAAGTGACACACGTGTCTTGACGCCACCATTCCATAGCTTCATTAATCTTGGTAACCATTGTAGCTGAAAATTATATATATATATTTTTTTTACATCTTATTAAGAACATGTGCTAACCTTTTCAGTGAAAACCTGTTAATAGTGAAACAGAATAGACACGAGTTGGTAAGTTTACTAATCAAGTGCCGTGACAACACAGTCGGGATAATAAACCCTTAACTATTACTAATCGCTGGGAAAGCAAGTGACCTCGGTTTTATGGCGAGGTAACTAAAATGTCTTCATCTTTGCCAACCAGTTGTGACTGGTCGGGCATTTTGCCAACAACGGTTTGGTAGATTGTGGAAAGTGAACGTTGCAAAAAAGAGCAATATTTTATTAAAGTTAGAGTATATTATCATTTTTCAGTTTTCCAAAAGTAACTGACGAAAATAACTATTGTTGAAAAGCATACTTGGTACAAAAGACAGTTAATGACACTAAACTCCCTGTGAAATGATTCTTTCTGGAAAGCTGCCACTTTTAAGAAAACAATAAAAAAAAACCCGAAATTTCCAAAGATGCGTCTAGTATGGGCAATTTTCTTTAGTAGTTTTTTTTTAATTCGGCGAAGCCGTGAATGGGTGCGCGCAAGCGTTGACACGACGCACACGCGCGCGCAGTTGATATTATTCGTCGTTTCAGTGCGTTTCATCGCGTATAGCTGAATTCGGCTGAATGAGAACGTGTCCCGGATGCTTATCTAAGACGCGTAACGTTAATAACTTTTACACAATACCTTTAAAGGCACTTAGGATCATTTGCATTTATCCCAAACGTTACCTTCCGAATAGTGCCATAAAGATCACTTGGATTAAACATCGTAGGCCTACAGGTACTAAACACCCGATGATATTATTCCGTCCGATTCGACTTGTAGTCTGAGTATCACCTCAGCTAATCGGAGTCGATTTTACTAAATCGTGACATCATTTTCATTCCCGAATGAGGACTAAAACTGTAATTGGTCAATTCGAATGCAGTTTTGTAATACAACAACAGCCGGGCGGATGTCGTGTAACATAATACAGAGCGCGTGAAGAGCGCGTGACCACAGCCTAATTGTTGCTGAGTCTATAGGATGTTGTGTATCCATGTGTTTGACACGACAACGGTGAATGACCGAAGACCCGATGTACAAAGCGCCGGCTGATTGGTCAAAATCTAAAGGTTAAGATGCGGTTGTCTTGCATAATTAACCAGCAAAAAAAAATCAATCTGCTCATGTAAGACCATGGGGAAAGCAGTGGTTTATTACATGGGCTACTCGAGTTGCTTTCGTTATATAAAAAAAAATAAAAAATATAAGGTTATTTTTCTATCAGATCACTGACTGATTTGTAGAAATGAAGAGTTATATATTGGCCTAGACACAATCCTGTTTCGTACTAAAAAAGGTTGTGCATGTTTTATTGGTTTTACTGTTTTCTCCAAAAGTGTAATACCCATTCAGCTGAAACTTCAACAGCTAATGTTTGGAACATCTTCTTTTGGATGGATTAATGAGTGGTGTCATTATTGGAAAGGAACAAAATGCATTAAAAGCCAATGTTAATATTGGCCTTCAATGCTAATGAATACACATTTAGGTACGGACTAAATGAACATCCGCTTTCCTTGAACAGTTTTTGAATTGATCGCGCAGTTGTTCGAAGTTAATCAGTTCTCATACATACCTCCGAAGTTTTCATCGATTTGGTAGATGATTTTAGCGTCAGGCCAGTAACCAGTGCGTACCGCTCTTCGTTTTTGGAGGGCCATCATTCCTTTAACGCTAGTGACGATGTCCTCCGCTTGTTGATGAGTCAGTAGCATGTCAGACTGGAACGTTCCTGGTGATTCGAGTTGCTCAGGTGGCTCTGGGTGAGGCCCTTCGTCATCACCAACCTGAAATGTGTCCAGTCAAAGTGACGTTTTATAGCAATCAATAGACTAGGTCAAATCAAACTAATCGCCCTCAGTTCCTCTGAGTACTTAGCTTTGCAACGAGCGCCAATGATACTCTCGATTCACGACAGATTTGAAGCACAAAAATTACCAAACGATTGCACCAGTAAGCATACTACGACAAGGGTTCGAATTCCAACTCTACTGGTCATGGTCAGCACCGAGCGTTCGGTGACTTTACATCGGCATTACATCATTAAAGGGGCACTAGGTCCTGAAATCCCCGAAAATTTCATGTTTTGGATTGTTTATTTATACTATTTCAAACATGTGGTTGAAAGGAAACCAACCTAATGTCTTACCGTTTCCGAGAAAAGACGAAAAAAGCCCGGTTGTTTGCATCGGACATGACGGAGTACGAATACATTTTTCATGTCGTTCTGCGTGTACGATATACACGTTGTGTGTCTTGGGAACAGCGGTGACCAATGCAAAAAGTGTGGTTCTTCAACGTCCGCAAAAGGCGAACACTGACTGACTGTCTCCCAAAATGACTGACCGACTCACTGATGTCACTCGTTTGTATACGACTTTCTTAAATCGCACCTTGGCCGAAAAGTTTGAAATAGGATTACCCTGTAACGCCATAACAATGGTTATTACAACAATTAAAAGTGTTTCAAACTATTAAACTAGGAATACAAATGTGTTTTACCTCAGGACGAAGTATTGGAGTATCTGGCCCGCTCAGAGCTAGTTTGGTTATCGCAAAGTAAATCAGGACATGAAGGAACCACTTCATGGCTGTATTGGACATGGCAATGCGCTGAAACGTAAACACAATGTCTCTCTGTTGAATGCTGATATGATCGTATGCGGCTGCTATTCAATGACAACTGCTTTAAATACTGTCCTCTTCTTTGATGTGCCGCCAAAATATCTCAGCTAATAATTAAAAACCTGTAATGAATTCTCCACCATGCTTTGATGAAGTTATTTTGGCATGAATTACACAGTGCAAAAATACTTATACACGCCCTTCAAGCGCCTAATCTTAATGGTTGAATGCATCATTGTTATGAACAGATATATTTTCAAGATATGAACGGTGCAAATAGTATTAATGACGGGATGAAGTGTATCGGCACGATTTTAAAAAGCAAACATTCTTAAGCCTTAAATTAGAAAACAAGCAAGCTATATTTTAAATTCAAATTTTGGATTAACTGATGAGGCAATTATAATTGGCATTCGTCGGAAAGATTTTTTTTTTTTATAAAAAGCAACACATACGATGTAAAGAGATAGTGGTAAAAATTACTTGTGTTTTGATTATTCAGTCCAATTTTCAATGCACTAATTTACATGAACGCTCACGCCCGCGCCCGCACCTACGCGCACGCCCACGCGCACGCGCAATGAATGATCACGCGCATTCTCACGCAAGGACAACAAAAGAATCAAAGCTGTACACGGTAGCAAAATATTTCGCTCAATGCTGACATGCATTTCATGAGGTAAAGAGATGTTTCATGCTTTGGATGCCGACAAAATGTCGCTGTTCTCTTGCCAAGAAAATGACACCGATCACAAGCGCTGTGAGCCACGGCAGGGTGAGTGTTTGCTGTTTAATACGAAAACGTGATATCATGTTGTTTGTGTCGAAGAACAAACTGTCACTGTGTCTTGAACAAAGGCAAATCAGAAATGTGTCACTTCTTTCATTTGCCAGACTAAGGTATGGCTTACATTAGTCCGAGTATCTAGGACTTTACGAATCGCCTTTTTTAACATTTGGATATGGTCAGGCGATAGTAGGGTCCTAGGATCTTAGAGTACATGGTACCAATAACCTATTTTGACCATTTTCACTCGTACCCTATATCAACATTTTTAGATTTCATCCCCAAAACAGTCTTCAAACTGCCTGATTCGCCCCATGTAGGCTTCAGTGGGAATTGGAAATACAAATGGTGGTGGTTAGGTGTTATGGAGTGTGATGGCCTAGCGGTTAAGAACACCGGACTCACGTTCTGGTGTTTCAGAGGCAACAGTGACGTGGGTTCGAGCCCGCCGGCGGACACTTGTGCTCTTAAGCAAGGCACTTAACCATTATTGCTTCGTCCTTCGGATGGGACGTTAAGCCGTAGGTCCCGTGTGTTGTATAAATGCACGTAAAAGAACCCAGTAAACACTTATCGCTAAGAGAAGGGGTTTGCCCCGGTGTTTCTGGCCTCCTGTATAAACTCCCACGTGGAGTATTTAGGAGAAGAACCAACCAACCAAGGTTCACAAACCTTTGGGAAGAAAAGAGACATTTTACCTTCAATTCAGGAAACATCCTTGTCACAAACGCCTTGTTGGAGGCTGCCATTTTAAATTCAGGAAAAATTGACTGGCATCAGACAGACCAATCACAGGGCACTTTGATTGGTCACCTGGATTGGTGACCAATCAAAGTGCCCTGTGATTGGTCTGTCTGAAATTTCGCTTGTCTTCGCAAAGGTACCACCATTTGTATTTTCAATTCCCACTGAAGCCTACAGGGGTGCATCGGGCAGTTTGAGACTGTTTTGGGGGTGAAATCTGAAGATTTTGATAGGGGGTAAAAGTGAAAATGGTCAAAATAGGTTATTGGTATCGCCATGTTCTCTAAGATTCTAGGACCCTACTATCGCCCGACCATCTCCAAATGTTAAAAAAGGCGATTTGTGGAGTACTAGTTACTCGAACTAGGCTTACATGTACATAGGCCTTCTATAATTTCCTTTTGGTGCGGTAGTTTCGTTAAAAGCAATGCAACTTGATCAAAATGTTCAGATGGGTGCATAACAACTAACTTCATGAAGTAAACATTTTGCTAAGTAGACCCATAGGCCTGCATTAATTTTTAAGAAAACAGAAAACCAATGCAGTAGTAAGTCGATTTCGTTGCTATCGCTTCCGTTTCCAAATTGGCTGTTTAAAATCTTAACTGCTCCCGATTGTTTACAATTAACAAACACTTAGGATATGATTATCATTAAGTTAGTTGGTGTACGTGACGACGGGGTCTCAGTAGATAGGTAACACAGTCCTTCACCCAGTTTCAGCTTTGTCGTACTAGTTCCGAATCGCTTCAATGAAAACCTGTATCTTTTGGATTGGTTTCTTCATACTTTTCCGACGAAGTGCGTTTTGAAAAGTATAATATAAGCTTAAACACAAGCGATAATATTTCTAGAATCCGCGAATCGACGATACATGTTCTCCTCGGTACGTCGATTAGAACGTCTGATTTAATGTATATTTTTTTTCGTACTCCTGCATCGAATGTTAGTTGAATCAAAATAAGTTGAAGAGTCTCCATTTTTTAAAATTCGCCCAAAACTTAACGTACGCATAATTTTGCTTAGTTCCGGATCGCCCGTGTAAGTCGGACACAACTACACGCGCGTAATCGATTTTATGTGCCGTGTTCTGTGATGGGTCAAAAGTTTGTCGGTCCGTGCGTGTTTTAATCCGAAACATTCATACGCAAAATGTCTTTTGTTATTAATTCTATTAATATTTTTATTTAACGAACTGTATTTCTAACAATTAAATCAAACTGTATCAGAAAATCTACTTGGATCAGGATAATTCTGTCTGAACAAAATGATTTTGTTGCGTGATAATTGTTTTATGCGCGAAGCAGTTTGGGCCCGATCCGAAACTGTTTAAACCGATCCGGAACGAGGAAAAGTGGCATCGGCACTTTTGACGTCGCATATTCAAAATTAAAAGAGCCTAAATTTGGAAAATAATTTTGTAGTATCTCCATCACCCAAGGTAAACTGTTAATTCCATTTGACTTGAATTTGTGGATTAGTTGAGTTGAGCTGAAAGCAGCTTGAATAATGTTCGCGATCCAGAACTAGAAACGAGACTGTATTATTTCCTTTTGCTAATTAAAAAGTCGTAAGGTTCGTTTTCGGCAAATTAAAGTGTACCAATACTCCTACGTGGCTTTTATAGGGCATCATCGGCGCTTTCATCACGAAATGCAAAAACGAATTCTTGCACTCCAGCATAGTCTTTGTCGAAAAACTTCACGAAGGGATAATTTGGCCACGGGGCGTTGAATAGTGGTTTTGAGAAAGTCGGGTTTTCAGTTGGTCACTTTTTGAAATAAAGATTTTGCCTGGGTTTAGAGCACATGTTGACAAATGTTTGATACAGATGATAAGCTGATATTTTAAACTTCACAAATGTACCAATAAGAGAATTATTGCGGGTTATTAATCTCCAGAAAGATTTGTCTGTTCGTGAAAACCTGAAATCCCGCGCGTGTTGTTTTGCACATCCCGCGCGTCTAGACCCCATGATGAACATTAATTGATTAAATTTGATGAGTAGTTTCAAATTCCTTTCGTTTTTACTTACCAGGTAATGCCACAGGATGGAACAGTGAGAGTACGACCTTTGACCTCGCAAATCATTTTACCCACAATCCAAGACTGATGTCGCCTTCCAGCTTCCGGACTCCTCCCAAGGTTCCCTCATATTCCGGTGACCTGATTTCCGTCGACATGGAGATAAATTCATGCGCCTTCAACACGCAACGTTCTGACGTCCGTACATCTACACCAAATAGCCAATCGCCAACCAGTTCATCACCAGGAGGTCAATACCTGTCATCGAAAGGTCAAATTACTTCATCTATAATTCGAGCCTTAACATCCGATGACGACAGCTTATCGCCACATAGTTTGACGCCAAACGTAGATCGTACCTTTCGGGTTGAAGACGATCACTTTTCGCCGCAAGATCACAGCATTTCACCGGAACAATTCTTTTCCCCGGAAGATCGAAGCGTATCCAAAGATCATCCAATCTTTTCACCAGATAGTCAAACATATTCACCATCAGTGGGTAATCCTTTTTCACCAAGGAGTCACTCCTTTTCACCACGGGGTCAAACCATGTCCCTAGACGATTCACCCGCTTCACCACAAGGACAAACCGTATCACCGGCAGGTCAGACATCATCACATAGAGGTCAAACTTCATCACCAGAAGGCCAGTTCTCAACATCAATTCCACATGAGGACCGTGAGTCCACTAAGCCTGGTGATGAGAGCGGTATCTCTCTGTTCTCGGAGACAAGATTCAACACATCAGGTGAGAACAGCGAAGACGAGGATGAACAGAAATCGATTTCAGATTGCTCAGACGGCTCGTCTTCCAAGCTGAACTGGTCTCTGAGTGCGAGCTATTCCAGCAGTGCGGCATCCATTAGTGACAGTGAAAGAAGGCGATCTTTGAGCGACAACAGCGACGGCAGTTTGTCATCGGCAGTGTGCGCGAGGCGGCGACGTCGAAGGAGAAATCTTTCTCTCTCGAGCCCGTCAACAGCTTCGGAAGATGGCACACAGGTAATAAACAGCGCTTCATATTTCAGAGACTGCGCCGACGACGAGGGCGCCCTCACATTCAGTCAATGCTCGCAGGAAGTTTCACACATCCTGACCAGAGCTCCCGTTGCCATGGTGACACTACGTGACCAAGATGCGATCAGACATTCACCAATCAAGTTCTACGATGGTTACCATAGGAGGCCGAGAGGTGAAGTGATGAACTGGGATGAGTTCGAATCTCCAGGGAAAGTATATCCCAAGCCACCAGTGAAGAGAAAGCACTTGACTCCATTCTATCCTCACGGCAACTCTTCATGTAACGCTTCCCACTGCTTGCAAAACAGAAGAAAAAGGGGTTTCAAAAAATCCTCAAAGATTGCAGGTAGTAGACACTCGTCTCCTGAAGTTCCAAGTGCGTCCTATGATAAAGCATGGCCAGCACTTCCTCGTCGTGTATCACCTCAAACCACAAGTCTCCTCAACGATCCCGCCATTTTGTCCGTCGGGAAAGCCATTCAAAATCGAGGCACACAATTATTGCCACAAAAAGACGACATTGCGATGGTCGATTCCAGGAGTGTCGATTCAAAGAGAACATTTCTATATGAAAACGTGAGCCGCCTCTCGCAACTACTCAACAGTACATGTGGTCAACAGAGCGCACATCCGAATATATCTTCGACCAACCAGCACACAAAAGTCGATACGGTGTTGCAGGATCCAGCAGTTTTACGTGCGTACCGTCAAAACGATTCAACGAACTCGACTATCCCCTATCGAATCTTGGAGAATCGATCCTGCTTGCCGCCACAGCAAGAAGGATGCAGATGTCGTACTATGCCAATTGCAGACGATCCGGCGATACTAGATATCGGAACACCGATGTATTCGATTTATGCGGGGGTGCCAACACACATAGCGGGTTTTGAGTATTGTTATTACTTTGGTTAGCAGTAAATAAACGAAGCGGGAATTTTCCGAACGGTAACAAGTATCTCAAATAATGCAGTTGGAAACACTCTATGGCTACAATTAGACATTTTCAAATTGTGCTTGCATGGCGTGGCTGATTTTCTTTAAGTCAGCGATGTCGGCATTGCGCTGCACATTAAGGGATGTGCGGACCCCAGCCCTGCTTATTTATAAGACAGGTTAAAGAATAGAAAATGATTGGAACTACACTTCCATCGACCGTAAATACCGTAACATTGCACCAACTAGTCCACGCCAACAACTCCATTTCCCAATGTCCTAAAAATCAATGTAAACAAATTAATGAAATTGTATGACGGCTGTGAGCAAAGAGCGCTTTCATAAGGAGCTTCCCATCTCAGGATTCTCTTTTCGGTCGAAGACCAACCAACAGACGTGCTTTTATTTCTCGCACAGTCAGAAAAACGCCAAATTTATTTAAGGGCAAGGTCTTACTTCTGTTAATAAAGTAAAAGAGAGTTACCTATCTTTTATTTCAAGATACGATGTCAACAATTAGTTTTGTGACTGGTGCGTGTTTTTTTTTTTTTTTTTTTGTAATAATTAATTTGTACTCTGTTTGTTCTCACCTCCACTATTTAATGAATTGTGTTTTCTTGTTTACTTTTCAGAGTGGTATGATTCATTAATGCTACTAATTGGCAAACTTTCATCAAAGTGGTCTCGTTTAAAGGGAATATACAATTTTCAGAAATAAATGGATAGGGAGGATTAGTGTGCTTTAGCAAATATTGTTTTCGGAGATGTATTGGGTTGGGAGATGCTGGAAAATCTAAGAAAACCAACCGTGTTCTGGTAGTCTGGTTCCCTGACCCCACTTAAGATGAGACGTTATAATTTATAGACTTTGGGGATTATAAGGTAAGAGAATCAGTCTAGCAGGCTTGTACCCCTTCACAGATGTGTAATCAGTTACAAAGAAAATGCGGAATGACTAAACATGAACAATTAGGAGCAGTTTTTGAAATAAGCAGTTTTCTCCCACGCTGGTCGGCCCACCAGCGTTGGAAAAATACCATTGTTCTTGATAATGTCAGTACACCAGAAACCACAATTTTGCAGGATGGTTTAGATTGTCATTCACTAACAGCCTAGTAAGATATTTCATTATAATTTGACAATATCGTTTTCATATGTTTGCAAATGTTGTATCTTCCCTTCAATGTAATATGTTGTTTTTACCTTCGCGCGGTACCAATTTGTATATTTTAAAGAGACATTAATACCCTAAAGGAGGGATGCGCACTAGAGCAGGCGTGTAGCAAGGTCAATTATTATTTGGGGAGGGGGATGAAGTTAAGAAAAGCACATTGATAGGAGTGTCCTGGGCCACTTTGGATGGGGGTGTGACAACGAATTCGCCGACAGACCATTCTCTCAAAAGGTAGACAGAACTTTTGCCCGGTCACTCTGCCTCCGTAAAATCGAGGGGGGGGGGGGGGTTATAGACACCTTCTTCCCATATAGGGGGCGATGTTTGGACAATTCAAACATGTTTGATTTCATTTGGTCGCCCGTTGTACGGTCAGATCGGTCCGGATTTTCAGCGCACACCTCAGCATGATGGCCCGATGATCCGGGAAACCGGTACAATCGAGAAGGTGTGCGCTGGAAGTACACGGTGTAGACTGTTGAGTAAACAAATCGCGACCAGGTTCCAAGTCACTTAATTTATGTTCAGAAATCATCTCCAATATGTAATTTTGGGTACACTTGAACAGAAATGAATAATTGAATACCCAATTTGGAATTTGGAAAACTCTCTCTTATGGGAGCGGGGATACGTTTCATAATTTGGGGTAGGAAAAAAATGAATTACAAAGATACCATGCCATCAATTCAAACTCTGGTCACTTTTTTTTCTGTGTTATGTTGGCCAAAACAGTCGAAGCAGTAACTTAAAAAGCAAAATTGTATTTCGCTTTTATACAAGACGAAGTACACTTTTTGATAAAAATGGGGAATGATAACAAGTTATATGTCCTTAAGATCATTATAGTAAATTTCAAGTACAACTCTAGAAAGTCCTGTACCTGCTCCCTGTCATCGAAAAGCAGGCGGATATCGTCAGCAAAGCTAGGCCATGAGGGTGACTGCTGGAACACGTCTGGAACATCTGGGTGTGATGGTAAACCAAGCTCTGCATTTCTACCACTTGTTGCCTTCCGAAGAGCATATCAAGCACGATTATAAACAGGAATAGAGCCAATGTGATGACCTACTGACATATTGAATTCAGTTGTTTCACCATCAGGCGTGATCTGGTGTTAGTATACATTGATTTTATGGCCCTTTGAGGTCTGGGAGGAACTCCATAAGCCTTAAGGATTCCGATCGTTTTGCCTCGATGAATTGACTCAAACGCCTTCTTGAAATCTATGAAGGTCAAGAAGGCAGGGAGATTGTTCTTCTTCGCTTCTTCAACGATCCTCCTTAAAACTAGTATTGCTGGAACTCCTTTCCTTGAAACCATTTTGATTCACAAAGAGTTTTGGGTCTTTGGCACTTTTTAACCTGTTAAGAATCATGCGATTGTACAGTTTGGCAATGTCGCAGGTGACACTGATTTCGTGGTAATTGTCCGTATTTGAGAGGTCGCCTTAGTTTGGAACAGGAATGATATTTGACATCGACAACGGATTTTTTTTAAACGGCCAAGCACTATTGAAATGAAAAACAAAATTGGTTTCGTTGGGGGCGGGGGCATGGCACCTGGCACTGCTGGCCCCCCGGATTCGCCCTTGGAACGTGTGCGTGCACGGCTCAACCAGTAACGTTTATAGACGTTGTCACTGCTCCAAAAAAATAAATAATAAAAGCAAATATATTTTGAAAACTGAGAAAAGGTGGACACTTTTGCAAACAAATTGAGGGGGAAAATAAGAACCTTTTCGACTTTTAATTTGCCTTGTCCATGTTGTTCTTGTCTACACTTGAATCTTTCGAATTCTAAAGGGATATAGCCGCAGCTCATTTGACACGTGTATATATACAAAGCCATCTATCACGTGCTACGTACAGTATGTTGAGTAGTTTTCCAATTTTAATAATTACAAGAGTTTTGCCAAATTTTTTAAGTATCTTGAAGATACCTTGACGTAACAGCTTCAGTACTTTGCTAATATATATAATAAGTTATCCTGCGAGCGCAAGTGGAACACGGAATAATGTAGTGCGTCTGTGTCCCACATGCCACGAGGCCGAATGCCGAGTGGTATATGGGACACAGACGCACTACATTTTCCGTGTTCCACGAGAGCGAGCGTGATAACGAATTTATCTTCAAGCAAACTTGACGCGCAGTAAAGTTGGACCATTGCTTTACACGAACAGTTTAGCGGTTAAGCGCATGCAGCTGGAATGTCGCTCGCATCTTGGAATAGCGCAATACGCAGACCGTGCAATACTGCCTAATATCACATGTTGTTGCCATGGATCAACCAATCAGGATCGAGGATTCAAGTTTACGTGGAGATAATATATGATAATACATTCAATGAATGAACATATATATATATGTGCCACCTTTAAAGCGCAGGTTGGCATAAATGTGCAGGCACATGTATCGGCTACACTAAAGTCACAATTAAGCATATTCACTTTCTCTACTTATTGACAACACGAAAAATAAAACGGATGCATGTTCAGCCCAGAAAAAGCCTCGGATACAAAAGTGAAAAAAAGTCGTTATCGTTTCTCTGATCTGACGGCGGTGCTATACAGGATGAGTAAAAAAAAAAAACGAAACCCAAATGTCGGGACCATTGTTCTATTGAAGTTCTGCATGTAGCACTTTCAAAATCTAGGATATAAAATCTCAATTCATGAGCTTTTTTTAGTACAAGAATTATTTAAATCACTTCTTTGCTTTTTAAGTTACGGAATTTTAAACACAACCACTCTTTTAAAGTTCTGTCCACGGATCACACAAAAGGTGTGCGTTCTTTCAGCAAGCCGAAAACATCACATCCCTATGTGATTTTTTTCGTTTTGCTGAAAGAATACTTACCTGTTTGCGATTCGAATGATTCTTGTACTAAAAAAAAGCTCATGAATTCAGCGTTCATATCCTAGATTTTGAAAGTGCTGCGTGCAGAACTTCTCTAAAACAATGGTCCCGACATTTGGGTTTCGTCGTTTTTTTACTTATCCTGTTATCTTCAATCATGGAAACTTCAGTCTGGCCACTTGTTTTGGGCTTTATATTTATCGAATCTTTCTTCAAAATACAATAAGACGTGACATACCTATGCTGATGCGGGGAATTGAGCTATCCATCCATTTATAGGAGTGCCAATCTGCTGTAATATTGCGAGAGTCACTCGTTCACCGCACACAATAGTTACGCCGCCATGTTTGTTTGCGTTGTGCCTCGCTTTAATTTTTAAGATGGCGTACCCTTGATAAAACTCTTTTGACTTAAACATTTGCTAATACAAATTGCTTCTTGGGCGGATATAGCATAGTGAATGCTGGGGTCCGGGACATGCCCCCCCCCCCCCCCCCCCCCTGAAAATTGTGAAATCTACGATGCTTTCCCCGCCATTCTATTCCACTATTTGAGAATATAGGAACTTTGGAATTCTTTTGTTTCTCTGGACCCAATTTTACTGGTATCATAATATTTATCAGAAGCTCTGGGGCTGCATCCGCCCCCAGATTTGGGCTTGATATGAAATAAACAGAGCGAGTGTTTCTCAATTTTTTTTTTTCCGAATTACAAAATTTCAGAATTATAATTTCTTTTATACTATTTCTTTTTAAAAACACCGTACCTTCTAGCAACTAACACATAATAATTCTTATTTTTTTATAACGAGAATTCTTCTTTTTTTAATTCGTACATAACATTTTTCTTATTCGTTGTCATGTTCTAAAGTTATTAAGTTCGTAAAGTAGCCTACACAGGCAAAAGCAACCTTGCTCTACGACTGTCCAGATTTCCCTGGATATTTGCCTTTCTTTTTAAAGTGTACTCCCAGGGTTTGTTTTCACTCTAAGTCTTACCAATCAGCTAATTATATATACGTACACACTGACTAACGATTAACCAGTATGCATATTAAATGCATCAGTAATATAGATTCACAAAATTGAAACAAAATAAAAAGAACTAATAATATTCATCAAATTTCATTCGAATTATGAAACCGAATTACTCTTGAATAGAGCCGGTATTTACAAGCATAAATATTTTCGTTTTGGTCTACGACAGAGCTACCTTTTGACGTTGAAATCACATGACTCACTCGTCGGCAATGTAATGAGTCTGACTTAATAGCAGCCAATCACTTCAAACCTCATGCTGCAACCCCAATGCCATTTGGTGGGGTGAATGCGCAGGATTCTGGTGCGCAAGGCAAACGGCAGGCGAGTAGTTACCAGGGTGTTCTTGTCCTTGTTACCAGGGAACTGTTCAAAAAAGAAGATTGGTGTGTTCAAGTTGAAGACATTCGAATGGATTCATTATGTCCAGTGGCATATCGGGGGGGGGGGGGGGGCAGGGGCAGGGGCACCGTGCCCCCGATGATTTTTTTGAAAGATATTTTGCCCAGTAAGTATTTCCATAAGTGTTCAGAGAGTTCTGACATCAACCCAAAAAAGAATACCAGCCAAAAAAAGGCATTACCATGCGCCGTGAAAATCGGCACATATTTTATTTTCCAGTATGCATAATAATGGTTTTGAAGAGCGCCCCCATTTGGAAGATGCTCCTCCCCCCGGCTTTTTGATTTTACGGAGGCCAAATGTCGGGGAAAAAAACATGTCTACATTTCGCTGTGGATGTGCGGTTGTGCTGGATACGCTACTGATTATGTAGTAACAATAGTCAGCAAAACGACTTTTGACATTTTGATATATATTAAACATTTCTATGAGTCGGAAGGCTTAGACCCAATTTTTGACAAGATGGTGACCGACTGGTCCAAAGCACCCAACTTGGCAGATATGCTGTTATAGCCCCAGAGAAGATATTTAGAAGGGGCGGCACCGAAATTATTCTTTTGGGAAGGGTGCCTAATTTGCATAGATCGTTCATCCCTACCGTGTAATATATTTATTCCCATAATTATTAGAGTACATTTTAATTATATTTATTGAAAAGTATACTTTGGGATTCCACTTACACATCCTTACTTCAATGTCATTTTCTAAAGCATTTAAGACTGACTGGATAATTATGAGGACATAGTAACGATCAAAAATGGCTACTATTATACCCTCGCTCATAAACCTTGTCTCCAGAACTGATATCATCAAGTAGTCTTGCAAAATAGTATAATAGAGCTTCAAATTCACCAAGTTGCTTACTGGCACAGTTACTCGATTAAAACTTAATGGAAAATCATGTGGACATTGATAACATTGTGATATTTAGCTTAGAAAACAAAACCGGGGAGCTTGATCAAATCCCCCACGATAGGCTTCGCGTAATTTTTAGCCCAATTTACAGACACCTCATTTTCCCCCTTTTTGTTTTTCGTGGGCTAAATATCAAGATGATTAATTTTTCACATGATTTCTCATTTATTTTTGTTAGGATAACTGTGTAATTAAGTAACATTGTAAATTGGAAGCTTATCAATACTGAGGTTTGGCAAGACTACTTGATGATATCTGAGGGAAAAGGAAATGCACGCAACTTTAGGGTATACTGGTAGCCATTTTGCAGCTTTATTATGTCCTCATAATCTTCAAGTCTCCGATATTCTTTAGAAAATATTATTTAAGTAAGGACATGTAAGTAAAATCCGCAAAATATACTGAAATAAAGATCTGTAAATAAATATTACACAACAGGGATTAACGCTTTATACAAATTATGCACTCTTCCCAAAAGAATGTCAGGAGTCACCCCTTCTAAATGTCTTCTTTAGGGCTATAATAATCTATCTGCCAAATTTGGTGCTTTGGACCAGTCGGTCACGATTCCAACCGTATGCAACCTGACTATATACCTTTATTGGTGTGCCGTATGCATCAGTCACGTTATTCCAGGACTGACCGTCATCGCTGTACGTCACTTGGTACTCCGTCACCCATAAGCTGGAATCTCCGCGCCCCTGGGTGATCAGACCAGTGATGGTGACTGTGCCAACGAAGTCAACCTGTATCCACGGATTAGCGTAACGCCACCCTTCAGAGTATCCTGTACAACAAAAAAAAAACCTAAGATTTCTTACTGCATTCAACTATTTAGCCATACTGCAGGAGATCTGGCTCAAATTTGGACTTCGAGGCATGTTGGCCATTTTGAAAGGGGGGGGGTGTCAAATCACGATATTTGCCGACGGACCGTCACTCAAAATATTTGATAATTTCCGCCCCAAAAGATCCCTTAAATCCATTTCTAATTCCCCCACATCATTTATCATAATGGTTTATTATGTTTATTACTTTGAATGAAATTAATTTTTCAGTGGGATAAGTTCAACTTCAAACTAAAGAAAATCGTAACAATTGGCCCTATCGTATTGAAAACGTTTTGGACATGCTCGTCGCAAAACTGCGTGTACACGCCCACAGTACCTGTGGGCATACCTTGTTCAGGCCCATTCCCTGATCCCAGCCTGGGGGTTCCTGAAATCCTTAAGTGGATTGCTTTTTATATGCGAGCGGGGAGCGCGAAGCTCTGAAGGCGTGGGGTCCGGGGCCGCCTGAGGGCCCCTAAAAAGTTTTGGATTTTAGATGCTCTGTGGTGCAATCTGAAGGATTTTCTGGCCACTTTCCCCTGACTTTTTTTATGATGTACTGGCTCGTGTTTAGGGAGATGAGGGAGGGGGGGGGGGGGGTTGGGGGTCATTAAAGTCGATGTATTACATCACAAATATTACTTCAAACTGAAGCTTGACACTCTTTCGAGTTTTGCCCTCTTTAGCTTGAGACTTGGATTTGAGTCGTCACCAAGGGGGGGGGGGCCGGAGGGGGCCCCGAGAAAATCATGAACGATGGTCTGTGTGCCTCTTCCATTCGTAAAAAAAGGGTTGTGTACAATGGTGATAATAGAAATATCCCTTTTAAAGTCGTTATTTGTACGTTTTCTTTTTTCTACAGTCTTAATTCAAACACTTGTTCCATGCCAAATGTGCATATTAGTCTAGTATTGAAAGGCAAATTATATAAAAGAGTCTGTATTTGCTTCGTTCTGTCATGCAGTGAGTCCTGTACGCCGACACGTGGTCCATGCACTTACAGTGTATCGTACAAACTTCATGACGCCCCTATGATTCCTGCTTTTTGTGGAAATGCTTTTTTTAACATTTCGTTTTTATTTCCAAAAAAGATCATCGAAGGTCTAATCTTTACTCCGTAGTCGTTTAAAGAAAATCTCTGAGTTCAACATGACCGTTTTTTAAATCAAATTTATGAACATGACGTAAGTAAAAGTGGTTCATCTCCACGGTACTTTTGCTGTGTTTCAGTGTGGCGTGATGACTGTGTGTGGGTCAGCGCACGGCCGTTGGGCGCTAGTCTGATTCCCAGACCTAACAATTATTCCCGACGCTCACGTCTAAAATTGTAGGTCAGGCAGCCTCTGTGGCTAAAAGTAAACATGACAACATTGATGGCCCTTTTTTGAAGCTCGGCTTTGTTTCCGACTTCACCTAATCACTAATAGCTTTTAATGTTCTGATCAAATATTTAAATAAATCAATTGCTTCGTATAAACATATGGTCGTCAAATTCAAAATAGTACATGACGCTGCAAAGTTCGCAGGAACGATCCGAGTATACTTGATGCACAAAATCGTCGTTGAATTTCAAGTTTTCTAAATGAAAGAAATGGATATTAAATATCAACTCATTGAAAAGTTTTTAATAAGCAGTTAAATAAACATATATTGTACTCGAAAATACTCGGGCGCTTATTGCATAATGCGGACGTGCAAGAAACAACATTTTTGTTGGTGCGTATTATGTGACGCACACACGACGTGTAATGTACTTTGAATGGAAACGGCGGGAAATACGTATATGTATGCCACAAAAGTCCACCGCGTGCGATGTAAACATCTATTCATCCGTCTTTTCTCAGGAACGGTAAGACTTTAGGTTAGTTTCCTTTTAAGACATTTGAAAGAGTATAAAGAAACAACCCTAACAACATAATAATTTCGTGTATTGCAGGGCAAATAATACCCCTTAGTTAAAAGGGACAGTACCCGATTTAACTAAACGATGCATCACATAAACGAGATTATAATACCGAGGCAGTGTGTGTAAAGTTGTAAATAGAAAATTCATTGAATAATTATGAAATAACCTGGAATATTGCAGTTACAATTTTCAAAGTAGCTATACAGTCCACTGAGAGCTTATTTTCCTTTAAAATTGCATCACACGGCCGCCATTTTATTTGACGCTTTAACAAAGTTTGGGCGGAGATCCGACTACTGATTGTTGAATATCAGATGACTATTTACTGTACGCTGACTAAAGACATAAAACAGTCATCAAGTTGTGCTATAAACTACGGAGCTTTTAAAGGGACATAGGTGAAAAAAAAAATTGAAAAAATCCATCGTAAGAATGAAAACAAATCTGCGTTCGAACGCAAAAAATCTGCGTTCGAACGCAAAAAATCTGCGTTCGAACGAAAAAAAATCTGCGTTCGAACGCAAAAAATCTGCGTTCGAACGAAAAAGCTGTTTGCTGTTTGCTGTAAGCTGTTTGCCCTCCCTGTGCTGCCCCACCACTTATGTGGGTGATTTTTGTGGGTCAAAACATTCTTTGCCCTGAAAACTGTTGTACCTAACATGTAAAACGTATCAATCATGAGCTGACTCATATCATGCTCTTGTAAGTGCAACAGTTTCTCCACATTTAACTGGTTATCCATGGGCCACCAAAAAACATGTCGGGTTAGCCATGGCTATCAGAATAGCCCGACATGTTTGTCGATTGCTATGAGTATGAGTAGGAATCAGCTAATTAGTGAATCCCGTATCTGAAAGTGAGGAAGCAGAAAGTACATGTACATGTACTAGTGTTAGACTAGTAAAATAGGCTTATTGAAAGCCAGAAATGATCAAACAATATACATGTCAGTCGCTTCTAAATTTTGGAACTATTACAAGGATTAGGAATGAACATTTATACTGTAAAGGATTTGTGGATAGACAAATTTCTGAAAATCACAATGACGACCAGTTATATTTATTTACCTGAAAAATTTGAAAGATAATTATATAGCCTTTTTTAATTATTTTTTTAAAACTTGCCTCACTTTATAAAAAGAAACCAAAAAGGCAAATTACTTTTAAAAATGTCTCATAAGTGTGTTGCCTCAGCATAGCATAATGGGTGGGACTGATGGGGTGGGGGGGGGGGTTGTGTTGTAGCTAGTATTGTAACAGGATAGGGACTCTTAAAAAAAGAAGGACAATTAGCTAGATCTTCATTGCAATGGTTAAACTTCATGACCAACTAACAGCAAGCCCTAGTAAGACCGTTTGAAAGCTCATAGACTGCTTTAAGACCTGTTATTGAAATCCCTTGGGCCACGGTCCTACATTGGGCACATATGTCATGCATGTTGGACCTGAAAAAACGTGACCAAATCACCCACATAAGTGGTGGGGCAGCACAGGGAGGGCAAACAGCTTACAGCAAACAGCAAACAGCTTTTTCGTTCGAACGCAGATTTTTATCGTTCGAACGCAGATTTTTTTCGTTCGAACGCAGATTTTTTTCGTTCGAACGCAGATTTTTTGCGTTCGAACGCAGATATTTTGCGTACGAACGCAGATTTTTTGCCTACCTTGAATATTAAGCCTGGCCCTGTGTGGGGCGTGGCTATCACTGCTTGGGTCGTCGCTAGGGGTCCAAAAAGACGAAGCTGTGATGCGTTCATCCCGGATGCGACCATCTTCCATCCCGAGAGGTCCCTCCACAGAGCAAGAAGAGTCACCTGAGGAAAAATGTGCGATTGTTTTGAGAACAGGTTTTGTACCGAATCCCATTTTAATAAGAAAAATAAGAAAAAATAGTAATGGGTCTTTCCCGCAACCCAGAGTGCTTGCAACGTCAATTAACATTAAGAAAGGGAGCCCTCTATTTTGCCCGCCGTTACAGGGACGCATTTGAGTCCCCCCATTTGCATGTCGCTGCCGCGCTACTATCGATCGGTACTACTGATGGCGGGTGCATTCATGATCACAAAACAAATTGAATGAAGTAGCACACGATTAACTTCAAAATTATGTATTTTAGTCTATACTATTTTCTTTAGTTTGATCTCTCATATTATATTTGTGGTGTGATTGTTTTACTTCAAGAAGCTATGTCAATAAATAAAGAAAAACATCCCAGACATGTCAAAAATACTATTTAACGCAAACAATTTGGATAGTCAAGACAAAAGTCAGAGAAAACCATAACGTCGGACCACACACTACAGCGATATCGACATCGTGCATGAGCTGCTACGCTGGTCATAAGTCTGCTTGCGCTAATTAAAAAACGTTTACATGTTCCAGATACATGACCATCACTCCCTCAGTCTGGCTGCCAGACACACAATTACAAAATTACAGCAACGTCTGCATATAGTGCCCGACTAAATTAAGTTCAAAAAGTAAGGGAGCCCAGAGAGGCCATACAAAGCTTATACTTGATTGTAACCTCATGCCTGCCTCGTCTCCTTCCTAAATGTCAATTGCGTTTGCATGAGTCGAGATGATAATTGTTCCAAATTTGCATATTACAACTCGCGACACAAAGGTCAGGTCATCCACACCAGATGCGAGATGTGAGATGGCAGATGAGGAACACCTTAGTAGCACGAATTACACTTTAATTGTGCGCTTAGGCTCGTTTCAACGGGAGACAAATAAGTCATTTAGAAGATAAATAAGTCGTTTTAACCAGATAAAAAAGTCGTTTAAACCAGATAAAATCCGTCGTTTAAACAAGATAAACAAGTCGTTTAAACGAGATAATAAGCAGTTAATTTTGATAATAAACGAGATACTATGTCGTTTTTGTGTTTGTTTGTTTGTTTGGCAGCAATACCGAAACGTTCTACAAAAACGCAGAGCCAGGCCATGCTCTTTTTTTTTTATTTATTCGCTAGCGGCTTCGGCGCAAAAGTCGGCGGCGCAATGGTCTTTAATTCCGCCGCACTTGTCTTACCAGTGCATCGTATTTTGCGGACGCGCGACAATGAATATTTGTGCCGTGTTTATTATTTGCCACACTCGCGCAACGAGTACCGTACATTGAAGGACACGGCTGAAATGTCCGCCGCGTCCGATCCACGCGATGTGACCGACCGTCACCCCCTTCTTTCTTTAGAACGGTAAGACATTATAATTTAGGTTTTCCCGGCCAATTTCACCAAGTTTTCATTCAATTTAACACCTGGCTCATTCGATTTAGATTGAAATTGAAGGATCATGCAGATCGGCATTCGACAGTCAAAAACAAATTATTCAATTTCACTATCCGAGCATTCTATAGTCTTTTAGCTTCACTTGTCCCTATCAAAGATGCATTCATATTAAAAGTATCGCGGTGTTCATTCAATTTCGTCTAAACCATTAGTAAGGGGTTGATCGGGCATTCGTTTACATTAATGGGTGAACGTGTTTCACATTTTGTCAAACATCTTTTAAGACTTAATACGTGTCCGTATTCCTTAGCGTAAATCATATTTGATGACTTCAAACCGTAGATTGACTTTCTTTCTTCAATGAACTTTTCTCACGAATTCTTTTTGCGCAACTCTGTGAAATGTTAAACTACACATTTGACAACACTTTTGGGTTAAACTTATTGCAAATGTGCACTTCTTTAAGCTTTTAAACGTTCCCATGCTTTCCCGGACTAACGCTGTTGCTGTGATGTCATTTCAGAAAGACACTGTTCAGTTTAGATTTTTTTTTTTCTTCAAATTATTCATCCAAAATTTGCTAATTAAAAACATTTGTGGGAAAGGGATGGTCATTGGCTTACTGCCATGTACTGACACATCATACAATCACCAAATAAGAGAAATTGATGACAGCAAATTTTGCTGAAATAGCCGTGTAACATTAATCATGCACGGGATGCCATCACGGGTTTTCTAATGAATATGCAACTTTGCATTAGCATAAAAACGGAGAAGGCACCAAAACACCCCTCAAAATGGAAAATAAGGTTAAATGTGACCCAAAGATGTATTGCATTGAAAACTTTGCATGGGCCCAATGAATATGGTAAGTGTTCCGTCAGACATACGCAAGAAAACACTAAAGAATTAACGCAAGAGATATTTCCAAACATATTACGTGTCCCGATGAAGAAATCGTCAATGTAAAAAAAACCTTGATCAAACGTTTAAACAAGTAGAAAAGATCAACAGTGAAAAAGAAATTATCTTAGCCCCTTTCAATTCATTATTTCGTTGCATCTTGTTTCCCTCATATCAGTTGATTTGTAACATTGTAAATTTTACAGTCATCAAGATTTTTTTTTGAGGGAGGGGGGGAATGAACCTCGGAGAAAAATAGGACAAAATATCGATTAAAACATCTTGCTAATTTTAATTGCCCATAAGCGAATTGCCCATAAGCGAATAAGAAATGAAAAGCATGGTTATACGTTATAAGCGCACAGATGTTCGTTAATTTGAATGCGTCAACCGTCAAAAGGTTGCAAAGACTTAATTTCAGACTGCTACGAGTTAAGTCTTGAATGCACCAAAACGAAATAGGGTGCCCGAAAACGAAAACGAACATTCACAGCAAAATCTTGGCTGCCAACATATGAAATTGAATGAAACCCAAATGAAAAAGACCACATGTGCAAAACTCACGCGAAATTGAATGACTGATATTGAAACTGATAAGAACAATTCGGAAATTCGCCGGGAAAACCTTTATTTTCCTTTCAACCAGACCTTTGAAATAGAATAAGTATTAATCAATCCAAAACATGACATTTTCGGTGATTTTGGGCCGCAATTCCCATTAAAAACGCTAAAATCTGCGGATACACGAGAATGTTGCATGCCTTATTTCAATAATTTTGACTCGCCAGGGGGACTTTAATAGTTTTGATTGATTGATTAATTGATTCGGTTGATTGCCATTCATATACAGTGGTATACAATAGAAGGTGTCGTGGTTTTTGTGCTCAAAACATTAAAATACATTCAACTTTACATTACAAACATTACACTTTACCACATATTTTAAGTTAATTCCCCTTTGAAATATCTCCCTAAAAATTAAAAGTCATTAACAAGACAAGCGAATTATTACACCGTAATGTAACAAGTGCTTTGACTAGCCCGCCGCTGTATTTACTCGCATTTGGCTAGCGGGCTACCACTAAGCTCGAACCATTAATATGCCAACATGGCAATCTCCCCTCCCTCCCCCCCCCCCCGGAGATTCGTCTGTCGACGCCGCTGTGCCTTCCAAATCCTGACTAGAAATCGCCGCCATTGGTGCGTATCCGATGGGTTACCCCAAGGGGTTACCAGAACTCTGTGATGAAAAAACATAAGTTCATGGAGTAATCTGCTTTCAGTTTTTTTTTATGTTGGCTCTGCTTTTCAGTGAACTACACAATTGAAATGTCATGGATAATTTGACTTAATTTATTTATTTTTATCGATGCCTAATTGACATTTGGAGAAGAAGACGAGGGAGAAAGCTAGCAATTAATGGTTGTGCCTCTTTTGTGTATTTTCCCGGAGTAACTGCATCATAAATGAACGAGGCCTACTTTATAATCAAATTGATGAGAGGAAAAATATTACCAGAAAGGCCTTTGAATGTTACGTTTCGTTTTCATTAATGGGCAAGCATATTTCACATTTTGTCAAACATCTTTTAAGACTTCATACGTGTCCGCATTCCTTAACGTTACTCATATTTAATGTCTTCAATCCGAAGCATGCCTTTCTTTCTTAATTAAAGGGTATGTGCAATGAAATTTTCTCAGGAATTATTTTTGTTTAACTCTTTGTGAAATGGAAAAAAACTACACATTTGACTACATTTTTTGGTTAATCTTTTGCAAAAGTGCACTTCTTTAAACATTTAAAAGTTTCAATGTTTTTCCGGACTACGTATGAGCGCACTGTTACTGTGATGTCATCTCAGGAAGCTTAAGACACTGTTCAGTTTAGGTTTTCTTCTTTTTAACTATTCGTCCAAAATTTGCTAATTGAAAACATTTGTGTGAAAGGGTTGCTCGGTGGCTCACTGCCAATTTGACCACATGTGCAAAACTCACGCGAAATGTAATGGGTGATAATGAAACTGATTAGAACAATTCGGAATTTCTCCAGGGAAAAACCTATATTGACAAGGAATTCCTATTTTTGGCTAACTTCTTCATACTGTAAAGGCATTGATCCAATGTTTGTCTTCATACTCATTAACAAACGACTGAATCGTCCACTTTATCAGTACCTCCCTGTCTCATATCGTTTGAATATTGTTACCTCTTTCCAATATCATTGCTCCCTGTGACTTTCGGATCAGAAAGATGTATATGAATGTACACACTATAAGGTCTCAGTCAGTCTCTTGTTAGTCCGATTCTACTGGCCTTGCATTTAAGTGCAAAATCATCATTGAAAAATCCACAATGGAGGAAAATTATTCAATTCATTTTTAATAACCTATACTGGCAAGCAATGAAGCAGGAAGCAAGCACTTGATGACTGCGTTCCTTTGTGTGTATTCCGGTGGTTAATGTATTTTAAATGACATAATATAAAATAAAAAAGGCTTCAGTGATCACGCGTTTGGTAAAAACAATTATCCCTGAGTTCGGCAGCCTATATTTGTACTTGGGGAATCTGCCACAACCCGGCTACCGTTTTAGAATCGTTCGAGCTTTTCTTTCGTTTTTTTCCAGACCGTCATTCTCAGCGACTTTTCTTCAACCTGTTCCCAGCAGGAACTTGAGACTTGGAACGAAAATCAACCCTGATACAGAGGGCACGTCATTATGACGTCATCAGGTATCACATTACCAAATTATCATTTTTAACAAAATAAACAATGGACAAAATACACAATCATATTAAAGGTTTTTCCGGCCAATTTCACCAAGTTTTCATTTAATTAGACGCCTGGCTCATTCGATTTAGATTGAAATTGAAAGATCACGTAGATTGGCATTCGACAATCAAAAAGAATCATTCATTTCACTATCCGAGCATTCTATCGCCTTTTAGCTTCACTCGTCCCTGTCAAAGATGCATTTATATTAAAAGTATCGCGTTTTTCATTCTATTTCGTCTACACCATTTGTAAGGGGTCGATAGGGCATTCGTTTTCATTAATGGGCAAACATATGTTACATTTTGTCATTTATCTTTGAAGACTTCATACGTGTCCGTATGAAGTCTTAAAAGTCTAAATCGTATTTGATGACTTCAAACCGTAGATTGACTTTCTTTCTTAATTAAAGGGTATGTGCAAATGAATCTTTCTCAGGAATTCTTTTACGCAACTCTGTGAAGTGTAAGAAAACTTCACATTTGGCAACACTTTTCGGGTTAATCTTATTTCAAATGTGCACTTCTTTAAGCTTTTAAACGTTTCCATGCTTTCCCGGCATAACACGTTGAGGGCGCTGTTCATGGAGTAGCACGGATTTCAATCTCGCTCCGTAAAATCCGAAGTATCACCAAGGAAAAATCGTCTTAAATCTCTGCTAAATCGTTGCCATCCGTCAAAATCTAGTAAATCTGCTACTAGTTCATGCTCTCTGTCAACTTTGAGCGCAAATATGCCTCCTAAAAGAGAGAAAAAACAGCAAAGTGTGTCTGAATCAACAATTTCTCCTGAAGCTGCATGTGCAGAACCAACTGTAGCACATACTATCGCTGTTGACGACAAGTCAACCACGCCCGCAGGAAACTCCCTACTAGCTGCACTACGAAGTGAAATTCGTGATATGAAGTCCGGGATTGAGGGTAAACTTGATCTTGTAATTTCTAACCAACATTCCCTCCTACACCGGATAGACGAAATTGAATCTCGTCACACAGAAATTGAGAAATCTGTCTCATACACGTCGGAGGCCATCGAAGACGTCAGAGCAGCAAGTACAAATCAACAATCCAAGCTGACAAAACTAACATCGGAACTTGACGTTGCCGAAAGTAAAATCACTCGACTTGAGGAGACCGCCATTAGACTCGAACGCTATTCCAGGAGCTACAACCTGCGGTTTGGGGGGATTGCTGAACTTCCCAATGAACGCGCTGACTACCCCTACGAAAAGATCAAACAAATCCTGAAGGAGAAGTGTGACATGGAGCCAGAAATAGAAAATGCGCACCGCTCTGGTCGTCCAACCCAAGGCAAGACCCGCCACATCCTAGCGAAATTTATGTATCGTCCAGAACGTCAAGCGGTTCTCCTTAAAGCCAAGGCAGCCCTGTCCGGGTGTGGCATATATTTGATCGAAGATCTTCCTGCGGCCGACCTCATCAAGAAGAAGAGCCTAAAGGAGATAATGCACAAGGCGTACGTGGCTGGGAAGAAACCGATCTTCCGAAATGGGCAGTTATACATCAACGGCCAAAGATTCACTCCAGATCTCCAGCCCGCCCCCAGGACTGATTGACGTGGATACATTATTCAGAAGTACTTGGTGTAGTATTTATGATATTAATTTAACCTAAATACGGAGCGTGATTGATGCTGTGTCCTTCATGGGTACTAGTGTCCTCTCTTGTTTGTGTAGTTTTTTTGTTTTTTTTCTGTCCAGTTTAAGTTGTCTGTTGCTTGTTCATATAGTAACGTTTTTGATGTTTTGTGTTTCCCTGTAAAACTGTTAAACAATGCCAATCAGATTTCCATGTAATGTTTGTAGTAACCCAGTAAGGAAAAATCAACGTGCCATATTTTGTGATTGTTGTAAATATTGGATTCACCTAAACTGTACGGAACTAACAATTGCTGATTATGCTATCTTACCTGATAAAGATGATCCATGGTTCTGTCCGCCGTGTATCATGGATGCATTACCTTTTAATAGCCTTGAACCTAGAGAATTCTCTGAAGTGATTGCAGATTTTGTCCCTGAACCCCACCACTCAATTACAAATTTAGAAACTCTTATAGATCTTACCCATGATTTCGTTGGCCAAGCCCAGTATGAATATGATGATCCCGATGTTACCTCATGTCGACTACACAAAACTGATTATTACTCTCATGAAAAGTTTGTTGATTTTTTCAACCATGATTCTCCTAATTACTTCTCCCTCTTACATTTCAACATTAGAAGTCTGAACAAAAATATTGATCATATGAAAACATGTTTGCACTCATTAAGTAGCAACCTATCCGTTATTGGACTAAGTGAAACCTGGCTGAATACCAACTGTAATCTGGGTAACGACTCGTTGTAATGTATCTTTGTTGAAATCATCACCCCTCGTCAATGTAAGAATCTGATTGTTGGTGTGGTTTACAAACCTCCTAGTGTTGACTTCAATCAATTCATCACTAGCTGGCAAAATATCCTTGAGCTTATTACAAATGAAAATAAACTTTGTCTGATAGGTGGTGATTTTAACTTAAATTTAATGAATGTTGATAACAATAACCAGTCACAGGAATTTTTAGATACTATTTACTCATCAAATTATATACCACTTATTAATAAACCCACAAGAGTTACCCAATCATCAGCTACTCTTATAGATAACATTTTCTCCTACATATTACCATTTCCAGATGCTGGTATTTTAGTTACGGATATCTCGGACCATTTCCCAATATTCACATCATTTCCTTTGTCAGTTAATCGTTCCAATCCCAGGCCAAATTGTACTCGAAAGCACACACGAGAAAACATAGCTAGTCTTAATAGTAACTTGAATTCTTGTGACTGGACAAATGTCGCCTCTGCCTCCGATGCAAACATTGCTTTTAACAATTTTATGGATACTTTAAATTTACTTATTGATAAAAATATTCCCATGACAAAAAGTAAGCCTGCATCACGAAAATCAACTCCTAAATCCCCGTGGGTTACAATTAGTTTATGCAAATCAATCTATCACAAAAACAAGCTATACCATAGATATATGTCGCATCCTAATGATTCTAATCGAACAAAATATGTGCGCTACAAAAACATTTTAACTAACGTCCTCCGTAATTCCAAACGGAAGTACTACGCTGAGCAGTTCAAACAACATAGAAATAATATCCGGAATACATGGCAAGTAATCAACAATGTAATTAATAACAAATCGCAATCCAAAATCAATAGCATAGACGTTGATGGCGAAATTATTGATAGTCCGCACCATATAGCCGATCAGTTTAATAGCTATTTTACTTCAATTGGTCAAACACTTAGTGGTAAGATACCAACCAGTACTAAAAATTATTCTGATTATTTATCTAGTCCCCATCCGAACTCAATATTCCTTGCCCCAGTAACTGAACAAGAAGTCATCGATATTGTACATAAATTGCCAAAGAAAAAAAGTGCAGGCTATGACATAATAACTAGTTCACTTATCAAGGAAATTATTTTGTCAATATCCCAACCTTTAACTCTTGTTATGAATTTGTCAATTTCGACAGGAATATTTCCTGAAAAAATGAAAGTTGCCAGAGTTACTCCAATTTTCAAGAAAGGTGACGCAAAATCAGTAAACAACTATAGGCCGATATCAGTATTAACCACCTTCTCAAAAATCCTTGAGCGAATTATTTACAATCGTACCACTAAATATTTAAATGAGTATAATATTATATCTGACAGTCAATTCGGATTCCGAGAAAATTATTCAACAACACATGCCATCATTAAGCTAGTAGACAAAATCACAACCAACCTTGATTCATCTAAAAGTACGCTTGGAATTTTCTTAGACCTCTCTAAGGCCTTTGACACCATTAATCATGACATTCTTTTAACAAAGCTTGACTATTATGGGATTAGAGGCATTCCTCTGGAGTGGTTTAAGAATTACCTTTCTAATCGTCAACAATTTGTGTCCTTAGAGAGTCACCAGTCCTCTCTTAAACAAATATCCCATGGAGTTCCTCAAGGATCAATACTCGGACCTTTACTGTTCTCTATTTATATTAATGATTTTAACAAATCATCAGATCTGTTTTCCTTCATTATGTTTGCTGATGACAGTAATTTATTTCTTAGTCATAACAACATTGATGTACTTGCTGATTTAGTTAACCAAGAATTACTTACAATTTCTGAATGGTTTAAAGCTAACAAATTATCCCTTAATATCAAGAAAACAACCTGTATGCTATTTTCCGCTAAAACATGGTCCCATTTACCTGATATATATATATATATCGATAACATAAAATTGCCCTATTCTGATTGTGTACAATTTTTGGGATTATATATTGATCCTACTCTCTCTTGGAAAATTCAAGTAAACAACATTTGTGCTATTATCTCTAGAAATATAGGTGTCATTAGTAAGCTCAAAGCCTTTTTCCCACAGGAAATACTGTTTATGCTGTAAAATACATTGATTTTGCCTTATTTGAGCTATGGTATCCTAGCATGGGGGAATTGTGCAGCTAGTTATATGAATAGAATTCTTAACCTACAAAAACGGGCATTGAGAGTTATTAATTCTGTCGACCGACTTGAACATTCAAATCCTCTCTTCTGTAAACATAAAACACTCAAGGTCAATGACATTTATTCACTTCAGCTTGGAGCCTTCATGCATCGTTTGAATAATAATTTACTTCCAAATCCCATTGCACAAATGTTCTGTAGAAACGAAACTATACATCACCATTTTACCCGTCAACGTAGAGAATTTCACTTTTCATTTGCAAGAACAACTGTTTATAAAAAGACAATTAGGCATGAAGGCCCCAAGTACTGGAAGTCCTTACATAAATCACTCCAGGGCACTCGTAGCCTTCCATTATTTAAATCTAAACTTAAATCGAATTTACTATCAAATTATAATAGCTCAGATTAATCTTCTTACTGGGTTACTACTCTGTATTGCTACTCTGTATTTCTTTTTTTTCCGATCAGCAATATTGCTTTTCCGTATGTTATGTACAATTTAAAATTTATACGTTCAATTGTTTTTCATTTGTTTTTCATTAAATGTTTGTATTAATCCATGTTAAAGGGGATCTCTACTCGACAAGCTCTGCTTTTTGGGGATCCCCTTCCGCCATCTCCAATTAGAAAATAATGCGTCCAAAGTGTATAAATATATTTTGTAAAACAAGCTCGAACTTTATATTACCCAAAACTACATGTACGTATTTATGCCTTGTCACTTTGAAATGAGATGTGGTAAAAATAATAAAGAATGAATGAATGAATGAATAACGCTGTCACTACTGTGATGTCATTTCAAGAAGACACTGTTCAGTTTAGGGTTTTTTCTTTCAAATTATTCATCCAAATTTTGCTAATTGAAAACATTTGTGGGAAAGGGTTGGTCATTGGCTTACTGCCATGAACTGACACATCATATAATCACCCCCAAAAAAGAAATTTAAAACAGCAAAATATCCAAAATTCTACGAACTTTTTGTTGTGCTGAAATAGCCGTGTCACATTAAACATGCTTGGAATGGCATCACATGTTTTGTAACGAATAAAAAAGAGAAGGGCACCAAAACACCCTTCAAAAAGGGAAAATGTAGGTATTCCCGGCGAATTTCCGAAATTTTCCAATCTTAGCTTGTAGCTGTCTTAAATTAAGTCTTTGCAGCCTTTTGACGGTTGACGCATTCAAATTAGCGAACATCTGTGCGCTTGTAAAGTATAACCATGCTTTTCGTTTCTTATTCGTTCATGGGCAATCGCTTTCATCGTTTGGTCATTTAAATTATTAAAACATTGATACATTTCCTATTTTTCTCCGAGGTTCATTTCCTTCCAAGACTTGATAACTGTAAAACTTACCATGTTACAAATTAACTCATAGGCCCTATGAGGAAAACAAGATGTAATTACGAATTAATTAATTGAAGGGACTAAGATCATTTGTTTTTCACTGTTTATCTTTTCTACTTGCTTAAACGTTTGAGCAAGGGGCATCTTAACGTTGACGATTTCTTGACGTGCAAAACATCGGAACACCTATGTTTGGCAATGGATGTACCATCGGGAACATTTCTCTTGTCTGAGTTATTTCTTAAATGTTTTCTTGCGTATGTCTGACCGAACACTTACTGCATTCACAGGGCCCACGCAAAGTTAGTTTGCAATGCAAGCCTTGAAAATACATCTTTGTGTCACATTTAACCTTATTTGCGAATTTCGTTTTCATTTTTGAAGGATGTTTTTGGTGCTTCCCCGTTGTTATGCTAATGCAAAGTTTCATATTCATTTGAATACCTGTGATGGCATTCCGGGCATGATTAATGTTACACGGCTATTTAAGCACAAAAAAATGTTAGAATTTTGGATATTTTGCTGTTATAAATTTCTTTCATTTGGTGAATCTTTGATGTGTCAGTATGCATGGCAGTAAGCAAGTGAGCAACCCTTTCACACAAATGTTTTCAATCAGCAAATTTAGGATAAATAATTTGAAAGAAAACCCCAAAACTGAACAGTGTCTTCCTGAACTAACATGACAGTAACAGCGCGCTCATACGTAGTCCGGAAAAGCATGGAAACTTTAAGTGTTTAACCTTAAAAGGGCCGGGTTATTTTGACCATTCCGCCCCGGTCCCTTAAGGGTAATAGAAGTGCACGTTTGCGATAAGATTAACCAAAAAATGTTATCAAATGTGTAGTTTTTTTTACATTTCACAGTAATAAAGAGTTGCACAAAAAGAATTCCTGAGAAAAATTCATGATTTACCCTAAGGAATACGGACACGTATGAAGTCTTAAAAGATGTTTGACAAAATGTGAAATATGTTTGCCCATTAATAAAAACGAATGCCCGATCAACCCTTTACTGCTGGTTTAGACGAAATTGAATGAACAACGCGATACTTTTAATATGAATGCATCT